TGGACAGTATTAATAATTAATGCCTGACACTCAGACTTAATCAACAATATGTTTGAAGAGCATGGACAATATAAAAAGGGACATAAAACTGGTCATGGGATTCTATTTTGGTGTCCAATCATTGTGTCTATTATTTGCTTTTTGAATTCTGCACTCTACACAGTTTGTTTTTTTTTTCAAAATTTAAAAGTATTTAAACTGGGAGAAAAATATTTCATTTGGCACATTTTCTTTTACCTGGAAATCATTAACGAGCATATTGAATGAAAAAAGACATAATATGGAATGCTCATAATTCTTACCATTATTTCTAAAGAAGGGACCTGTGGTATACATATAATTTTTTTACCATGATCGATGCAAACCTTGTAGCAGTCTAAAAATTACAACAGTATAATGCTGTTTACTTTAAAAGCTAGAGACTTACAAAAACTAATACAGTTAATCCATAAGAAGCCTTTTCACTAAATGCACAGTAAACCACATCCAATTAAACGAAGTAAAAGTAATAATTATATGTCATCCACAGCAAGTACGTGCATGTATCCCCACTGTGTTAGATTGGCACGTACCTTTTGTCAGCGAGCGCGGGTAAGCCCTTATGCTTGAGTGTCCAACAAAGATGACACTAACATATTAACCAGGTTTATATTAAATTTAAAGACCATCCCATAAAGCAATTGACATCAATGTCTTTAAGTCAATATATACTGTACAGGTAACTGTGAATTCTACCATTATCTACCTTACTTACTGAGTGGAACAGTGTGCTTACAGCAGAGGATATAAAATTTCTACAATTCAAATCATTATGTATCCAAGACTCTGCTAAAGATATCAACAAGCCTGGCTGTTACAAGGCTACAAATCTTTTTAATTCAGTTACAAAGCAATGGTGACATTCAAGCCTAATTAATGAATGCCTCTTTGGGAATCAGGGTAAACAATTATCTCTAACTCTAGTCATGTTTATTTAGCATGAAAGTAATCATTAATTTAGATCAACCAATAAATATGCAATGGCATGAACAATTTCAGAATTTAGATTGCAATTAAAGGGAAAACATTTTTGTAGCTTAGACTTGCATGACCACAAATATTTTTTTTTTTGAGAAATTCATATATGTGTGTACCTGGGTAGCTGAAAATTATAAACACAGATCACTTCATTGCTTATCTTGGCCAAGTTGTGTATAGCCAAGTTTGATATATGTACATGTAAGTAGTAAGCATATATACAATGTAGTTCTCATATTGGATAGAAGTCTCTTTCCCCACCAATTTGACTCCCTAACCAAATGACAGATAGGTGCATGCAATATGACCCACACATTTCTTCCAAATGGAGTGGGATAATTCTTTTAATAAACAGATTCTTTTAAAAATTCTTTTCATAATTCTTTTAGTTTGTCACATGCATTGCTAAGGCCGAAAAGAGACTGTAGAGATGGTATTTAACAGAAAGTAAAATGTACATGTAATCAGTTGAAATAAAAGTTCAAGTTCTTTGACCATCTAACCATAATATGACAGCATTCAACATCCTCTTAATTCTTTTAATAAATAGGATAAAAGATTAAATGTGATTTTATCATTAGTTAAATAAAATTTCCAATCCTATAACACACCATGCTGTCATATTCTCTCAAGGAAAATATCAAAGATTAAAATGATTAATTCATAAATTTAATTTTAAGAAAATCATTCTTTTTTTTTTAAAAAAGCTATTATAAAATGTTAAGAATAAAATTGCAATTTTGGTTTCAGAAAACATCTGCATGTTTTATTTCTAAGATAAACTTTTCTTTCATGAAGAGCTAGTGATATGTGTATTGCAAAGTCGGCCGACCTTGATATCTACAGGTCGCAAAGACATTGATACACTTAATTTGTAATGTATAGAAACCAGATAATTTCTGATTACGGGTAGAGTCAAGTGGTGATATGAAAAATGTCTAAATGCACTATCAAGAAGTTCCATTTACTTACTATTAGGAGGAAAGTGCCTTCTCAGCACTCATATCAAGGACTTTTGATAAGCTCTCTGCCACTTTGAACCAATCTGTCTGCTTTTTATTTTCAGAAGTTAACAGATATTCTGTGTAACAGTTACCAAGTAATTTCTTCTTCCTAACATAATGATTGGTATAAAAATACCTACCTTGCACTTTGAAGGTAACCTTGACCTTGCTTTTAATCATATGGTCAACCACTGCCTGAAGGTAGTGTGCAGCATCACAGGGGTCAGTCTCCTAAAACAGGCAATTAAAATTCATAATAAAGAAAATTAAAATTAGTTTTACTGACACAATTAAATAAACTAAAAAGTGACTTGTTTGGTTTTTTTGTGTCTATATATGTTTATAATAATCCTCTTCACATAAAGAAATCCCTAAGTATTCAGACATTGTTTTTTTTCCTTATAAGGCCAACTTTAAAAATAAGTTTATTTGTGAATCATGATTTAAAAATTGAATCAGTAGGTAGGCAAACAATTCTTTTTCTCAGAAAATTTCAATTTCAGTGCTTAATTTCAAAATCTATTTACCAGAATACATAAACATGATATAAAAATAGCTTCCAGGAAGTTGGAAAAAAGTAATGAGTCAGGTCACTTTTTTTTTAAAGATTGTCTTATACTATCTTTTCTACCTGAGATTTCAGCCCTACCTGAGCTGTCTGGAGGAGTCTGGAATCCCCACACAGGACATCAATGACTTGACACAGGGGTTTCCCCTCCTGGATGTTGGGAATTCCTTCTATTTCCTGCCCTATTTCATTCAGGATGGAGTTCATCCAAGACAGGTACACCTGAAAAATAACAGGACAAACTAAATTACTTGATTTAATAAATAAAAGAAGATTCTTTTTAAAAAATAAAGAAATATGATTTTGAAGAATATACTGTAAATCACGTTTTATTCGCGAATACAATTACGAACAATGATTTTTTTCGTTAAAGTAAAGAAATAAAATTATATTTCGATAAAGAGTCAATTTGAAGATTATGTACAGTACATGCAACAAGACATGTGTGCAACAATACCAGAATATATATACATATATAGGAGAATATGACTGTATAATAATATAATTGTTAATATAATATATAGCTAATTTCTGTTCACTATGAAAACATATTATATATAACATACAAGTCTATGCAAATTTACAATAAAACATATGCTTGTATCACAAAAATATTCTTTAATACATAGATAAAGAGTTGTCTATAGAATTAGTGACATAGAACTACTTGACATTTAGAGGTTAGTTCGAAGTAATAAAAAACTGAATGTTAGTAACAGTATAGACCTATTTTCTTGGATAGAGTTGTCTCTCGTTTCTTGAACAATCAAAGGTGCTTCAAATAATGTTTTAAACAGGTTTAGACCTTAGCCCTGAGTACAGTGATGTATTCATGCATTACAGTACAATGCAATGTATATAACTTTGTGCAATCATTGATCAAGCAAATTCCCAACAGTTTTATAAATTGATTTCCCAATACCCAAACAAACAAATGTAGATATACATAAAATTCATGGCACTTTGAAGGAAGATGATAAAAAGCTCAAGATTATGGCTATGCTATCTCAAAGCTGTACTCAAATGCAATTGTGATTGTTAAATTCTGCCTGTATAGCAAGTATTCTTTCCATTTAAAATTTCTCTATCCTAAATGAATTCTGAACAATTCTATAGAAATCTATGAATACCCCAAACAATACAGGACATTCCAAAAACAAGAACACTAGCTGTAATCCACTGTGCTATTTTAGTGGAGAGAGTTTGTGTAGAAAACTTTGTCCTCTCAATGCTTCATCCATTTTTTAAAAAAATACATTGTCTGCTTTTCATTCATTTAAATGAGTGACATTTAAACTTAAAAAATTGTCCTTAGAACAATAATGTTTAGAGTTTCTCAACAAATTAAATGTAATAATTAAATAATTAGCATGCAAAAATTGTACATGTAACTACATGTATTTGCTAAATAATTCTAATATGAACAAGGAAATTAATGAAAAACACATTTTATGAACAATTTAGTTATTTTTTTTTAATTTCTTGAGCCAGATGAGGAAAAGGAAAATTTGATATTGATGTAATGTAACTTTAAAATATAGGCATGCAGGCTGGATTCTAGGCAATACAATATACAGCATATTGAACATTACCCAATATTTACCTTTCTCTTGCTCATCTTTCACAGTTTTCTAAACCTGGTCATACATGTATAATCAATAAAAAATATTTTCTGCTTTTTAAACATGCTTAAAAATGAAAAAAAAACTTTTGATCATGATTCTTAACTTGGTAAAAAGATTTCCAAATTCTCCTTCTACATGTGCTAATAAAATTCTTTTATCCAGTGAAAATAAACAATTTACCCAAAATATAAAAATAATGTATATATTTCAATTCACCAAGACAAACCAAGAAGTTCAAAATGAATTATAAACAATAATGCTAATTGCTGCTAACTTTAATTAAAATTTTATAAATAAATTAGAAGTAGGGTAGAAGAAAAAAATAACGCATTATTTTAAACTTAAAGAACATCTTTATCTTTTGATATTTTGGTGAAAACCTTTATCTGATTAAATAAAATAAATATTCTTACTTTTAAATGTCTAAGTGTGCACAAAACTAACAACACGTTTAAACCTGCAAAGTAGCTTATGCCGATCAAATAATTAGATGCAGTGAAATAAAAAATTTTCTACATTATTTCTCAAATATAGATTTCAAGGTTTAAATTCCAAATCAACCAATGCAATTTCAACTTACCTGTAGAACTGACATATTTTTAAATTTTATGATTTGTTATCTATCCCAACATCACATTTAAATATCAGCGAAAGTCACTAACAGCGAAAGTGCACTTAGTCGCCATGTGTAAACAAACGTCGGGTATATGGTCTGGGCATGCGCAACAGGTGCTCGTCTGCTTTTCCTGTTCCGGTTAAACATGAGCTGCAAGGACTGAAGGAGATGAGATGCAGGACCAAAAACCTCCATATAGTTTATTAACAGGTTTTCCAGTGACAATAAGGGTAGATAGAAATGAATACACTTCATTCATCATAATATCCGTTCAAAGTAAAACTGAATTTATGTGTTGAAAGTGTGTAGAATTCACCGAAATGTTTTTTGTTTACATGGCAGAAAGTATTGTCTTTATTGATCTTTATATTTTTTGTGCAGTCATTTTTGTTACTCATATGTAGGCATTAATCATAAAATATTCAGTTGTAAAAAGAGACCTCTAGTAGATTACATTATGAAATTTGAATTCTATGCTTAGGTGGATATATAACTTTATGGAGCTAATTTAGTAAAATATTAACTCATTTTCAAAAGGTCATTAGTTGCATTGTTGGAGTAAATATAGATATGTCATCAGTTTGAAATGCTGACATTGAAATTTAAAATAGGTAATGAAATGTAAATATGTATTCTCTAACTTATATAAGATACAGGCCTCAGAACAAAATGTATACACTTCATTAACCCCAGTGCCCTATTAAAAATGACTGAGCTGTTGTAAAATAATACAATGCAAGTGTTTGGACAAGTCAAGCTGTGTGTAACAGGGATTAGGTATGTCGGCCTGGGAGCTCAGTGGTTAGAGCACTCAGCACTGGCACTGTTAGCGGGAGCCCGGAGGTCCCGGGTTCGAGTCTCGGTTTTTAGGCCGAAAAAGGTGGGGGGGGGGAATAGTGAAATGTTTCCCCACCTGTTACTTCTAGTTTACATGTATATAGGATAGCATAACTGTTAATAAAACCCACAATTTGAAAGGTGGTTTTTAGTAGAGTCATGTACATGTATGGACACACAAATGTGTATTCATTATCATAACTAAATAAACACAAGATGCAGTGGGGATACTCGTTTGCAGCAATCATGATAGGAATAAAATATGAATAACAATTTTATCCTTATGTAAAGTGTAGACTGGACTGCTGATTTAAACCACTGTGTAGGAATATAGATAAATTTGTAATGATTGAGTTAATTAAGTTCTCTGAAAGAAGATTGCAAATTACTAAATCAATTGTTTTATCACATTCTTTTAATACTGTACAATACTTATTTGGTTCCTATGATTCCATTGTATTTCACTAACTTTCTATTGGTGTGTATTACCAGACATGCTCATTGGTAAATGTTTACTCTGTTTATGATTTATTCCTACAGAATCAAAAGAAAAGATCAGGTTTCATCATAATGGAGTAAGCAAAGAACCTGAGACATGTCCACCTTGACCAACATGGATGCCCGGCCAAAGATGCACAACATCAGGGACCGACCTGCATACAAACATCCTCAGCATACACAGAAGGCATTCGAGGTTCTCAACCACATGAGAAGGTAGACTTTTAATTATGATTTAAGTAGATTTTTTTTGTGAATTCAACAGGTGTGATGACGACAAAGATTCCTCTAAAAGAGCTAAATATTTTTCACTTGATGAAACGATTTGTCAGATATTTTTGAAATTCTATATTTCCAAAGTTAACTGTCTTGTCAAAGGGTCATTAGACTTTAGACATGTATGCATTAAGTTGATTAATTTTGAATTATTGACATTAAACTTTAAGATCATTATGACAATGCATTAAGTTGATTAAAATGTATAAAGCTGAATTATTAACCATATCAATATGTATTGGAAAATTGTTATGAAATTGAAATGATGGCTAAGTTTCTCTTGATATGATGCTAATAAAATATATAAAGCCTAAAGCATGATGGAAAGGCTATTAATATAAATATTTAAAAAGAATTTTACTCATTTATTAAGCAACTGTATTTATAAAATCAATCACAGAATTCGTCAATTAATTTGCTACATTGACCTTTCAGAGGAACAAATAAGAGGCTGACAAATCAACTCATCAAAACATCATATATTTGTTTTTTATTTTCTTTTTATGTTGTATTGAAAGATAAAGATTAAGTTTTAAAGATACCATTTGACATTGCATCATTGCAAAAAAATTTTTATCCATGTTATTTTATTTATTTACATTGTAGGCAGCAACTTCTGTGTGATGTAACAATTGTGGTAGACACAACAGAAATCCCCGCCCACAAGGTAGTTCTGTCCTCGTGTAGTCAGTATTTTTATGCCATGTTTACCGGAGACTTGGCAGAAGCTAAATCTGACAGAATCACGCTGCAGGAAATTGACCCCAAGGCACTTGTTCAGCTGATAGACTTTGTCTACACTTCAGAAATCCATGTTACAGAGGAAAATGTACAGGTAAACACTTGGCATCTTAAGCATGAGTGTGTGATGATGAGCATAATGGAGATAAAGGGAATGTGTTAAGTAATCTATTATTGTGTACTTTTAAGTGTTTAAGTGCTTCCAAATGCTGAATCAAGCATGTAGAATAAAATCTGCTTAAAAATGCTATTTTCAATATGTTCTTAAGAAAGAATGTGAAGTAAAAATGTTTTCCAAAGGTAAAGAATGTAAATTTCTCAAACTAAGGAGACTTACATTAACCCTCAGCATCTCTCTAAAAAAACAATTAACATCTGTATTTGTAATGAGTAATAGGATGATTAATATGACTTTGTTTTGTAATGTATTTTAGTCACAGGAGTTCGTGTACCTATCAATTCTACCGAAAATTTTTGTGAATAAAAAAAATACATCATACCTGTAATAATAAGTTATTGTTAAAGGTATGACATTTTTTTATTTACTGAAAATTTCGGTAAAATTGATAGGTACGCGAACTCCTGTGATTTTAGTTAATGTGATAATATTAATTGTATTGTAATGATATTTTAGTTAAGTTGATTAGTGTGAATGTATTAATTTCCATTTTTCAGACCCTGCTTCCTGTTGCCAACATTCTACAGATAACGGAGGTTAGAGATGCCTGCTGTGATTTCCTCCAGTCCCAACTCCATCCCTCTAACTGTATAGGTATCCGAGCCTTCGCTGATCTGCATGCCTGTACAGAGCTCCAGAACTATGCACAGACTTACACTGAACAACATTTCGTGTAAGCTTTAATACTAAATAATAGGAATAACAAAGATATAGCAAAGACACAAAAGTTCAGGAAAAATGTAAAGTCTCTAAATAATTTTATACATGTATTAAGATAAAATGCTTTCTTAAGAAGAAGTTTATTAATTGACATCGAACATTTTTCAGGGATGTTGTTCATTTTGATGAATTCCTTTCCTTAAACGTGGATCAAATCTGTAAGCTGATTTCCAGTGACAGGTTAACAGTTGTTACAGAGGAGCAGGTAAGAGAGAGAAGGGATGTAACTCTGTAAGCATTTCAGTGCTATAATGCTTTAATGTTCTCTCTCAATTGCATTTTATCCTGCAACTACCCCTTGCATTGACCTAATAAAGGTAACCTAATAAACTAAAGCTTTATTCGGTCAATGTCCTAATAAAGCCTCGTGCATGTATTCCGACGTTCTAAAAGCATTGTGACGTCATGTATATTGCAATGTTTACGCTATGGCATCTTAGTTTCCACTGCAGAGATGTGTCAAAATCGGGTTAAGTATAGTTCATTTTGGAGGTCAGATGTAAGTATATTTTGCAGGATAAACAAAATACATGGTCATTGTCTTGAAATGTAAGTGATATTTGTAGTGTTGGCAAATCAGGCAATTTTTAGTAACTGGTTACTCGCTTAATCTTCCAATTGAGTACCCGGTTACTCGGATGATTTTTGTTACAGTTTCTGTATTCATTATTAATCTCATCCTTTTACTTATTGGTAAAAATAAACCACAAACGAATGAACTTTATTTACAAATACAAACTTTAAAAAATATATCTTCGAAGAATTTTGATTTCAAATGTCATTTGAAACAGGCAGTTTGTTTTTGTTCAAGTTTCTGAATTATGTTTCAATCTACGGTGATTTTGCATATTTGTAGTTCCACCCATATACGACAGCTCCGAATCACAAAATTTGCATTTGACAGATTTCAAGTCGGGCGTTCTTTTAAAATATTTCCACGCATTAGATGTTTGCGACGGCATCTTATTAAAGTATGTTCTTCTGACTAATTAACAAAGGTCTAAATGAGGTAATTATAACTCAGATCTTCAAAACCTGTATTTCCCTGGCAATAAAGGTCACCAATTATAAACACTGTGAAAACTAATCAAAACAAATTTATCCTATTTGTGAACCACTATTGCAAGCCTAACGGTAATTAAATTAGGGAAATTTGTCAATATATATTTACAAATAACTTAAAAATATTTTATACATACATATTTACTATGAAAAATGTATTTTTATACAAGTAACCGAATAGCAGTTTTACTAACCGATACTCACATCATTCTAGGGTTAACCGGTTAACTGGCTACTCGTTGCCAACAGTAGATACTTGGGCTCAGGTGAAAATGTAATGGAGTGCTCGGCAAGCCCCGCCCTCTATCACGCTTTCTTACCCTCGCCCAAATATTGCTTATATTTCAAGGCAGTAACCATGTATTTTATATATACTACTTGACTTCAGTATAACATGATTAAAAAAAAAATAAAACTAGAATTAAAAGATTTTAAAACTTCTTTTGTTCATGTGTCCTTTTCAGGTTTATGAGGCTGTGCTATCCTGGGTGCAGCATGATTTGACCAATAGACAACAAGAAATTGCACTATTATTAGAACATGTGAGACTGCCATTAATAACCCAGGAATATCTGGTTCAGAAAATAGAGGAGGAACCACTAGTGAAGACCAGTAGTCGATGTAAGGATTTCCTTATAGAGGCTCTAAAGTATCACCTTCTGAAATCGGACCAGAAAGCTGGCTACAAAACTCCCCGGACACTGCCAAGAACTCCACTAGGACTTCCCAAGGTACATATATTTTAACTTCTAGAGGGAAGCAAATACCAGTTAGTCTTTATATTTGGTCTCTGTAATTCGAAGCTTTTTATAAGGTACTTTGATTGACAGATATTGCATAATCAGATCTGTTTTTCCAGGTCTTGTTGGTCATTGGAGGACAAGCACCAAAAGCTATTAGGAGTGTAGAAAGTTATGATTTCAAGGAAGAGAAATGGCACCAGCTGGCTGAGATGCCATCAAGGAGATGTAGATGTGGTAAAAATTATAACATTTTACTAAGTATATTGTTTCATAAATTGTTTTTCAGAAATAATGTTATACATCTATTATTTGTATTACAATTTGTTTGTTTGAAACCTGTCTGCAGCTACATGTATATCAATTTATGAGACTGAGGAAAGGTTTTTAGAGAATTTTACATGACATTTGTGTACATAGTCAATAGCAAGAAATTTAGGGAAAGAATTTCATGCTGCTCTATAAAAGAAGGTTACTTTATCAATGAACTAAAAAAGAGGTTGATTTAATTATGTACTTGGTTTACAATTTAAAAATAGTGGCAAAACAAGGTTATACAACAAAGTAAAGGTGTTTTTTTTTCATTTTTAGCCGGGCTTATTGCTCAAAGAGCAATTGCTGGCTTATGTCAGCCTGTTCAAGGCAGGAAGTCCACCCCATAGTCTCCAAATTAAAGTTGCGTGTAAAAATATAGTCCTTACTCTCAACCGCTTTTGAGATAATACAAACGATAAATAAAGCAAAAAATATAAAACAAAGTTTTATCTATACAAACAAAAATCATTAGCAATGACTTTGAAAACCTCAGTCCTAAGTCAAACTACATAGTTCACTTGCGTAAGGTTTTTGATGGTCAGTGTTATTGTAGTGAGGAAACCAGACTGGCCTGTTTGTTTACATTCGGCGGTGCCAGGTAAACTCTGATCCTGATAAATTCGGACCGTGGTATTAGGACCCATATACTGATCGCCTTAACATTTATATTGATATTTTAATATTATTATGTCTGATTTTTTTTTATTTTCAAAGAAAATAATTATATGTCACAAGCCCTTATTTTCTAAGTATCATTATATATTATGCTTTTTAAAATTGTTTGTGTAACACATTCTTCAAGTGTCTGAAATTCTTATTAAATTTTATCTGTGAATACAATATGAATGTATGAATCATGAACAAAATTCTACTCTGTAATGAGCCCGGCTCTCTGTATTCCTGAGTACTTTGATTCACTTTCCTGTTTAGGTGTGGCTGTGATAAATGGACTTGTGTATGCAGTAGGAGGATTTAATGGATCTCTGAGAGTTAGGACTGTGGACGTTTATGACCCGGTCAAGGACATGTGGACTTCCTGCCCCAGTATGGAGGCTAGGAGGAGCACATTGGGGGTCGCTGTATTACATGGGAACATTTATGCTGTTGGAGGATTTGATGGATCATCAGGTAATTAGTCTTTGATAGATAATACCCTTTGGCTCTAATTTCTCACTTGTGGATTGTTTACTTTATTTAGTTAGTTTTACAAAAGGTAGAATTTTAAGTCAGTTTAATAAGGTTTTATAAAAGGCAAGAGGATTTGCAAAAAATAATGAATTATAGGTGGAAGGCTTCTATTTTTCAGCAAAGCTGACAAATTTCAAGGGAGATATGAATTTATTTCCGTATTAATGAATTGCGTAATTTTATTTAATATTAGGAGATTCATTGACTGTTTTTCACTTATCTTGAATTACCTTGTGATCAAGATAATACTCCTGACCTAAACTGGTGTCAAATGTGCATAAATATTCTATTTACTGGGTGATAGTACTAGAATTGTGTTGTGTTTGTTACAGGATTGGACACAGCTGAGTGCTATGACGTCCGCTGTGGGGAGTGGAGGATGATAGCCCCTATGAGTACAAGGAGGAGCAGTGTAGGAGTTGGTGTTGTTAATGGTACTGAACTTTGAACTCTTGTCTAAAATTTGAAATTATCCTTAAAAAATTGCCAAGATCAATATGCTGAGAATCATTTTATTATTTATGAACATGTAGATGTTAAATTTCTGCTCATACACACTTTACACTGGATTAAACCTGTAGCTTTAAATGCACCCATTTTATGCTTTGCCAATTCTTTTATAGGGATTGGAAATAATGTTTTAGATAAAATTCTGCCATGTTTCTCGTTTTAGGTATGCTGTTTGCAGTGGGGGGTTATGACGGAGCTTCCAGGCAGTGCCTGAGTTCTGTGGAGTGCTACAACCCAATGACAGACATGTGGACACCGGTCGCAGAAATGTCATGTAGGAGAAGCGGAGCAGGTTAACTTCATTTACATCTCTCCATTAGTATTGAATTTTTAATTTACATGTATATGAATCCTTTGACTAGATGTTAAGATTTCTTTCTTAGATGATGTTTCCTTAAATGTTTGAGTTCAAATTTATCTACCCATCGTTAAAAGATTATTTATACCTGCCTTTCAGGTGTTGGGGTTGTAATTTATTCATCTGCCTTTCAGGTGTTGAGGTTGTAATTTATTAGGCCCCGCTCAGCGTGTGCCCTGTAGTGATTAGTCTGTCCGTCTGTCCCTCTGTCTGTGCATTCGTGTCCGGTCCATATCTTTCTTACAGAGGGACATTAGAATCTACTACTCCACAACAAGATTGCCATGACCTAACGGGTGTGTCATGACCTTGAACCATGTTTTAGGTCTAAGTTCAAGGTCACTGGAAGAAAAATTATATAAAAATCCTTGTCCAGGTCCATATCTTTCATATGGATAAACTTGGTTGGTTCTCATTTCACACAAAGATTGCTTTGACCCAAGGGTGTGTCAGTGACCTTAACCAAGGTCATTTAGGGAAAGTTCAAGGTCACTGGAAGAAAATTATCATAAATCATGTTTGTCATACATATCTTCTCTCCCCTAGATAAACTTGTAGGTTCATACTTTCACACAAAGATTGCAATGATCAAGGAATGTGTCAGTGACCTTCAGAGGTCATTTGGTCAATGTTCAAAGTCACTGGAAATTATTTCTGTATATTCTTGTCCGGTCATATTTTTTTCCTATGGATAAACTTGTAGGTTCTCATTTCACACAAAGATTGCCCATGGTTAATTCATGTGTCAGTGACCTTGACCCAAGGTCATTCTAGGTCAAAGTCAAAAAAATTCTCTGTTTAAAATCTTGTGTTCAGTGCATATTTTTTTGCATAAACTTGGTAGGCCTCATTTCACACAAATTGACCATGAGGTATGTGTCATTCCTTGCATATTATGATAGAGGATATGCAACAATTTCACTGGAGGAAACATTTCTAAAAGTTTTTTAATGTATTATTTTTAAGGATAAACTTGGTAGTTCTCATTTCACTGAAAGATTAGCCCATGACAAGGGTGTGTCTTACACTTTCATGGTTATTGCTAAGTTCAAGGTCACTGGAATAAAAATTTCATAATTTGTTTTTGATACACCATCTTTATTATTGAAAAACTTACATCTGCCTTTCAGGTGTTGTAATTGAGTAATCGATCTTTCAGGTGTTGGGGTTGTAGACGGTTTGTTGTATGCTGTGGGTGGCCATGATGGACCCCTTGTCAGAAAAAGTGTAGAAGTTTACAATCCAGAGACAGACAGCTGGTCACAAGTCAACGACATGCACCTGTGTCGCAGGAATGCAGGTAAACTAGGATAGGAGATGGAATCAGATGGAATCAAATAAGTAGTGCTCTTTTTACATGGCAGGAATCATTGCACTGATCTTTTTTTAAACTGTCATATCATAATTATATAAAACTTAAATATTGTTAAAATCAGATCTTGTCATGTTCTGAAATTCTGATAGTTACTGTCAGATTTATGTCAGAGAGAAATGTTGACTGGGTAATTTATGTTCATCTATTTTGGAATTTATTTCATTGTTGATTTTTGAGAAAGAAAACAATTTTTGAAACCACTGCAACATAATATTATAAAAAAAAACCTTTTATTTGTAATGGTTCTTTAGTGAGCATTTCAAAATCGCTAAAGTTACTTCTTGCTAAAAATAAAATTCTGATTTTAAGGACAAATCGCTGAATCTCGCAAAAGTTTTCAGTTATACGGTATGAAACATGAATATTGTAAAAATCAGATCTTGTCAAGTTCTGAAATTCTTACATCTACTTCAGAATTTGAATAGGTTCCTAGTTGATTTTTGAGAAAGAAAAACACTTTTTGAAACCACTGCAACATAATTTTATATTTTCTATAGAGCAAGTTGAAATGTGTTCCTAGTTCTTAAATGTTCTTTACTTGTTGGTAATTAGTGGGATGTTCCCAATTACATTGAATATCAAATTTTGTCTCCTTTCAATTAAGTGTGCACATTTTATCACAGGTGTTGTAGCAAATGGTGGTTTTCTGTATGTGGTGGGAGGGGATGATGGATCATCAAACCTAGGCTCCGTGGAGTGTTTCGATTATAAAACCAACCAGTGGACACTGTTATCTGCGAGTATGATGACCGGGCGGAGTTATGCTGGGGTTTCAGTCATAGACAAACCACTCCTGGAACTCTAGCAGAATGCAATAGAAAACAGTGCTTCTTCTTCTATTTTGGTTACCTGCACATGTAGTACATGTGTGGTCTGTAGAGTGAAACTCAAGGGCGAGAACTCTGTTGGTCCTATGTTGTAGTTCTGAAAAGCATTGTGAAAGAGTTACATATCTGTGATATCAATTGTGTATTTGATGTGCAATATTAAATGGCATGATATATGTTCTGTTTTGTGACGTATGACCTCTAAGGTACATGTGTATCAGTATTTTTAAGTGTTTAATGTTACTCATTGAAGTGTACATGTAGATCGCTATGTGTATAAATAATGGCTAGTGTGTGTGTTTGTGGTTTAGTGACAAAGCCAAATCAATAGTACCCTTACAGCTAACTGAAAGATTCAACGATGCTATAGGTACTTAATTAAGGAGGTGTTTCTTTTTTATACACTGGAGACAGTTATTTCTTTTTCGATAAGTCATTTTATCATGATATCCGGTTTTGTTAATGATTAAGGTAGAAAAATAGCGAAAAGCATGTACTTATGGATAATGAATGTAGTAATCTATTTCAAATTAAGTGCAGTATTAAGGATTGTTTCTTGATCCAGACTTTCTCATAAACCTTTACTTTTATTATCAAATATAGGAAAGGAAAAGGGAAATGAAATGAAGATCAGTCAAATTTAGATAATATCCAAATATTGATAACTTATATTTATCTAGTCTTTATTATTTTGTTTAACCTGAGATGGGTTTGAGAGGTAATAAGGTTTATGTGTGTGTACTTTTTTTCATTAAGAGTTTAGAATCAATTTATTTATCAATGATTAATTACATATGTGTACCATGGAACAGGTAGTTTCTGGGCTTGTCTAAGCTCAGTAATAAATTGTTTCTCTGTCAGCATCCTACATTGTGAAGTTATTTTCATTCATATGAACAAGGATCTCAAAAATTAAAAGTACACCAAAAATGATACTCTTTTTGAAGGAACAATTACAAAAATTAAAAATCAAGCCTTTGAATTTTTTTTATTATTCTGTTTTCTATATACAATCATGAAGTAATCCTGTATTTTCAAGTATTGTAAGCTTAGTCTTAATACAAGGGACCAAACAGCTAGTAATAACAGTGGGTGGATATTTGGGCCATAGCGTATCGTTTTCTAAAATTAGCCAAAATGTAATGGTTGTTCTAGATGACGTTTGTTTTTGAAATGTTAGTGTAAAGATTTGTCAGTGAAAAAAACGAAAAAGTACCTATGTAAAACTTTATTTAAATATTCATAAAATGTGTTTAGACTAAAGATGTCTGTTCAAATAAACACTATTGATACATGTATGTATTTGATTCCAGAAGTAATATTAATTTGTGGGTTTTGCTCCAATGACAATTCTTTCATCAAATGTAAATGGGAATAAAACCCAAACATTACCAATAGTGACATGAAACAGCCATATTTATATTGCTGAATAAATAATTATTGTACCAGGAAAGTAAATAAGGATGGGTTTTCATGGAGTAGTGCTTATATTGATATTAAAACATTATTGATGATGATCAGTCTTTTCAGTCGTGACTTTACTGTTATATTAACTAGAAATGTAATACATCTATCCCCAGGATTTTCTCCACCCTGAATTCTGTCCATGTTTTTTTTTTTTTTTAATTTTTTTTTTATTTTACATTTTGGTTGTAAACTTGTATTTTGACAGGAACCAGTGATTACAATAAAGTTTTTTTTGTGGGATCAAAAGAGATTTGTGATTTTTTGTTAACTACTTTTATCCATCTTGTTTAATGATTCACCGTACTATTTATATATAACCAATTTTAAAAAAGATTTTTTATTGAGTTTAAAGTAAGTTTGTAAATTATTACAAATAACGTAGTCAAAATATTTAAGATATCAAAAAGATCCAGTGAAGGAAATCCCAAATCTCATAAACTCTTAAATTATAGCTAGATGTTTAAAGTGCATTTGATCTCTTCTTAGATTATTTGTCAATGCCTATTCCATGTATTTTGCAGAGAAACCAGACCTATTGTTTGTGTTCAACTATGTGCATATACGTGTACGTAGATATTGAAACAATACTATGTAAAATAAATCACTTCATTCATCTTTTATTGGATTGATTGAAGAGTTATCTCTAGTGATAGATTTGGTACATTGTTTTCAGATTTTAAACTTCGTCAAAATGCATAGTTCATTAAAGAATCATAACAGCAATTTCCACAATAATCATGTATGCTTGAATTCCTGATAAAAAAATTAAAGTAGAGTGTCCTTCTGTGTAAGTTGAAATGGTGTATGTTTTATTAGGTAACCATTTATGACATGTAATTATGTTAAAACTTGAAAAAAAAACTCTTTTCAGCATTTGCTTTAAAAGGCAGAACCATATTACAGTTTATTTCATTTTTAGCTCATCTCAACGAAGTTAGGGGAGCTTATATGGTACCCTCGTTGTCAACATCAGTGTCAGCATCCTGGGGTTAGATTTTGAAACAGATTTCATTTCAAGTACTTTTATGCAATTTACTAAAAAGAGATGCATAGAATGATGCTTCTAGTATGTTTCAGTGTACCAGTCATGGTTTCAGATGCTGCAACAGGTCTCATTTTGAAGGAACTAAAGCCCTTTAAGAACCAACTTGTGTGTACAGATGATATATCTAAAGACGCATACTACCAGTTTCGGATGATGGATCTCACCTTCATTTTCCAGATGATTGACCAGGTTAAAGTTTTTGGAACAGGTTCATTACTAAGAAACTAAATGTACAATGTATAAGGGTTATCTGAACCAAACTTGCAAGGAAAATAATCAGGGGATGGACACTCAAACTTGTTTCAGATGCTTGATAAGTCTTGCATTTCCTGGATGAATGACTATTGCTAGTTTTAATTTTTTATGCAAGTCCATTCCCAAGTAACTATGACACTAAAATTGCGTCAACGTTACATCTAGGGATACAGAATATTAGTTTTGTGGGAGACTTTGCCTTACTGAAAACAACATTTATTTAGATGAGCTCTGTAATCTCTGATTATCTGTTTTTAGCTTGTATGTGACTGTATAAGTAACAGTGGCTTCATTTTTAGCTGATTGACCAGGTTAAAGTTTTTGGTGCAGGTTCATTACCAAGTAAACTAAATGTACAACAATTTTAGTATTTCAATATAACTTGGCACACAAGTTATACACTGAATACATAACATAGTGCATCGGTTTTTGAAAATGTTGCCATGGTTACTAAAAATAGAATTTTCTGAGAAATTCCTATAAAACGCTAATCCTTCTACAGTTTTGCTTTTCAATATTACTTGGCACACAAGTTTAAGATACATAAAATAGTGCATTTTTTGATTTCGATGAACGAATGGTTACTAAAAATAGGTGAAATTTCTTTAAAACGCTACTCCTTCTACAGTTTTAGTCTCATTTCAATATCACATGGCACACAAGTATAGGATAATGTTACAGTTTATTATAGTTTATCAGTAGTTAGTTACTACAGTTGTTATTATAGTTTTCTATTATTTTCAGATCTTGATCATTGTATGACACAGTTGATAAAGGATACTAAAATTACAAACAGAAAGAACTCTTATTTATGATCAAGTTAGTGACACAATAATGCCTGTAGTACAGTGTCCGTTTCCTGGCTGTGACTATACCACCGACGACCTAGATGCAGCAATCGTCGTGGCCCTCATCACAGTCCACAGCACTGTACACACAACTGGACCCGTCTTGACAGCAAAAGTAGAGAAAGTGAAGCGGCCCACCATAACTGCCGCTGGAACCAGCGAGGATTGGGCCTACTTTATGTCACGCTGGACAGATTATGAGGCTGCAACGAAACTGGACGGTAAAGACAAAGTCATTCAGTTGCTAGAGTGTTGTGATGAACCCCTTTCGCAGAGACCTGACACGAACAACAGGTGGCAAATTAACTGAAAAAACAGTAGATTATGCATTAGCTGCCATTCGTAAGCTTGCTGTTCGTGAAGAAAACACAATGGTAGCCCGTGTGACATTACATAACATGAGGCAAGACCGTGATGAGTCAGTCAGAAACTTTGGTGCACGTCTCAGAGGACAAGCTGACATTTGCAAATTCGTGATTGACTGCCCTAACTGTAACACCAAAGTCAACTACACAGATGCCATTATGCGCGATGTCCTCACACGAGGCGTTGTCGACCCTGACATTCAGTTACACTTACTCGGCGATAAGAATCAAAATATGACTTTGGAGGAAGTATTTCAATTCGTTGAAGCGAAAGAAGCAGGGAAAAGATCAGCCTCAAGGCTTCTAGATTCCCATCGGTTGAGGCAGCCAGCTCCTACAAAAGGTCCAAGCAAGTGCCGAGCAAAGAAAATCAAGACCTGTGTTCTTATTGTGGGAAACGTGGCCATGGCAAGAAAAGTGTGGCACAACTACGTAAGACTCAGTGTCCTGCATATGGCCACAGGTGTGAACTTTGTCATCGAGATCACCATTTCGAGAGCGTCTGCCGCAGCAAGGACAATCCAAAATGCCAAACACAGTCTAGGCAACACAACTATGACAAAGAAAGTGCTGTGTTTAACACTTTGTGTACACTAAAAATATACAACCTAAACACCATCAACCCATCAATATGAAGGGACAACGGCAAAGTATTCCTTATATCATCACATCTACGACAGCATGACAGACACATGGTTTCGCAGAAACTCAAAGCCTCAGCCATTTGTGAACATTACTGTGCGAGCTCTTCCAGAAGATTACTCAGCCTTTGGAGTTGTGTCAACACCGTCATGCCCACCATTATTCCGGCTATGGCTGACACCGGTTGTCAGAGCTGCCTTGCCGGTCTTAGAGTGATTCATCGCATAGGACTATCTGAATCTGACCTTATCCCTATGACAATGCACATGCACACATATATACGGCAAAAATCTTGGAGCCTCATTCTTTCTCAAGCAAAGACAATAGTGGTAGAGTGGTGGAAACGAGGCAGATGACATATGTTACAGACTCCTTGGACAAACTGTTCCTGAGCAGAGAGGCTTGCGTACAGCTAGGTATCATCAGCGATAAGTTTCCAGAGGTACAGCCTTCACAAACCGGTACCGCAGCTGTCCATGAAGAGAACACTGCACCATGTGGATGTCCTAAACGCCAATCTCCACCTCCGCCACCAAGTGTTTTGCCATTTTCACCTACAGAAAAACCGCTATATATTTATATAGGTCCAGCACGTTCAACACATGTGAACATCAGCCTCTGCCTCTAATGGATGGCCCACCTATGAAGCTTATGGTGGATCCAAATGCTGAACTAGTGGCCTAACACACCGGTACCTGTTCCAATACACTGGCGAGCAGCAGTAAAAGAAGGCCTTGATCAAGATGTACGGTTAGGCGTGCTAGAACCAGTTCCCATTGGAGAACCCGTCACATGGTGCCATCGGATGGTCATATGCGCTAAGAAAAATGGAAAGCCCAGACGAACGGTTGACTTCCAGGCTCTCAATGCACATGCCACACGTGAGACACATCGCACACCGTCCCCATTCCTTCAAGCGCGATCGGTTCCTAATGGGAAGAAAAAGACAGTGTTTGATGCATGGAACGGCTATCACAGTGTCCCACTCTATGAAGAAGACCAGCATCTGACAACATTCATCACGCCATGGGGAAGATACCGATACAAGACCGCTCCACAAGGCTACATTGCCTCAGGCGATGGTTACACAAGACGCTACAATGAGATAGTTACAGACATTCCAAACAAAACCAAGTGCGTTGATGATGCCTTACTCTGGGCTGATGACCTAGAAGAAAGTTTTTTCCAGGCAGTGCGTTGGCTTGATGTGGAAAGAATGGAATAACACTCAACCCAGAAAAATTTGTCTTCGGAGCAGATGAGGTCGAGTTTGCCGGCTTTGAAATCACCCTTGATGAAGTCAGACCCTGTCGGAGATACCTGCAAGCTAACATGGACTTTCCCACACCAAAAGACATCACGGATGTGCGTTCATGGTTTGGCCTTGTGAATCAGGTTTCATACGCCTTCAGTATGGCTAAGCGCATGTTACCATTTCGGGATCTCTTGAAGCCAGGAACTGCTTTCCAGTGGAATGAACACCTGCAGACATTATTTGAGGAGTCAAAAGCACAGATTGTAAGAGAAATAGAAGATGGTGTTCGCATCTTTGACCCTGACAGACCCACATGTTTGACAACTGACTGGTCCAAATCAGGTATCGGGTTCTGGCTCCTACAGAAACACTGTACATGTGAGAAGACAGAACCCTTTTGCTGTCCATCTGGATGGAAGATCACACTTGTCGGCAGCAGATTCAATCATCCATCAGAGTCTCGCTATGCACCTATAGAGGGTGAGGCACTAGCAGTTGCAGATTCCCTGGACAAGGCCAGATACTTCATATTAGGATGCAAGGACCTAACCATTGCAGTCGACCATAAACCACTTCTCAAGATCTTTGGTGACCGATCTCTTGAAGACATTTCAAACAATCGTCTGAGAAACTTAAAGGAGAAAACACTTCGATACAGATTCCGTATGGTCCATATCCCTGGTGTCAAACACCGTGCTACATACTATCTTTCACGCCATCCTATTAGTGATGCAGAGAAACTTATCTTACCTGATGATGTTGTGCAAGTAACCAATCACAGACTTTTAGAGAACCTTCATATGGAAAATTCAAATACTAAATACATCCGGAGAAGTGGCAGAGATGAACTCATGAGATCAACTGCTGTTGCATCACTGAACGCCCTTGGCGTGAAGTCGGTGACCTGGGACAGAGTTCGTGTAGCTACAGCCAGTGACCAAGATATGCTACTACTGAGTGAGATCATAGAAGGTGGAATGCCACAGCACCATCATGAAGTACCAGAATCTCTACGACAGTATTTCCAGTACCGTGAAGGCTTGTCGACCACTGATGGGGTTATTCTGTACAAGGACCGCATAGTTATCCCGCAATCACTAAGGAAGGAAGTCCTAGATGCCTTACATTCAGCCCATCAAGGAGTTACATCCATGATAGCTAGAGCTGAGACATCTGTATTTTGGCCAGGGATAACATCGGACATAAACGCTCATCGTGCAAACTGCCAACAATGCAACCGCAATGCACCGTCCAACCCGAGTGCTCCACCAGTTCCACCAATGAGCCCGGAGTATCCCTTCCAGTGCATCTGTGCTGATTACTTTACTTACAAAGGTAACCATATACCGCTATCAAACTGGCCCATCGTAGAGCAGTCAGCTGTTGGAGCTCAAGGACTGATAACTTGTCTCAGACGCATCTTTGTCACATACGGGATACCTGACGAACTTGCATCTGACGGGGGACCAGAGTTCACAGCTACGGCTACAAGGCAGTTCCTTAGTGACTGGGGTGTGCATCATAGATTATCCTCAGTAGCCTTCCCCCACAGTAACTGCAGAGCAGAGACTGGAGTCAAGACAGTCAAGCGCCTTCTAATGGACAATACTAGCTCTTCTGGTGACATTGACACAGACGCTTTCCAGCGAGCCATGCTACAATACAGAAATACACCAGACAGAGACACGAAGCTCTCTCCAGCCATATGCATATTTGGTCGACCAATAAGAGACTTCATCCCAATCCCACCTGGGAAATACAAGCCTCATCCAACGTGGCAAAGCACATCTCTTGCCCGTGAAGAGGCATTGCGCAACAGGCATATGCAATGTGCAGAAAGACTATCCGAACATACACAAAGACTACCACCTCTTTCAGTTGGAGACCATGTTCGTATGCAGAACCAAACTGGACTTTTCCCTCGCAAGTGGGATAAGACAGGAGTAGTCATTGAGGTGCGCCAGTTTGACCAGTATGTCGTGCGCATTGATGGCTCTAGACGTGTCACCTTACGGAACAGGAAATTTCTTCGCAAATGTATTCCAGTTCAGTTGCCACCAAAGCGACTTACCATAGAAACTGATTCTAAGGCACATCCACCATTGTCTTCCCTGTTGAGGCCTGTCACATTCCCCGCTCTCAACATGGACACAACAGTGAGGCCTGGATCAACAACACCGATGAAAACAGTCACAATGCAGGAACAGTCACCCGTGCCTGCCACGGAATTCCCATCTGAGACACCCTCTCCTATCAAGGTGCAAAAACCATGCCATCCGCTCACAGACACTGAGCCAAGGACTCAAGATGCCAGCTCACCACCAGATGTTGCCAGAGAACCACCTTGTGCAGAAGCAACGGTTGCTATACCAACGATTGAACACCTATATACCAGCCGCATCAGACATGCTCCAGAATGGCAAAAAGACTTTGTTTGCGAATAAACTCACACAACATGAACTTTACAATCAGCATATGGATTGAATAAATGAAGACTTTCAACAGTGATTTCCAGCCCCTAATTGACAAATCATTAGCCATTAATATTATCATGTGTTAAATATCAGTCTTTTTTTCATTCAGTTCCTTCATTTATAAACTAAATGGACACTTCCTACCAAAAGACTTGGGGGGAGATATAGGATAATGTTACAGTTTATTATAGTTTATCAGTAGTTAGTTACTACAGTTGTTATTATAGTTTTCTATTATTTTCAGATCTTGATCATTGTATGACACAGTTGATAAAGGATACTAAAATTACAAATAGAAAGAACTCTTATTTAACAAGTAGACTACACTAAGATACATAAAGTAGTGCATCGGTTTTTGATTTCGATGAACGATGTTGCCATGGTTACTAAAAATAGAATTTTCTGAGAAATTCCTTTAAAACGCTACTCCTTCTACAGTTTTAGTCTCATTTCAATGTCACATGGCACACAAGTAGACTACACTAAGATACATAAAATAGTGCATCGGTTTTTTATTTCGATGAACGATGTTGCAATGGTTACTAAAATTAGAATTTTCTGTGAAATTCCTTTAAAACGCTACTCCTTCTAGAGTTTTAGTCTCATTTCAATGTCACATGGCACACAAGTAGACTACACTAAGATACATAAAATAGTGCATCAGTTTTTGATTTCGATGAGCGGTGTTGCAATGGTTAAGTACTAAAAATAGAATTTTCTGAGAAATTCCTTTAAAATGCTACTCCTTCTACAGTTTTGGTCTGATTTCATTATCACTTGGCACACAAGTAAACTACACTAATTTACATATAATAGTGCATCGGTTTTTGATTTCAATGAACGGTGTTGCCATGGTTACTAAAAGTAGAATTTTCTGTGGAATTCCTTTAAAATGCTACTCCTTCTACAGTTTTGGTCTGATTTCAATATACTTATCACACAAGTAGACTACACTAAGATACATAATTCTGTGCATCAGTTTTTGATCAGTACAAACCAGTAGAGCTACAGTCTCGACAGAGACTTCTGGTTAGTACATAGGTGGCAGGAGTCATGGAGGAGTACACATCCCCTGTCGACCGGTCACACCTGCCGTGTGCTGATCAGGAAAAAGAGGAAAAGTCCATTGACACAAGTAATGGCCAAACAATTAGTATGACAAATGTACATCAGCATTTAAATTAACTTAATGACAGATTGTATTTGCTGACAGGGTCGTTGTATCTTCCACAGGAATGATCAAAATGATGACTTTAACAGTAAACTGTTTAATCCATACTGTTGATATCAAGGCCATAACTAGGCTCAAATTTTTAGTGAGGCAAGGGTGCTGGGCATTCCTAGTCCCAGACGGGGCAAGGGTAGTACCTGATGGCCAGTGTTGGGGGTTTCCAGGGGGAGGGGGGATCCTGAAACCTGGGTATTAGAAAACAAAAGATTAATCTTAGGAAGTTTTTACGTTTTGAATTGTGGCCGCGTAGCATAGTGGTTGCATATATAGTAGAGCATATGCTCTAGAGTCGCAGACAAAGGAGTTGATCCGAACATTTCGGGCTCGAATCCCATTGCGGGATGCAGGGACCAATCCTTCGGATGAGAACGTAGAAACCGAGGTCCTATTTAACAGAAGTGATGGCACAAAAATATCTCTCACTATTCTATCATCTTCAGTGACCCTGAAAGCCCAGTGCATGTACAAATTCAAAACTTGCAGCCCTCCACCGGCAAGTACTGGTGTCTCAATATGAATGAGAAAGTCTTAGAAGCAGGGACAGAGATATAAATATTTTTATGTCTCTGGAAGGGATGTTAAACAATCAAACAATTTACAAAACAAACATTTTGAATTATATTTTACATGCGTTCCAAATGAAAATGACGCACCTGATGATTTACAGAAATTGAAACAAAAGTTGAAAACATTCATTTAGCACGAAGACACACATAATTCATAAGTTCAATGTAAAACTTTTTCAGGTTTCAGAAAACTCTAAAAATTTAGTGAGGCATTTGCCTCACTTGCCTCAATGGTAGTTACGGCCTTGTGATATTCGTGTTTCATCATCTTATTGGTCAGTAAGTTAACTTAATTTATAGAAATTGTTCATAAATAGAGCCTGCTGTTGTGCATTGAATCAACTGTGAGATATAAACATTGTACGCAGGTGATGAAGCTATATTGTTGTACCTTTAAAATAATTGTTTCTAGACAGATCGGTTTTACTGAGTGGGCATAAAAAAAATCAAAGTTTGACCGATGAGTGAGTACAAAATACATGTATGTATTTATGAAATTATGACGCCAGCTAAAAGATAAACTGATAAATATGAAATAAAAGTTGAAGAGTTTGTTCCCTTTATGCAGCAGATGTTAGTTGATCTACTAAAAGTCTTGTTATTCAGATTATTTTATTATATACATAACTGTTGTGAAGTAATTGTTAAGAACTTCTACTAAAGATTATATGCTTTGATCTCTGTTCTCTTTAAGTTTAGCTAAGTTTTCGAAAAAAGAGAGAAATTTTCATTTCAAAATCCGCGCCAATTTAACCGGAAATTTATTTCGAGCTATTTCTTATACCGCTGTTCCATCTATTGGACAAAAAGTCCTGTTTTGAATGTGTATTGCAAATATTTTAAGACAATGGACACAGTATTTAGCGAAAGAACATGCCAAAATAGTCTGTTTTTTAATTGTTTATATTCTGAATTTTATTAGCCTTCTGATGTCGTCACATATATTTGTATCAAGTTTTTACGTTCTGTGCACTCGTATCATGGAACAGCACAGTCAGTATTTGTTGTCAGTAGATACATGCGCTCGAATATGAATTTAATGATGAAGACTAATTACCATTAATTCTCTTTACATCTGTTTTATGAAAATACTTCAATAAGCTGCTGTTTTGTGAAATAATTAACTAAGATCTTCCTAAAAAATTCTTGATCCAATTTTTGGGTTGGATTCGTTTTTGCGCTTCAGTTCGAGTTTGTTCAACATTTCTGTTCGTCGGATTTTCAACCGATGTGATGACCGATCAAATGGTGACACTTGTGATTTAAATTGTAATTGTAATCTTATTTTTAGCTGCTTACTTTTGGTGTTCAAGGAGAGAGAAGTTAAAGAAAGTAAACAAAGTAAATGCATTTGATTTTTTGGTTGCAGCAGACGACCTGTCAGTGATACACAAATTACAACAAAAGTTATCTCCAGTATGGCCTGATAATTGGACTACTTTATTGCTGTAAGGTAAGTAGGTACGATGAAAGATTACAACTAAAAAATAGATAGATCTATAATATATCTTTCAATTGGAGTGTTCAACTTTTTTTTTCTTATGATTTGAAGAAAATTGTGATTTTAAACATGAAAACAATGAAAGTCAGTCAGTTGATTCAAGTCTGTTAATTTATATATCTCCTTTAGCATGTTAAGATTTTGTGTTCCCATATATGCCCATATACCACAGACACTAAATGTAATTTTAGACTGCATTTTCTGCAAACCTGTAGGACCAAAAAAATACTAATATTAATTGATCTAGACTGCAAAGCAATGTAGTATTTTTTCTTAAGGAATCCTACATTGAGTTAAAATACTGAAATAACTAACAATCTGCAAAATGTTTTCTATTTATATTCCTACACACATTTTTTCAGTTATGAAGTCTAACACTTGTATATAATGTTCATATAACATGTATGTTATGTGTTTATGATTTTTTGTTACTCCATTTTTTACATACCATAATAATTTGAAAAGTGTGATTGCATTAACTTTTTATGACCATAGCTTATAATCAATTAACTCATCAAACTTTTTCAAAGTGCTGTAAGAAGTCCATGATTGTTGATACATATGAAGAAAAATGTCCAAAGTAAGTGAAGGTGACTTTAAAGGTACCATATACATAAGAAAGTTTATGTCATATGTAATGCATGGAACTCATTTGCATGGAAGCACTTAGCTTTAAACATACAAGTAACAGTGCTTATAATATATACACTGTATATGTTAATTTTGTTAATCTGTGCCCAAAACTTTTACAAGACAAGCTCCATCATGAATTCAGAAAATAATTAACCTGAACATTCTTTAATGTGCTTTTTGATAAGTTAAAATTGGTCAGTGGAGTAAGATGTTTTCCAGTGAGAAAGGTTTGTGATGATATGAGGAACCTTAATTTTTGGTTTTTGGGTGCAGATTATATTATTTGTTGTGAATATAAAGTTCCTGTTCCTATACATATTCTGAAAGGTGACATTTGATGATTTCTCTTGGGCTATATTTATTATGAACAACATGAGAAAACTTTAAAATATCCAGAGGTTTGAGATATTGAAGTCAAAATACATCAAGAAATTTTTTTGGGTCTACCAAATGACTTGGACATATCCATGGTATCTGAGGTATTTTGAATTCAACTGTGTACCTTCATGAAAGAATCAGAATTATAGTGAGTCAGTTTGTCATTTTAAATGGAATTGTTTCTGTTTTATTTATGGTTATAGATGAAGGAAATGACAACACCCTACTAGATGGTTACATAAATGGATAATTAACCAGTAGATGGGATATTAGTGTTTTCCCTTTCTTTCAAAGTAAGGGGTTAGAGATCAGTTGTAACAGGCTTTGAGGTTTATGAACAAAATCTCTGTGGACCTATTCACAACAAATTTTCATTTCAAAGTGGCATTTTTGTCAATTGAAGCCAAATGACTTGGATATAGGGAAAACACTGATATTTTTTAATATAAAATTCTTGCATGTGTTTACTGTTATACATCAAATGATACATGTATGATTTTGACAGACATTAATTAAAATTATGAATGTGCATGAAATGCAAGGTTGTTAAACTGCATTCCAAAGAAAACAGAATCATTTTCCAGATTTCGTCACTTTCTGATAGTCTATAATATCTGTGACTATAAAATTCTAATGCATATACCTGGAAATTGTCTATATACCGATCTTATTAAATCCAAAGACAATTTATGGTAAATAGTTTGTTAAAAAAGTATTTAAATTGTGTACTCGGTATCGGACTATCGGCATTGCATTAACATGTGCATTACTTTATTTTAACTTGAGTGTTTTCTTCTCATTTCTCTTTGCAAAAATTAACACTAGAAACATGGCTGGTCATTCATGTCAAATGTTCATTACCCATTTTAATATGGGTTTTAATCTGTGAAATAATTTATACAGCTATAATGCTGTAATAATATTTTGGGTATTGTCCAGGAATTAGCAATACAAAATGTACGTCAAACCCACAATTCATGTGCACAAAGCACAACAGCCTCATAAAGTTGTTTGACAAAAGTTCCTTTAAATTGTGTGTAAGATTATTTTGTGCTCATGATTAACATAGTGTAAGTGCTTAAACTTGAAATTAGGATCAAACGATAGAATATACATTTCTTTGATTTTGACCCTGAAAAAATAAATGCACATACATTCAACTGCATGTGTGACAGTGACACTGATATTTTCTTTGTTGTCTTGTCAAAACGAATTTGAGTGTTAACAGTAATTAATTAATCGAGCAAAATGTTTACGCATTTTGATTGACATGTCAGTTCCATGGTATAGTATTATATTCAAGATGTCTTATGAAAAGAAATGTACATATCAAGTGAAGACATTTTTTTCTTATATCTAATTGTTAAACCCATAGTCATATTTTTATTCTGAACAGATTTAGCATATTTTATTAGTAGTATTGAAATTTAAGAATAAACCTCAAAGATGTATTCACATTCATTTGCAGTTCTGCATCAAAAGCATAATAGTACTTGCAAATATGAGCATATTTATTGATTAAATAGCATACATACATGTACCAGCAAAGATGTATTGAAATTGTGTACAATGAAACTGACAGTTTTTCATTAATTAAGTATAGCACACTCCAATGCCATAAAGATATATCATTCAATACAAGGTAAAGCCTAGATGACAAGTCCTGTTCGAGGGCTGTAAGATAAGGCTTGTAACTTCATGAACACTCTAACACAAGTGTGTCCTCCATGTTTTACAGACTCTTCAAGTGAGAGGAGCATCCCTGTTACGTGCAATGGAGAAGTACGAGAATCTAGGACTGGTGGGGGAGGGGAGCTACGGGATGGTCCTCAAATGTCGCCACAAAGAGACAGGACAGCTGGTCGCCATCAAGAAGTTCCTGGAGAGTGAGGACGACAAAATGGTCAAGAAAATCGCTCTCCGAGAAGTCAGGATGCTCAAGGTAAAGAAAATAGTTCCCCTATGAAACGGGTCATCTACCATCTTTTCAGCATTTTTGGGTTTGATTAATTACCATTTTATTGTAATCCAAAGAAAAGCCAGTTATTATTAGCATTTTCATTGTGATGCCACTTACTGAATAAATTTTGTTCACATGATAATGATATTGGGAGAAAAAGAAGATATATATATCAGTTGAACCATTATGAAACCTACATGTAATGAGATAAAAATAGAAATAATTATGACTAAAATTATGCCTGCACACCCATGTATGATGTTGTTTTTTTTAGTGTTAAACAATATCTTACACAAATATGTTTTTCTTTTGATATTAAAAATAACAATATACATTTAAACATACTGTCCATGTATCTTTTTTGCATAGCAAAGAAAAACAAATTTTCATATCTATGAAAATGGTTGTGCAAATATATGTCAATATTGATATATTAGCTTAGGATTAAGTATTGAAATTTAATGCTATTACCGTAGTATTATCCGAATGTGCATTTAAGGTAGACATATCAGCTTTGGATTGGTGATCATTGTTCAGCATAGTTCAATTTACATTGGATAATCAGCCAAATTCTTTATGTTTTATGATCTGATTTTATTTTATGTCTTTGGTTATGCAGTTGTACATGTTTTATTGGTCTCCAAAGTGGATCATAGACAGTTTCAGATAAGGATTAAATTGTGAAGTTTTGAAAATTTAAATACATAAAAATAAAGTATAAATCAAGAATTCTTTGGGCCAATTTTTAGAAGTTTCTTAAAAATGATGGACCCCCTTCATCCATGAAAATGTTTGTTCAAGACATGTTGATAAAATTATATTGCTTCATTGTGTTCATTATGTGAACATGTAAGTCTCAATCTTCACATGATTATTTTTATGAGGCACTGCTATATATTGATAAAAGAAGCAAATGTATACTTGGCCTAACTAACTATTGACAAGAGTTTTATCCCAGATTTAAAAAGAATGTTTTAATGCATTAAATTCTCCAGCCTTTGTTAAATTGATTAATGTTATTAAATAGCTCAGTGGGGTTTCTTGAAAACTTTCTTTTCGTGAAATACCCTTATATTACAAAGTAACTTGATGTCATTTATTTCTTCAAAAATGATGCAAAGAATGTACCTTATAATCTTTGTTCCTTATAACCATATAGTTCAGCAAGATGCCGTAGCTATGGTGTTCGGGGGTGAAATAATTAATATGGAGTGGTTGTGTCTGTCTGACAATTCATTTAGTTTTTGTGTACCAAACAGTATATGGCACTACATGTAGAAAGATTTTTTTCTTGTATGGTAACTTGATTGAAAATTTGAACAATGTTTTGTTGCAGGGAAGGGGGGGGGGTATATCTATGCATGTGCTCTAAATTCATAGATTGAAACACTGACTAATTTTACAACACTCAGGTAAAGCCTAAGCAGAGGTTACTTGTAAGAGACAGATAGTAATCATAGTATAGAATTTTATCAGTGGAAGGCTTTTTCAGGGAGATCTGATCTAGAATCAAACCACTTACCTGCTGGTGCACCATCTTTATTTTTTTTTACAAATATATATACTCTGTGTCTGTTTTAAGCTTATATAGATGTTTAACTAATCTGTTTTAGGGAAGACTAGATTAAAAAGATAGTTCTTTCCTTCCTTGAATAAAGGTTTAGTTCTTTTCCTTTAAAATGATGTTAGTTTGCCATACATGTATCATTTAAATATAGTATTATAAGTAAACATTAACTTTGGTTCAAAGAACAATAAGTATCCTTTGGTCGCATCTTGCTCTCAAAGGTCATCAGCAGTTAGTTAAACATAAAATCAAGAAGCCAGTACAAAATCATTAAAATTATTGATCATAACACTTTGAAATATCTTAGAATGATAAACAGTATTTATTAACTGGACTAAATGCAAAACAGCATGAACAATTTAGCAAATTTTGTTTTAACAAACTTTCCTATTGGTAATAGATCAAAAACTCAACACTTGCCATCAATTAATTTTTTTCTATCAAGAGTTTTATAGCAGATGTTTTTGTTTGGTTCATTTTTTGCCATTCAGGGTATATTGAATTTAAACCTGGCTGTGCCAATTCGATTTTTGTTATAAATTACTTAAGTCACCTACAAGGTCTGTTGTTGGGGTTTTATGTTTCTATAATCCTTTTATTGGATGTTAGACCAGACAGGTTTACACTTGGAGTCTGAACAATATCTTCGATGGGGCATACTCATAGATATTTGTTTAACCATTTATAATATAATCACTGATATCTATAAATATTTTGGATTGTTGTTGGTTAAATATGCATTATGGCACATTCAAATCCAACCAAGCACGGGCAAAATGAGCTGTTCATTTATTTGTCTGCACATAGGGATGAGGGCATTAAAAGGGTTTGCTTTAATTCAATTGTTCATTCAAATTCAAATAAAGCAGCATTCATGCACAACTGGCCTTTAACTTGGTATATATATCCTTACTTATCCTGTGGACTACGGGACAGATTTGGTTTATATACACTAACAAGAGAAGAGATTATAGCTGACTCCACTGCAGACCTTGACAACAGGATTTCTCATTTGAGAAAGCCCTCTACCTTGACTTATAATCCAGACATCCATTGACATATATATTTTATAATTTTCAAAGTAACAGAGATGCGTTATGATGTATGTACGTGTATAAGTAGTGTATTCTTTCTGTTAGAATTAAATGATTTGTAAACATGCATTTTGAGCAGATTTTTTCTCTCAGACTTTTGATTCTATAAGTATAGACCATCAATACCCTATGTATACCTGGTTTAAGAAGAAATATTTAACAAATATACATACTGGAATCTTAAAAGACATATGACTGGCATGGAAGGCACTGGATTCCAGCGCTATACTAATGCTAGGTGTCTGTTCTTGATTTCTGGGATTTAGTCTCAGGTTTTATATTTTAATCTTACATAATACACTCTTTTAATTCATCATATCTGTGTAGATAAGCAGAGAAGCTTGATAAAATAGAGGTCCTTTGAGATGAATTGACAAACTTCAGTGTATCTATAAACACACTACTAAAGTTGTTAATACACCTATCATTCCACTGCACAAGAGATTTAATAGGTAGTGTTTAAAAGTCAAACAAAAATTATGAAAAAAGAAATGTTCAACACTAAAAACTATGTGTACCTACAGGAAGAAGTTTAATTGCATAACAATCTTACTGGTCAGGGCAGGGTCAGAAGTATATACTAAAGAAAATATAGCTAACAAAGGATATATTTAAGCTTAATTATGAAATTTCTATTCAATGACATTCGAGTTGAGGATATATCCAAGTGTATTCAAGAAGAGATTTGTAAAGGCAAGCTTTGTCTTTTCAGCCCTTGTATGGGTTTAAGGATCATGTATGTACCCCTAAATATTCTAACCCACACATAGAAATGATATCTCTTAGTTGCATAACATCCTGAAGTATTGATCTCTTCACCATGTACTTTTGGTTTGTTGTAGTACAGTATTAAAAATTCATAATGCAATTAGTTTCCTTTACATGTACATGTAACCTGATTATTTTGTGCCGTGACTGATACATTCTCTCAGTGACCATAATATAACAATCTTAAGCATTGCACTTATATATACAAGATATTAGTCTGATGGTTATACCAGGCTTGAGTATCAGGTTTGGTCTCCTGAAGAATTTAGTGAAGGGGAAGATTTCATCAGAGATAGATTTGACTCAGTGATTAAGCTTTATATTTCCCTGATGCATACTAAACTCATGATCAATATAGTCCAAGTTAGCCTTCTTTAATTAATCTGCATGTTTTCTCTCATAGCTCACATCAAAAGGCAAGGATATATAAAAATACATGTTTTAAAGCAAGTAAATCATTACTATTAATCTCTGAAACACAGCAATGCCTTTTTAGAAAAATGATAATTGTACTATAAGGGGTAAAATACTTGTGTGTTATGAAACAATCTTGTGCACAAATGACAATTTTTTTTAAATATAAAATATTAATGTAAGATCTATTAAATATCTTCATTTATTTTTGTAGCAACTACGGCATGACCACCTTGTGAATTTGATAGAAGTGTTCAGAAGAAAGAAAAGACTATATTTAGTGTTTGAATTTGTGGATCATACTGTGCTGGATGAACTTGAAAAGTGTCCTAATGGATTGGATGAAAACACAGTCAGAAGAATCCTGTGGCAGGTTCTGAAGGGCACAGAATTCTGCCATTTACACAATGTAAGCTTGTTTGAACTTTCTCTAAGTTTTAGTCATTAGCGAAAAGGCCACTGAGCTACCAACCATTAGGATTTAAGCATAAGGCTTATTAAAATGTGCCTTACAATTTTTCCATTCTTCCATTTTTCTCCAAAGTTTGAAATACCAGAATTTACATTGCTGTCCATGCACCTCACATTTTTTCTGTAATAAAAAAAAGCTATATAGTCTTTACAGAGCTTTCTTGTAAATCATTGACAGCTCTGAAAGGCTAAACGTTGACGAAACAGATCATCAGAGTAACTTGGATTTATTATTTCTCTTTCAGATTATTCATAGGGATATAAAGCCAGAAAACATACTGGTTAGTAAGTCAGGGATAGTGAAGTTATGTGATTTTGGATTTGCTAGGACTCTTGCACAACCAGGTGAAACCTACACAGACTATGTGGCCACCAGGTGGTACCGTGCTCCAGAACTTCTGGTGGGGGACACCAAGTATGGAAGGTGAGTACCCAGGAACCACGTGCCTGTTAAAATCTTACCGTGGTACATTTATCTTGATTGATCATTTCAGTGTTTCACAAGAAGTCATCTGATAAACCATTTCATTGCCATTTTACACTGAATGTACAGACCTTAGTCAGAGTAAATTTGATACAAAAAATTAATTCTAGCATAAATCTTTGGTTTGACTTCACTAATTCAAACATTACATCGCCTATAAAATTCAATGGATTTGGATATTTAAAAATAAATCAATTTGATGATAATTTATTGGCTAAATTTTGGCATGTCAGTTGTTGGTTAATTTAAAGTACTGTGGGTATATTCTTTGCTTTTTTCCAATTACAAACATCAGTACTATTAACATTTATTTTAGAGCTGAAGTAATGAGATAGTACTGTATAAAGAGAAATTTTCGCCCTTGTTTTATTTTCGCCCTACCCTCATTTGGGCGAATTTAAAATGGGGCGAAATGAAATAATACGGTATAATTTCTTTAATGAAACTCTGATTGGGCGAATTTAAAACGGGACAAAATTGTTTGCAAGTGTAAAAGGGCGAAAATTAAATGGGGCGAAAATAACCCTGTATACAGTACCTAAAATTGACCAGAACTCTAATGGTGTTCGTCTTTAGGTCGCATGAGGCAAATTAAGGCTCAAATGAATTTTTCTGAATAAAAAAAATCACTTCGTTTCAAATGAGGTGCAGACCTACTGGTCCAGGATAGGTTTTTTACTTCAAATATTGCATCTGTTTTAGTTTATGACTTTAGTCTAAATATCTATAGTATAAATTCACTTCTCGAAGATAGGAGGAATCTTTTCATATATAGACTTTCTATTTTATTGATATATTTTGAATATTTTATCTTAAATTTTCTTTACTTTTCATTGTCTTTTCATTCATGGTAATGTCTAAGAATCACTGTATTTCAAAACCATGCATTTAAGAGAAAATAAAAAAAAAAGTAATTATATATAAACAAATTATGCAAACGAAATGCAGTGGATTGCAGTTGCTAGAATACTTTCCTAGTTAATATATAATAAACCCATTTATATGAAGTTTTAATTCATATATTGTCAATATTCATGTAGTTAAATTACAATTCCTTTGTTTTGTAGGGCAGTGGATATCTGGGCAATAGGATGTCTACTGGCAGAAATGTTGACAGGGGAGCCTCTCTTCCCAGGGGATTCTGACATAGATCAGCTATATCATATTGTCAAATGTTTTGGTAATTAAGTATCACAAAACTATAGTAAAATATGAAATACATACTGGCTGCGATATTAAAGAGAAAGAATATATAAGAAAAAGAAATTGGTTTTGTTGCATATCACTATTTATTTTAACAAAGTTTATAAAGCTTTGCAGTTCAGAAATATACAATTAACTACACATAAAATATCAATACTTCAGGTAACCTAACTCCTAGGCATAAGGAGGTCTTTCTCAGGAATCCACTCTTTGTTGGAATGCGGTTGCCAGAAGTCAGAGAGATTTCACCTTTAGAAAAGAAATTCAACAGGATATCTTCACAGTCATTAGAATTAATGAAGGTAATTATTAGTTTGTACTTTTAATCAGAAATTAGAAGACGGATTTCTTTTATTTTCTTGTTAAATACAGTAAGACTTGTTTAGTACGAACACGGATATTGCAATTCACAGATATAGCAAAGTTATCTTTGATCCCCAGCTATATAAATTTAACAAATTCCTGATACGGATATAACGAATTACAGATATAGCAAAGAAATTTCACAGGTCCCCGCGACTCATAATCAAACCATATATTCAAACTTAATGCAATTAGTAAAAATCTACGTCTTCATTAGAAAGAGAATTGGACAAAATATAGTATTGAAAAGTGTATGTTGTGATCATTGAAATATTCATCATACTTAATTGCATTTCAGCAATGTTCACTGAGATATATAAAATTTCATACTTTTTCATTTCAGCAATGTTTACGTCTTGATCCTGATGAACGTCCCACATGTACTCAGCTTATAAAGCATGACTTCTTCTCCAAAGATGGCTTTGTTTCAAGATTTCAAAATGATCTAAAACAGAGGATTGAAAAAGAGAATCAAAGCAACCTTCTAAAAGCTGGTGATAAAGATGATGACGATAGCAAGAGTAATAAAAAGAAAAAGAAAGTAGACAACAATAAAGACAAGGTAAGTGACCCACCCGGTGAAAAACTGACTATTGTGATGTCACAGTGGTAGCTACACACTTCTTACATTGTGATTTTGAGCTACTTTAATTTATAATTGTGAGTGTTCCTTTACCAAAAGCCTACAGTGGTTTAGAAGTGAAAGTTTTGAGTCTTTCAGATAAGACCATAAAAACCATTAAGTCCAGTTCCACTGTAGTCATTAATATTCACTGCCATTGCCTTAAGTTCTGAGGTCAAAATTCATGGCACTTCACCCATACTGTAAACCAACTTTTATTCACGACGACTATTTCGCGATTTACCAGGGATAAACTAGTTCACGAGGATTTATTTTCGCGATCAAGCCTTTTTGATCTGTTATTAATAGACAAATATACTTTAAGGACTGGTTCGCGGCGAGAAATATTCATGATAACGAGGCTCTCGCGAACTTCATGAAAATTTCTCGCACAGGAATAAAAGTTGGTTTACAGTATTGGGAAGTTAAACAAATATCATATCATTATATTTCTATAAAGATCTTTATAGAAATTTTTACAGTTTTGAAATTTTACAGATGTTATGGCTCAAGCTATTTTTAGGCATGGCTGAATGATTTGGAATGGAAATGCATTTCAAGTAAGGACTTCAGATTTATTTTCTGTCATTTTTTATAGGATTCAAAGGCTACAGATAAGAAAAAAGTGCAAGACAACGATAAGACGGTGAAAAAAGCAGCAAATCCAAGCACTGTTAATGGAACTAGTAATGTGTCTATATCTACTCCTAGTAATCAAAACAAAAACAAATCTGACACTTCATTAAAAGAGGTCAAAGTGGACATTAAAGACAAAAAGTCTGATAAAAATGAAAAGAAAGTGGAAGAAAAGACTGAGAAAAAATCAGGTGATAGCAAAGGAAAGGCAGAGGAAATAAGTGATAAAAAAGACAGTAAAAAACAAGAGGATAAGAAGCCTGACGATAAAGTGGATAAGACAGAGGACAAGAAATCGGATGTCAAACAGTCCGAATCCAAGGAGAATGAGAGAGACAAGGAGAACAGTAAGGAGAGTACAGTGTCAGCTACATCATCCAGTATTCCTCCCATCAATAATTCAGGACACACTGTTCATGTTTCCACACCTCCATCCATGCCTTCAATAAGCAGGTAAAATCCACACTTATGTCCATTTACATTGTTTGTTCCGTTTGTGAGATTTTTTCTCCAGGTACTGAATGGTAATTAATTTAGTCTAGCTATCGATATTACAATTTTTCAGTTCCCTGTTAGAGAACAATTTAAAGTAAATGGGCTGACATTCATTTGATAGCATCTAATAATTTATATAGTAATACAAGTACCTACTGGTATTTCTTACAGAAAAAAAAATAAAACTTAGCTAATCTTATGCAATCTTATATAAATTAATTGTTTAATTTTCTTTCAAAAATTAAAAATGTACATGGTAACCAAACTTTTACTTGATTTACCTTTATGTTACCATACTGTAACATAGCACATGACTTTGGAGTATAATTTTTTTATGGGAAAAATGATGTTCACAGAGTTTTTCAGTAACCGACTCACACATTAATATATAAATGTTTCTCTGAACCTTTCTTGTGATTTGAAATTCTCTCGGAATGAATCAGTGACTGTTTGGCTTTATATTGACAGACAACCTCTAGTCATTAGATCCCAGTACTTAAGTCTTGCCAGGTATCGTAAGCAAATTTCCCTACCATAGAAACTAGAACATAACTGTAGTCCATACAAGTAACAGTAGAATAGCATGTTAACCAATATACCTGAGTTTTTTTGTTCCATGTTATTCTCTAATACATGTATTTATATCATACAAAATATTTCAAACATTTTATGACTTGTTGATTTTGTTGACTGAATTAATGTATAGCTTTGACTTTTTATTTATTTATTTTGCTACATATTAAGCTTATTATCTTATTATTGAGATTTCAATTATGATTTTCCTTTGTTTTTTGTCCCCAGACCCTATTGTAAGGTAACAAAATTAACACATATAATATATGTGATATGCCAAGGCATATCGGCAGTCTAGCTAGTTAGAAAGGATAGTTATAGATATGTATATGGGCCAAACTCTAGCTATGGGGTAATAATTGTACAATTTTTACTCTGGGCATATGAACAGATTAAGGTAAAGGGTATAACATAAGGTATGCAGAACCCAGACTTCAAAGTAGCAAATGCAGTAGGATTTTATAAGGAACATATCACTATGTACATGTTATGCTTTCAGACACTAGTGCATGTATGTCATAAAAGTATCTTCATACATCTTCAGAAACATATTTATATGTGTATATACATGTACCTGTATTCACTAATAGCAGATATCGCTAGATAGAAATAAATTTTGTTCTCTCTATGTTATTTGTAGAAGCTATTGTTTTTTAGTACCATGTCCTTATAATTCATCATTACATGTACATGTACATTTACTATTTCCTCACAAGTAAGCGTTTATTTTTTAATTTTTTTTGAGGGGGTGAGTAGGATTTACCTGCTTCTTGCATCTTTTGTAGAAAATAACTTCGTAACAGAATTTAAAGCTTGAAACGAGCTCAACTATTGCAAATGGTTAAATGTGTTGTGATCTTGAACCAAGATCATTTAGGTGTTTGAGACCTTCACTTCAGTTTTTTTGGCTACCTCACTTCAAGGTCACTGAAATAAGAATATAAAATACATTAGGAATCTGTTGAAACTTTGGTGAATCTGTGAATTAATGCTCATATTTGACATTGTCTGTGTGGGGCAGTGGTTAAAATGTTTGCTCTAAAGTCACTGAATAAGGAGTTGATCCCTACATAGCAGGTTGGAATCCACTGTGTGACATGGACACTGGGCCATTGGATGAGGCCATATAAACGTAGGTCCAATTTTGCAGTAGTTGCTTACACAGAAAAGATCCTTCATTCTCTAAAGACCATAAGTTCGCAGTATAGGCCTTAATTTGCAGCTCTTCAACAGCAATTGGTGATTTCTCTATATGAGTGAAATATTCTTGAAGGGACTTAAAACAAACATATTTGATTCACAGAATGCATCAAATGCATCAAACTAGAAGGTGTATCTATGCCTTACCTTGCTAACAGCTCAATTTTAAGGTCACCTATAGAAAAAATTTGCTGCTACGTGAGGTTATGTTATAAATCCTATCCGCTATCCAAGATTACTGATAAATGATCAAGGTCACGTGATGATTGAAGTAATAATATACAGGGGAATTTTTCTTAATTTTTTCTTCTTGGTGTCTCTTATATTTATTGTTACCTGGTAGATGCAATCTTAAAGTCTCTGTTTTATTTACAGTTCTTAACATGCATGATTAAATCTACAAGTCAGTTAATTTTAGAAAATGCATACCCTCTGATATTCACAATCATAATAGTTTTTATATTAATACATACATATATTTTGTCTTATTTCTCATTTTTATTCCACTTTCTTTAAGGTAGAAGTAAAAAATTGTTTGTTAAACTTTTGACATTTTTTTCTTGATTGCATATATTGTGATATAATACATGTATGAATTCTTGTAGGTTTATGCTTATTTTGGTGTTTAAATTTGTAATTTTCACAAAATCTTCAAGTTAATAACAGTTTTACATAGAAATTTGTCTCCATTTCAAGAAAAGCACCTGATGACAAGATAAATATTGATTAGTGAGTAAAATGACAAAATTATATACTTCCAGTCCGACGATGGGTCTCAATACTGCAAACAATATAAGTTTGTCCAATATAATGAGTTCTCCATTTTCTGGCCCACCTCCACTGAGGTAAGAGGTGTAGCAATGGAGACTACAGAATACTAGGCAGCTTAATCAGTTATTTGTATCTTGCATGCTCCTAATCTGCTAATTCTACTAAAATCACTCAAACTGTAGATCACTTTATTTTTGCGACTCCTTTTTCCACAAGATAGTCATTTACTCTTTATTATTAGTGAGACAAAATCTTCTCAATTGTGGTAATTGCTCTCTTTAATCTTAAGGAATACTATTATTATACGAAAACGAAATTTTCGCGTCTACATTGTCTCGCATAGTTACGCAGAAAATAAAGTTTTCATAAATAAAAAGTGATTTACAGTACTCCACTGTTTTATTTCTACATTGTATAAAATAAATATCTTTTGGGGGCTGATGTTACTTTTTATATGATATTTCTTACATTGATTTATTTGACAAAGTAATTGTACTTTTTGCTGATTTTGTTTATTACTGTAGTCACATGTCTGCATTTTTATCCCCCTTTTCAATTCATGATCTCCTGTTTCTGCAACAGTTTATATGTCTATTATCTTTTAAATTTACCTGATCTTTTCAGTTTTTTTAAAGCACCATTCTATTAGATAAAAAAAATCACTGAAGATTAGAATTTTTCATTTTGTACATAAAATATACAAAGACCAACTTGATTGTAGCAAAATAATTAAGATTAATTGATAGCAATCACTTTTTACTCTATAAATTATTAATTAACTATGTTCTTTTTCATTTGAATTAAAATTATTTCTGCACTATTATTCATGTATACACTAATCAAAGAATGCATTTGATTTCTTTCTAAGCATTGGTAAGGTGGCTATATGGTTAAGCAAACCAATAAAAATCGGACAGAATTTGTATAAATGTTAATCACTGTAAATCTGTAATGTAGGGATATCTGGTCTCAAGCTTGGTAAGTAACAAAAGAAAATCCCTCAGTAATGCTATTCCTGATTTTATGTGGATAACAATTTGCATTTTGAGGATTTAACTATGTCAGTCACTATAAATTCTTATGAATGTTTAATTTTAATATTCACAGTCATCAAGATCTGAATCACAGTTATGGTTTTAATTTAATACAAAAGCATTGTATGTCTGTTCGTTCTTCACTTGTTCAGAATATTAAAATCTATTGACAAATCAGATATATATGTTAAATTATGCCAAGCAGATTTATACTAGCCATTTGATATGAATTTGAAATGTTATCTGCTGTAAACCCTTTAGTGCATTTAATATATGTTAGGAATTGATCTTTGTCACATAGCTAAACATTTTCTATAATACCAGTAGAGAGTTTTCTTGCAGAGACCTTAAAGTTATGGTAAAATTGGAATATGTTTTTGTTAAATCCCATAAAAAGCAAAATATTTTGTTAGGAATAACCAGAGCTTGATGGAAATGGGATAATTGTTAACAATCGAAGCAATCTAGCCAAGTTGAACAATGTACTTTACATCAAACCGGGGTTTATTTTAACTTAATGGACCAGAAATAATAGAACCCCAAAGCTTTGAAGATAGCATTTTGGACTCTTTGTAATGAGACCCCAATATTAACATTGAAAAACATGTTTTAAATATATTGTACAACTTAATTGTGTTTTCAACATCAAAAGTGTTTTTTTTTTGTACAAAAATGCTTGTATTGTGCTCATTGAATTTTTGATTACTCCATTTTAGGGTTAGCGATAAAATGGTTAAGAAACCTCCCCCAAATATAGCAAAAAAGAGCCAAGTCACAAGTCATCACAGTACTACACTAAGCCCTCAACCCCTCCAATCAGAGAGAAGCTTTCTGCATGATAAAGTGCAGGAAAAGATGAAAGCCAAGAGTCCCGATAAAAGAGACAAGGAATTTATAACCTTACCAGAAGTCAAAGGTGCTGAAGGTATTGGTCATAATGTTACAAGGACTTTAATGCTTTAAATCAATGTATAAAAGCTTATTACATCCAATGAAAGAGGATGAAATCTCTAAGGTAATGCATGTATCCAACTTTATTGAATTGTTTGTTCCAAATGGGAGAAATTCATTAAAAAGTATTGTTTCAGCTCATCCATCTAAACCCAAAATTGGGAAGCAGAGTCTGAGTATGGCAATGCAGAGGTCATCTGTGGCAACAATACCTCATATAACCAACATAGATCCATTTTCAGGGACAATGGTAAGCATACTTCTCTTCTGAAATGTTGCACCTTAAAAATAGGAATATTTTTATGCCCAGTCATGAACATAAGCTTAATATGCACTTGTACAATATTTGGTGAGAATTGAACATTTTTAGATTTCAGTTTTAAAGAAACTATTCAAGATATTCTTGCCAACTTTATGCACTAGTACAAATTTTCATGTGACGTTGCTAATATTTCCCTGGCAGGGCATTCATATCCTCTGGGGACATATTTCTAGATCTTTATTCATTATTACATTCATTTTCTTGCAGAGTGACACCCAGAGTTCGGATGGAAGAGAGGGTAATCTTCCCAATGTCTGACATGATGTGGCTCTCCACTTCAAACACCCTTGCCTTACCTCTGCTAATGCATAGTGTGATTGTCAGAGAGTGTGAAACTGAAGGGACAGTGAGGATTATTTGTGTAAACTACATGTGTTTTCATGTGTAACCCATTTTCCAATATGTAAAAATATACCCTACTGTAGAATGCCAAACAGAGAGAAAGTTTAAAAACCATTTTGAATGCAAATTTTGCAGGATGACTGAAAGTTGCAGAGTTGTAGTGCTATATTTCCTTTTGTTCAACTCAGAATGATGCCGATTTTTAATTATGGATAGAATTTCTAGGGAAATATTTAAGGAATTGTTTCTTAATTTTTGCCAGATATAAACATTGTAGAAATTTTCTCAGATGTTACACTCATTTGTTAATTTGTATGTGAAATAGTAAAATGTCAAGTCATTCCTTTATTTAATTTGAAATAGTCATGACTCCTATTGGTGCTGAGATAAAATCTAGTTGTCTTACCAAGTAACAATAATAGTAGACTAATTGCACCAAAATGCACCCTTGTCCAATGAATAATACTCACATATTGATAAATCTTTGTTGATGTTTCAGAAGTATATATAAACATCAGTTATTTTAGTCTATGATACTATTAAAGCACACTAAAAACTGAAATTTTTTTTAGATTTTGGCCTTCAAAAGTAAACGGACTTGCATAAATAATATTGTTTTAAAACAATTTTAGTGAAAGTGGAAAATTCATACTACGCAATAACTAAGTGGACATTGCACAGCTTTTTTAAGAAGTATTATATAGCAGGTATAGTTTTTTAGCTACTAGTATTTAAGCTTGTCTTCTGAATATGTTTAGGTCGAGTTCTTCAATGAAATCTAGTCATGAACACAATACGTGTGCCAATGATTTCATTATGTAAAGAAAACAATCACTGAAAATTTTAATTTACTTGATCACTGTGCAATTTAAGGGTTTTACAAAGTATGAATATCAATACTACTGTAAATATATTATATTTAGCTTGTATGATATTTGGTGGAAATTGATTTTTGAACAAGTTAGCATTGATTTTATGTAACACCTTTCTAATGATGTTAATATTCTTATTTAAGTGTATGATGCAAGACATTTAGTGTTGTACATAAATTAGTGGAAGTTGCTTTCTGTCTAAGGCACTAAACAGAAAACACAGCCAAATGTAATACAGTATTTTAAAAAGAGACGTCTGGACAGTATTTTTGAGAGCCTTGACAGAGGACATACAGAACCATCTAATTTATTAAGATTTTTTTTTTCTTAGCATACACTGTAATTTGAAACTTTTATTGACCATATTTGTATACAAGAATGAAACCATGTTATAAGATTGAATCTAAACACTTTTCCAAGAGTTCATATGCACAAGCAGAATTCAATATAATCCATATACTCCAGTGCTTTAGCGTGGTTGAGTGAGAGAGTTGATGTTGTATCTATTTATTGTGTGTATTCTAGTAGGGCACGCAGACAGTTAGTCCACTGTCTATCAGAGCTTCAGAACTTGCAGTGTTCAATGTGTTCCAAACCATTCCTATTAGTAGAGAACTTTTTTTGTCAATCTACATTTTTCTGCATTTCCTACTTTTGTTTAATGAATACAGTTATTAAGATGTTTTTGTGAAGAATAAATTGTACCAAGAATCTTTCCTCATTATCTTTTGCCCATTTGAAATGAAAAATGATTCAAAGCTTGTATGTAATATTCAAGTCACACAAAGATGGCATTTGCCTTATAGTTAGCAGTTTTCCAAATTTCTTTATTATTAATTGATGAACTGGGTAGAATTCAGATGAGAAATATTCTTGGTGAATGTTTATTTTATGAACAATATTATCTATGCAAATTAAAAAAAAGAAATCAAATGCACAATGTGTTGCTGTGTGACATCATTTTCACACAAATGCTCAAATTTCTTTCATGTAGTTAAATATCATATAAAACAGTATAAGCATTTATATACATGTATTCAGTATTGTTTGCATAATGATTCATTATTCAGTATTGAATACCTAAGTGTTTTTACACTTGAATCTTACATATTGTTAAAGGATGTTGTTTTGTTACATTTTGTGTATTTTCACTCTTTGGGTGCTTGTATCATACTTCAATAAGAAATAAAGAAGGAAATCTTAAACTTCTTTCTTCTTACTGTAAAAAAAAAAAGTACTGAATATAAAGTTCACGGACTATCGTGTAACCTTATGTGATCAGTAGATCAATGTATTTATTGCTGCTTACAACAGCAATGCTTATCATCAATTTAAAGACAAGAGGCCTAAGGGCCTTGAATCGCTCTTCCGATAAATTGTACAATCTATCACTTCTATTTGAAGCCTCTAAGTATCCTGTACATATAACTAAAGCCTTGAAATTGCAAAAGTAGGTCATCATGACCTACATTTTAGTTAAAACACAGAGAGCCCAGGGTAATCAACTAACAAAGTGTGATGATTCTAAGCCCCTTATTATCTGAGTTATAAAGATAAAGAATATTTCAGAAGAAGGTCATCGTCTCAAGCCACGGTCCGGAGTCCGCATATAGCTCTCTCCTACCCGTGGCTGCTTGATTACAAAAAGTGTCGTAATCTTGAATATTTACGCCTCTCTATTTTGATGTCATATTCAGTCATTGACAAGTTTTGTTCTATCGCAATTGAAATCAACAGTTTACATCAGCAGTATTTCGTACACCGCGATTTGGTTTTGGAAGGTCGCATGAAAGGTCAATTTCCGACTATGCTTTACTTGTATTGTTCAATACTTTAATGAGCTACGAACTATTCGGCCATGGTTTGTGATGATGAAAGAAGGTCACCATGACCTACTTTTCGACTGATATTATCCAAGGACCCAAGATGCAACAATTGACAATTAGTTTGATGATTCTAAGCCAATGAGTACCTAAGATATTTAGATATGACCATAAAATTTCAAAAGTTGGTCACCGTCACCTACTTTTTAATTGACTTTCTCGGAGACCTAAGATGCATCAACTAACAAAGTTTGATGATTCTAAGTCAATAAATACCTGAGATATTTAGATATAGCCATAATATTTCAAAAGTAGGTAACTGTGACCTTCCTGCTTCTCTGAAAACCCAAGATCCAACAACTGACAAAGTCTGATGATTCTAACCCAATAAGTACCTGAGATACTTTGATATAGCCATAGTATTTCAAAAGTAGGTCACTGTGATCTACGTTTTGGTCAACATTCTCAGAAAATCCAAGATGCATCAACTGACAAGTTTGATGATTCTGTTAAGGCAATAAGTACCTGAGATACTTAAATATAGCCATAAAATGTCCAAAGAAGGTCACAGTGACCTACTTTTTAGCCAAAATTCTCTGAAAACCAAGATGCCTCAACTGACAGAGTTTGATGATTCTAAGCCTTTAATATAGCCATAATATTTCAAAAATAGGTCATGGTGACCTACTTTTTGGTCGACCTTCTCTGAAGACCCAATAAGTACCTGAGATACTTAAATATAGCCATAAAATGTCAAAGGAAGGTCACAGTGACCTACTTTTTGGCCAAAATTCTCTGAAAAATCAAGATGCATCAACTGACAGAGTTTGATGATTCTAAGCCAATAAGTACCTGAGTTACTTTAATATAGCCATAAAATTTCAAAAATAGGTCGTGACCTACTTTTTGATCGACCTTCTCTGAAGACCCAAGATGTATCAACTTACAAAGTTTGATGAACATAGGCCTTTAAGTGTCCAAAATATGCTTCCAAATCAATTTGAAAACAAATGCCCACAAAATTCAAAAAGTAGGTCACGATGACCTACTTTTGAGTCATCGTGATGTGAAGTCCTTAGATGCATCAACTTAAAATATTTGATAAACCTAGTCTTTTTTTTTATACTGTAGAAGCACAAATTTTCGTGGGGATAAAATTTCATTGATTTGTCATCAAAATTAGTTTTGTGGGCATGTAATTTCGTTGTTGTGAGAGTAAGCCTATTCAATAGATAGTCATATTAAATTTCATGTGGGATTTAATTTCATTGATAATTGTTAACGACCAAATAAATGAAAATTTAATCCCCCGCGAGTATTTGTGCTTTTACAGTAGTTAGCAAAATTATATCAATGTTTTTATAAAATTAAATTTTTGGTCAACTTTGAAGTGATCTTGAGACCACTCCCTTTGCCTTATTCCCTGTGCAAATTTTAATCTACAACATATCCTCATATTGTATGTAAGTTTGATAATCTGCCCAGTGGTTCTAGAGATGAAGATTTTTTAGCAACCAGTAATTTTAGTTTTATTTTCCTGATTATCTCCCCCTGTTTAAGGGTCCTAACCCTTGATTTAGTGTAAATGGTAGCTCTTGGGTCAAGAATACCACGAGACAAACTTGACAAGGATTGGCCAATGGGTTCTTGATTTATGGCCCATATTCTAAAAATTTACCCACACACCACATAAATGGCCATAGCATTACATAGCTCTTTTGAGCCACTGGCTCAGAAGAGCTAATAATTAAATTATGAATTTCATATCTCAACATATTACAAATTCTTAATTCTAAAAATGGAAATCTACTGTAAATGACATCATTTTAACCAAGATTTGTATTTGACCTTGAGATATGGACACATTAGGTCAACATAAAGCACAACTTGCATTTAGTCTAATATGATTTTTTAATGCTATGCTCCACCAAGAATATGACCAGGGCATAAAGTGTTTGTCATGTTCATCTTCCCTTTCCTTCTGTCACACTTTCCTTTTATTTTAAGCTTCAAAGATTTTAATCAAACATATGCAGATATATATTGATGAAGGCTATTCAACTGCATTTTATTCAACTTTTTTTTTTTATTTTGACCATGACCTCACTTTCCTTAAATTTGTGTTTAACTCAATTTCAAAAAAAAAACATAGGTTGTCAAAATTACGAAGCTCACCTCGACGAATGTTATCAGTTTAAGGATATCCGATCCTCAGCCAGGAAGGATAACTCCAAAAATCAATATTTAATTTGAAATACATCAAAATGAAGCTTGAAAATGAAATTTTGTCATGCAACAAATTTCATTTTATACATTTTTATAAGATTCAATGTTTTTGGAAGTTTTAGAAAAGGTCTTTAAAAAGTTTATATTTGTACCCAATAAAAGGGGAAGAAATAATACAGTTTTAGAGAAATAAGATTTTCTTGAATCCAGGCTTAGATACTAATGCTTATTAGTATGATTTGAAATACGTAGTGATTTATGGTGTCTTGCAATGATAGCAAAAGCCTTTTACACTATGTACTGAAGAATATATGATGGAAATAGAAAACAAAAGATACCAAAAAAGTATAAAAATCATGACAATTTCTCTGAATACCTGGATACCTATCGTTTTTAAACCTAAAATATAATTGTTGATCAATTTGCAATTAGAGCATGCATTGCAGATACTCCAATTCTCTTTTTCTGCAAAAATATTGAAGATTTGGCAATTTTCCCTATATATTAATATGATTAACTTTAATCTTTAACTTTAAAGAAATACTGTGGACAAATTTACATAACTTTGTGGATTCAGTGATACTTTTATGAGTATTTTTGATTACTTAACTGCTAGTTTTATAAACCTGAGGATCGGACTACCTTAAGTACATGTGTAATGCAAATCTCACACATATTTTTTTTAATAGTTAGTATTTATCTTGACAATAATAATCATGCAAATTCTGTTTCAATAGATCTTAAAGTTCATTGGGGATTGACCTGTTCTAAAAACTTTAACCTGATCACTCATTTGGAAAATGAGGATCAGATCCAGCATCCGAAGCAAATCTCGATTCTCCATCCTCAGATGCATCATCCAAGCAAGTTTGGTCCTGGTAGGGCTTATAGTTTCTTGGGAGACACTCATCTGGAACATGTAGGTAAGATCCAGGCTCCGAAGCAAGTCTGGTAGTGTCCATCCTTAGATGCATCATCAATGCAAGTTTGGTCCAGGTAGAGCTTATAGTTTCTTGGGGATAAGCTGGTCACTCACCTGGAAAATGTAGGTAAGATCCAGGCTCCGAAGCAAGTCTGATAGTGTCCATCCTTAGATGCATCATCAACGCAAGTTTGGCCCAGGTAGGGTTGATAGTTAGTTGAGAATAACATGGTCACTCATCTGGAAATTGTAGGTCAGATCCAGCATCTGAAGCAAGTCTGATAGTGTCCATCCCTAGATGCATCATCCATGCAAGTTTGGTTCAGGTAGGGCTAATAGTTACTTGAGAAAAGACTTGCTCCCAAAACTTTAACCTGGTCGCTCATTTGGAAAATGTAGGTCAGATCCAGCATCTGAAGCAAACCTGGTAGTGTCCATCCTTAGATGCATCATCCATGCAAGTTTGGTCCAGGTAAGGCTTATAGTTACTTGGAAATGGACCTGCTCCAAAAACTTTAATCTGGTCACTATCTGGAAAATGTAGGTCAGATCCAGCATCTGAAGCAAGTCTGGTAGTGTTCATCCCTAGATGCACCATCCATGCAAGTTTGGTTCGGGTAGGGTTTCCAGTTACTTGGGAATGGACCTGCTCCTAAAACTTTAATCTGGTCACTCATCTGGAAAATATAGTCAGATCCAGCATCTGAAGCAAACCTAATAGTGTCCATCCCTAGATGCATCATCCATGCAAGTTTGGTTTGGGTAGGGCTTATAGTTACTTGGAAATGGACCTGCTCCAAAAACTTAAACCTGGTCACTCATCTGGAAAATGGAGGTCAGATCCAGCATCAAAAGCAAGTCTGATAGTGTCCATCCCTAGATGCATCATCCATGCAAGTTTGGTCCAGGTAGGGCTTATAGTAACTTGGGAATGGACTTGCTCCTAAAACTTTAACCTGGGACGCCGACGCCAACGCCGGGGGTATAGCATAATCTCATCTCGACAAAGTCGAGGTGAGCTAATAAAATAAACAAACCAACAAAAATTTTAAAAAAAACTTTTTAAGATATTTTTTTTCAAACTTATGTGCTGATACTGTTCAAATTCAACAACATTTCTGGACCTTGATCTTCCCCTTGACCTTGACCCCTATTTCTCAAATTAAAATTTATTTCCATTTGGAAGAAACTTGATATATTTATCAAATTTTATATGCCTAATACATATTAATCAGGGCTGTATAATATTCAATTGCATCAACATTTCCTGACCATGACCTTCATGTCCTATAGACATATCCAAGTCAATTGAAGGTTAAGACTAAGAAGTAAATTTTAGCCAGAAAGATACAAATTTTGAAAACTTGCACCTAAACCATAACTCTCCCCTTATCCATTAATGATAATTCCGTGTGACATAAAATTCATATTGTAAGAACATTTTCTGTCAGAGTAAATAATTCAAACATTTTTTATTATCAATACATATTTATTGTTTGTAAAGGGCAAGTAAATTAACTTTACAAAAGATAAGCAAAAATAATGTGAATTAATAAAAAATATGAGAAAACCTAGTTCCAAAATCACATGCCCAGCAGCATAAAAATTCTCTCTCATTCAAACAAGAAAATTCTCCAGTTATCCCAATGCAATTTAAAATTCATAAAAGAAAGAACAAAATGAAACTTTCCAAGACTGAACTATAAGCTGAACATGACAGACTAGGGGTGAATTAAGCTTCAATATGTACATTTATTACAGAAGAAAAAATATTTAATAAAAAATGTAAGGGGAAAAAAATTAATGACTAGATATTATCCTTCAGAAATAAATAGTATTACATGTCAATAGATGCCTCTCTAAAATATTCGACGCAATCTTGAAGAAGGGAATTAACTCTTGTTGTTTTATCATCATCATCCATATTTCCAAAAAAAATGACAGTAAAACAAACAATTGGAATTGCCTCAACAAGGAAAATTGCCATGAACTTCAACAATTATGAACAAACCATTTTTAAAGTTCACAACCTTTGAACACTTTGATACACACTTTTAGTTTACAAACAGGAAATTTGGACTCATAAAGCTTCATTATTAACAATTACTGCACAAGTTCAATAGTTAACTTGGATACTGTATACAAGTTCAGGAAAAAAAAGAAAAAAGTACTTAATTAATAGAAAAGAACATTTTAATGACAAATTATTAATCCTCTTAAGTTATAGTATTTCATACAGTACTCATAAACGAAAAACAGTGCACTGCACAAAGTGACTAAGATCTGTTAAAAATAATGATCATATTACAAATAAAATGATATGGAATTATAATTAGATACAACCTTATATAGAGTATATATACACTTAAAATAGAATAACAGCACTTATAATCTGTACATAATGTGGAACACTAACAATATGAGAAAAAACATGGTGGGCACTTCATCTCAGACTCGCCTAATGACGATTATAAAAATATCTCTTCAATTTGATCAATCTGGGTTACCAGCCAACAACGTCATACATTGTTTACAGAATTAATGTACAATATCTTAAAAAATAAAATTTTGAATTCTTTAAAATATTATACTTAGTCACAATTATTTTTTTTAACAATGAATTAATATTTATGATGTGTCTTGCATCACAGAATATTTAGGAATTAATGTCTATAGTGAGCAGAATTTAATCTCCTGATGTCAAAATTTCAGAAATGATATTGCGCTCTGAGTGATTTGATGTCAAAATTATCATTCTACAAATCTGATCATTTTTGGTGGATTTTTTTTGACAAATGTGCATGTAAATACCTAAAGTACACTACATATATCAAATGTATACTCACAGTAACTTACTTCTATACGACTCGGTATAACATATGGATTTTCATAGCAAAGCATAAATACATTCAAACTTGATTTGTTATTATTGCCATGATTGAACAAATACATGTAAACCCCCAACAGCCTACTTGCTTATTTGCATCTCTGTATATCTATGTGGATCTGAAACCACAAATGAGGCAAATGAGCAAAAACTATATCAAACAAATCATACTCCAGTAATTTCATTATGCAGATTTGACAGATCTATCTTTGAAAATCTGCAATATATATCATACTAAAAATAATGGGACTGCACAAGCTTGCAAAAAATCAACATCAAATTTAGATGGAAAAAAAATCATAATCAAAATATTGTGCATGATAGCAGTAAACTATTCTAGTACAGCTCTGCTGTTAAATCTACAACCTATCAATGTCTATACATCAAGATAAAAAAAGTTGAAAAAGTAAAAAAAATCAAAACATAGAAAATTACTTCTTTTTTTTTTTTCAAGGAATAAAAAAGTGAGCAAGTATTGCAGCTTTGATCATGTGAACATTTAATATCTTTTAGTACCCTGAAGTAACTCTGTACAGTTACATGTGATGGTGGTCTAACTAGAGCTTTGCTCTACACACGTAGGCAGGTGGTTCTGTTGATAATGCCAAGCTGTTTTCTTTTTAGCTTCTATTCTATGGTTTCTATTCAGGTGGTAAGGCAAATTTATTTTGATTGATCTAGAGTTATGTTCATTTTTTGTTATAATGCAGTACTTTCTGTTATACGTGGCCTCATTAGCTCCTGATAATCAGGTGGGTCTTTAATTTGTCCCACAGGGGTCCGTAAAAGTTCACCTCCCGTCACTGTGATAGGGTTACTCTGAAATGTATCAAGGAGAAGAAGCATTTATAAATGAACAGCAATTTTTTTCACCAGGCATTATGATTCTGTTGATCATTATGGTATGTGAGTTCATCTTTTATTTGTAACATCATCTCACTCCTGCCTCTGTCAATTACAGAGATACTGGGGGTAGAAGTCTTCATATTTATCAGAAGTAGCGAGATAACTACCATACATAATGAAACCAAGTTTTGAAAAGAAATTCAACAGGTAATTTTGTCAAGCCAGACAAACCTTGTGGAAGTTGATTAAATCTGCTAGACTTCTATGAACTAGTTGGTTGGCTCCAAAGAACTGGTATCCTTGGTCTGAGGTATCAATAAGGAAGTGTTTACAGCGGTCCTCAGCTCGGTAGGAAATCGTGTAGCCCCACACCCGCTCACTCACTCGCACCAGAAAACTACCGAGGGTCAAGTTGAGTAAAAAGTTTTCTGCCTCAAGTCGTGAAATCACCCCTAAAAATTAAAAAAAAAATATGGATTTTTACATGGTTTTCTTTCTTCCTAACTTTATCCATAATTATTATGAAAAATATATGTATATCAGAAAAAAAATTCTGGAGCAGATACAAATAAAGCTAAGTTTAAATGCTGAAAGAAGTTGAACACTATGCTTCAACTACATGTACATCATTATATTCCGAGAACTATAGTAAAACTAAACTAATTTACCATGAAACCATGCAGCCACTTTTCCAGTGCTGGGATCAGTTCCTACTCCTTTGGGCCTCTCCTCCTCGAGGAACCAATCAATCACAGCCTGTTTGTTAGGGGGGCGGGGCGGCCTCTTATTGATTACTTTAGTCATACTTTTCCTCAACTCCTCACTCCTATTCATGACAGAAAGAATATATTTATGAACATATTTATCCTTTTCAAATGTGATAATACATAGCTGTGCTAACCTTAGTCAATATTTTTTTTTTGGGGGGGGGGGGGGGGGGGGTTGAATTCGCACAACTTGGGAATCATTGCAGATAAAATCTTCTAATGTGGATTGTGACAAGGTTTTGTCCTCTTTATTCATTTTAAAAATGTTGATCCCCCAACTGAGGACCCATCCTACGGTTTCCTATTCCAAGGGCCATGAATTGAAAAACTCTTGAGAAAAAGATTTTCAGAGTTTTTCAACTTTGTTGCACTATTGTGGCCCTACCCTTTTACCCATGGGTTAGAATTGAACAATTTGAGCAATGTTGTCACTTCTTGGTTATTAACCCCTGGGTGACAGCCCTTTGGTTTTAATGATGTAGTTGAAAATGATATGCAGACAGATAAGCAGTTAGATAAACAGATAGATGGCTGCTGGACAACACGTGATCAGAAAAACTCAGGCTTACAGCTCAGGTGAGCTGCAGAAGTTTTCGGGAGCTTTAGTGCACAGGATCTTTTGGTTTGAAAAAAGCCCTGTGAGCAGAACACCTTAGGGGGGTGTAGGGGGCCTTTGTGCACAATTTCTTAGGTGATATAGAGAGTATTATGTATAGAAATCTTTGGAGGTATTGGGGATACTTTGTGTGTAGGGCACACAATGAGAGTGTTGGGGGATAATAATACTGACTTGTATGGCAAACTTAATTGTGATGTATTGTGTATACAACATACTTGGGAGGTACAGGGGGTTTAGTATTGGTTCCATTTCCTGAGAATGCTGATACAGCATTTAGAACATTCATGCCAAGTTTTAGTGAGTTCTGGTACTCAATCCTTGCTCGCCTTGCCAGCTCCTTTACTTCTTCCTCTGCCTTTTTCGCTTTCTTCTCTGGAAAATTAGGGATTTTATTTCAATATGTACCATTTTATTTTATATTCAGAAGCTTATACTTTTTAAAGATTCACATTAAATATTTAAAAATCTTGCTATGAAAGTATACAACCCCTTATCAAAAAGAAAACTTTTTCTATTGACATACTTGCATTCCTAAATGACTGTAAAAATGCACCCTCTAACTTATTTCCTGTCCTAATATAAAGCAGTATACCCCTACCCCATTATCAGCCAAATCTATGACATACCCTGTTCCTGCCAGTTTGATTCCACTTCCTTTAAATTCTGTTCCGCTATCTTCTCCATCTCTTCCCTCTTACTCATGTACTCTGTGAAGATTTCAGAACTACGCCGATTCTTCTTCTTCAATAACCTCTCCAATGAGTGTCTCTTATCCTCCGCAAACTTATGCTAAAAATATTAAAAAAATACATATTGAGAGAGAAAATCTTCTTTATACATGTCTTTACAACAATTTAATGTTTGTGTCAAACAAAATATATAGATATTGATATATAGAGATTATATGCTGCTGGGAATCAATCAATTATTACTTTAGATATACAGTGCAGAATCCATAATAATATATTATATATTTTTGGAGTAAAATTTGAACTACATTTGTATAACCTCCAAGTTTGTGCAATACAGAGTGTTTCTGAAACAAACATAAATGTACAAAATCTGAATTGGATAGGGATAAATTGTCATGCATTCTGATCTCCTGGAGGTTTATACTGAGGATGTGTAAACTCATACAAAACTGTATAGCATAATAACTAAAAATATTCAAATAATTTAGCATGTGTCAATTCAAACCTGGTGTTTACAGAGAAATGAAAAACAGAGTTTTGCAACTATCTGCAATCTCACAAAATCATATAGTCCTTAATATTGTGGGTTTTTTTGGTTTTTTTTTCAAATCTTGCAATATTCAATTAACACATTTTAATCATTCAAATCAAAAAAGTATTAAGAATGTGAAGATCTCACAAGCTTTTTTTTTAAATACATTAACGAAGGAAAAAAGCTAAACAATTGTTGGCCATATCTATGTAATCTAACCAACAATAAATCACGGAACACTTTAAATTGCATACTTGCTTTCAAAAGTCAATATTTAGATTTTATGTTTTTGAAACTTTTAATATACTCATCTATATTAAAGTTAATATTTATCTAACTTTAGATCAGACTACATGACCAATAAAGAGTAATTGCTTGGACTTTCACATTTTAGTAAGCAAACATGTTAATGGCAAAGTTGTGTATCTTACCAATAATAAAGGTAAAGTTAAAAAATAATAATAATACTGCATAAAAGTTTACTCATTTACAACATAAAATACAATCAACTTTTATAAAGCAAGACAAACATTTCCAAGCCAAAGACCCATTTAAGATCTACATGTTTCAGCCACTGTAAATCAAAAAGAAGGCAAAAAAAAAAAAAGAAAGAAAAAAACCCTGAAATGAATCTTACAATTAAAAATATAATCTTCTACTAAAGTAATTTTTTAAAAGCCATAAATAACAAGCCATTTACATCCTAGTAAGCTGAAGCATTTTAATTTTTCTAGGAAGTAATATTCAGTGGCAGATCCAGGTTTCTTGAAAAGGAGAGGGGTCCAACAGGTTTTAAAGAATCTGGGGGAGATGTATAAAAAAATGCAATATCTAACTATAAAAAATGGATTTCTTTAATACCGTATATACTTGCCTATAAGTCGGATTTTTGGGAGTTAAAATTTGGTCGAAAACTCTATGTCCGACTTATAGGCAAGTCATAAAAAAGATTTTTTTTTCTTAAGGGTGCAATGTAGTATTTTGTAGCATATCCGACGATTATTATTGAACAAAGTCTGGATTCATTATATCATTTATGTATTCTGAGATATTCTGATGTATTCTATGCATAAACACATGATAAGGTACATGTATTTACATATTTGAAAAACTATATTTTTAATATCTGAAGTGTGCATTTCGGTTTTTTTTATTGATTTAAAATTACATATGAGCATCATTTCTTAAAATGATAAATGAAATCAGGTGAAAAGATCAGAGAATTGATTAAAAATTGTCAACTGATTCTGTCAAAAAGTTGTACCGACTTATAAGCGGGTCAATGGCAAATCCCTATAAAATAATCTCAAAAAAATTATACCAACTTATAGGCGAACCGACTTATAGCAGAGTATACGCAGTATTCATTCCTTTGGTCACAAAGAGGGAGGAAGAGGAGGAGGGGCCCTCTCTTTATCTGCTATTGATATTTGTTATTACTTGGCAAAATCACAATAAGTATTGGATTTATGTGTACACTAAGTAGACAAAAATATACATATTAGTTCACATCCACTACAATAAAACTACATGTACCATGTATATTATGTCACAAATACACCATAAAAGATATTGATATAAATTTAAAAATCAGAGTACAGTGCATGCATGGGGATACAAGAAAACAGTCTTAGTCATCTAAGTAAAAAAATATATTTCTCTTGAAATGTCATGTTACAGAGAGGACTGTTAATAAAATATTTCTTGTGAAGCTAAAGGGAGAGAACTCTGGAAGCAGGCTTTAGATGACTAATTTGACACAAGACAAAGTCAATAAATTCCTACAAAATCTCAATCCTCATGCACCAAAGTCACAATACCTCCATATCATCTAAATCTTGACAACTCCGGCACGCTTTCTGCTGCATTACAAGGGATAAAATGTCAGCATTCTTATGCATAGTCTCATAGTTACAAGACAGACAGAAAACATTCTAGTTACAAGTATACAATGAAAGTCATCAAGATGTTCATCTTTGAAACAATTGTTTAATGGACTTCCATGGAAGAATAAATGTGATTTCTTTGTAGTTTGTAAGATAAAATGCACTGAGTAAACTCTGTTCTGACTTCATACAAACTAGACTTGATAATAAGAAATATACTTTGTATGCAATAAGCAAAGATTGATATGTACATGTACATATTGACAGTTTGTTTATAGGTGTTTTTAACTGACAGAATCAATAATTCAATGAGTACTGATTTCAGAGATAAACAAATTTTTATGATGAAGACATTTACCCGTAACTGTTCCACCCTGATCTTTTCCTCTTCTTCAGCTTTCTGCTTTTCTTCCTCTAACTTTCTGGCCACTTCTCTTGCCTGCTTCAGTGATGCGTATAATTCGGCTTCTTCTCTCTGTTTTCTGTTGGTAAATAGAACACTGTAATGTGGTATATGTTTTAATTATACTTCAAACAAATTGCTTCGTACAAGGATCACCGTGATTCATTTGGTTATCCTAAAATCAATCAAACACAAATTGAAATATAAGAGTAGCTTTACCTATAAAAATTCATTCAGTCCTTGTTAACAACCCGAAATAAAGAAAAGAACAGTGGACAAAGTCACAGGGCACCTTATAAAGAATATAATAATAGCTATTTAGTAGACAGTAAACCTAAGTTCTTCCTCTTTATGTTTTTGTTCCATTTCCAGTCTTTCTTTTTCTTCTTCCAACCTTTTAGCTATCTCTGCTTCTTCTCTCCTCCTGCAAACATTAATCAAATAATATCATTCAAATTCAGTGATTGATAAACAGTTTAATCAATATACAAGTATTATCAAATTTTTTTAATTTTTAAAAATTCTGACCTAAATAATATTAGAATTTGAGAAATAATTTCAATTTATTCATTTATATTTGTACTGTTGAATTGACATTTGAATACCTTTGAATCATAATTCTAATGCAGGCCCTACACAATCAAATTTCTCTCTCTCTCTCACTCTCTCTCTGACACCTGTAAATCTTCCTTGATTTGCTCTCCTCTCCCTCTCTCTCTCTCTCTCTCTCTCTCAACTTTACCTCATTTCCTCTATCTCTCGCTCTGCCTCTTTGAGTGCCTTTTCCTGCCACTCCAGTTCAATCATCTCCTCTATAGACCTGTCATTCTTGTGTTCCCCCATCACCCACACCCACTCCTTCCCATCCTTACCCTGCATGAACTCCACCATCTTCTTACCTATTCCAAAGACAAATAATACAGATAACACATATCTATCTGAGTTGATAGAACCATTCATTGTTCATTGCAATTTTAACAAAATCTTTCTTTTCTTCTTTCAGGTTACATGAAATCAAGGTACAATGAATAAAATGTATGATAATGATGTAAAAATGATTAATAACAAGAGATGTTTGTAAAACACTTATGCCCCCCCCCCCCCAATTGGAATTTTTCAAAGTCCAAGGGGCATAACTCTATCAAAAATGGTGCGATTGTACCCAAAACAGAACTTGACCTAGATATTCAGCCGATAAATCAGTATAGCAAATTTCGTTTCAGTATGTGCAACCTCTGCGAAGAAAATGAACGGAAACTGCAAATAAGTGGAATTTTTCTAAGTCCAAGGGGCATAACTCTGATAAAAATGGTGCAATTGCACCCAAAACAGAACTTAAAATTGGCCTAGATATTAAGCTGACAAATCTGAATAGCAAATTTCATTTCAGTATGTGCAACCACTGCAAAGAAAATGAACTGAAACTGCAAATAAGTGGAATTTTTCAAAGTCCAAGGGGCATAACTCTGACACAAATGGCGTGACTGTACCCAAAACAGAACATGACCTAGATATTCAGCTGATAAATCTGTATAGCAAATTTTGTTTCAGTATGTGCAACATCTGCGAAGAAAATGAACGGAAACTGCAAATAAGTGGAATTTTTCAAAGTCCAAGGAGCATAACTCTGACAAAAATGGTGCGATTGTACCCCAAACAGAATTTGACCTAGATATTTACCTGGTTAATCTGTATACCAAATTTCATTTCAGTATGTGCAACGGTTGTGAAGAAAATGAACAGAAACTAAATGGACCGACAGACCGACATACTGACCGACAGACAGCAGCAAAGCATGAAAGCACAATATGCCCTCCCTTCTTCGAAGGAGGGCATAACAACAATACTTTGGATACTTTTTGATTTTCTTTGGAAGTTGTCTCTCTTATCAGAGAAACATTACTCTTTAGAAGCAAATGAACATTTAAACAAGGGCACCTCAAAGTGGAGCACCCCCTCACAGAAGAGCATATCTATAAATCAAGGCAGCATTTAACATTGATCCAGATGCAAATTACCACAACAAGGACAAACTAAACCACCAACACACAATAAACACATTTCTATTTCCCCTCCAACTCTGTTGCAAGATGACAACAAGTAGTCAAAGTGCAAGGAAAAGTAAATACATGTGATCTACATGTATTTGTAGTTTTAGTGTGTTTGTGTTGTTTCGGATGAACACATCATTGAGATAATTTATTGCAGTCTTGGTACTGTATGTGACATTGAGACTTTTTTAAAACATGCAGTTGCATCCTCTTTTTGCTGCCCACAGTGCAAAACCCCCTCTTTTAAAATTTATAGATATATAGACCAAATTCTGTCAATAAATGTAAAATAGTGATTTGAATTGAAAAGATGATAAAACATAAATTAGTGATCAATATGTAAAGGAAATCTATGATTTTATTTGGGATATACATGTATTGAAAACTTATCAACTGTCATCTTCTATATAAACTATCTTTAAAATAATGAAAGTATTAGGTATTGCAATTTATGAAAGCAGAGCAAAAGATCTTCAATTTAATAAGATTCTATTTCACTTCAATTTCATCGATCTTGCTTTGGAAATCATACATTACAGTGCAAGTATCCCTTTCACAAATTTTTAGCACACAAGTTGATATTGACATTGGAAACTAAAATGTAATTTCAGAAAATATGCTAGTTTGCACTCTGTTTCTTCTAAGTCTAATGTAGTCTCAGCTTCATGAACATTAATCAAAACTCAGTAAAAAGGTTTGAGAATCTGGTATTTTTTATACATACATGTGTGCTATTGATTAAAACTATTTAATTTTCAAGTGATCACTTTTCATTGGCAAACAGCATTCTCACCAGTATTTACATCATGATCAATATGTTACCTAATTTATTTTTTCTTCAATTTATTAATTCACCTGTGTACGAGTATTCTTAATTACAAGTATATTACCAGAAGTCTCTGTCGAGACTGTAGCTCTACTGGTTTGTACTTATAACAAAGGATGAGAAAAGAAGCCATTGCCATCAGACCAAAACTGTAGGAGTAGCATTATAAGGAATTTCAGACATTTCCATTTTTAGTAACAATGGCAACACCGTTCATTGAAATCAAAAACTGATGCACTATTTTATCATTTTATGTATTTAAGTGTAGTCTACTTGTGTTCTAAGTTATATTGAAATCAGACCAAAACTGTAGGAGGAGTAGCATTTTAAAGGAATTTCACAGAAAAATCTATTTTTAGTATTCATGGCAACACCGTTCATCAAAATCAAAACCGATGCACTATTCTATGTATTTTAGTGTAGTCTACTTGTGTGCTAAGTTATATTGAAATCAGATCAAAACTGTAGGAGGAGTAACATTTTAAGGGAATTTCACAGAAAATTCTATTTTTAGTAACCATGGCAACACCGTTCATCGAAATCAAAACCGATGCACTATTTTATGTATCTTAATGTAGTGTACTTGTGTGCCAAGTTGTACTGAAATAAGATCAAAACTGTAGGAGGAGTAGCATTTAAAAGGAATTTCACAGAAAATTCTATTTTTAGTAACCATGGCAACACCGTTCATCGAAATCAAAACCGATGCTCTATTTTATGTATCTAAGTGTAGTCTACTTGTGTGCCAAGTTATATTGAAATCAGATCAAAACTGTAGAAGGAGTAGTGTTTTAAAGGAATTTCACAGAAAATTCTATTTTTAGTAACCACGGCAACATCGTTCATTCAAATCAAAAATCTATGCACTATTTTATGTATCTTAGTGTAGTCTACTTGTGTGCCAAGTTATATTGAAATCAAACCAAAACTGTAGGAGGAGTAGCAATTTAAAGGAATTTCAGAGAAAATTCTATTTTTAGTAACCATGGCAACACCGTTCATCGAAATCAAAAACCGATGCTCTATTTTATGTATCTTAGTGTAGTCTACGTGTATGCCAAGTTATATTGAAATCAGACCAAAACTGTAGGAGGAGTAGCGTTTTGAAAAATTGTTTACAGACAGACGGACAGACAGACAGACAGACGGACGGACGCCGGACGCATTACTATCGCATAAGCTCTTCTGGTCTCTGACCAGTAGAGCTAAAAATACTAGGTTCATATCCACAGATATCTAGTGACTTTTCCCCCCAATTTAAAAAATATTATTTATAAAATTTCCTGTACTTTAAATTTTTCATTCAATTCATAATTCATAATCATTATTCAATTTATTATATCTTTAATAGTCAAATTTTTAATGCCTCTTCAAGTAATTTCAATTTGAAATCAAAATTTTATGTTAATTGGTCATGAAATGAAATTGAATAAAAACAAGTGCTTGAGTGAAATACTTGCAGATTACCTTATTGTAAATGTATAAAGGATGAGTTTATTTGCCTGGAATATTAAAGATACAAAGAAACTTGTATAATTTTACATAAAAATTGGATTAACAGAGATTGATACATGTATACTGAATTTCAATTTAATATGTGCAACCTCCGCAAAGAAAATGAACAAAAACTGTAAATAATAGGAAGTTTTCTAAGTCCAACGAACATAACTCTATCCAAAATGACTCAATCATACCCAAAACAAAAATTGACCTAGATATTCTAATGATAAACATGTACACTGAATTTCATTTTAATATGTGCAACTTCTGCAAACAAAATGGACAGAAACTGCAAATATGAATTGGAATTTTTCTAAGACAAAGGGGAATAACTCTGTCTAAAATAGCTTGATTGTACTCGAAACAGAAATTAACCTTGACACTCATATCAGGCCATCCTTAAAAAATTGTTTTTTTGCGGTAACGCGCCTCATCATTTTAGGTGTGAGTAGGTAGGTAGGCCTTTTTTTTTTTTTTTTTTTTTTTTTGAGAATAAATGTCAGAAATTAATTTCGATTATATAGAGGTATTAACTATGTCTTAGATTTCACCTTACTATAAAGCAAAAGAAAATTAAAGCATTCTAAATGAATTCAATCTTTTTATTGCTGAAATATCACAACACATCAGGCCTCATCAGTTCTTTTTTGGCAACCGACAAATGTGATTTTTCCCACGAGATTTACATTCCCTGCACATGGGGAGTACAACCCTGTACTTTCTCAAAAGGTCCTGATCATCTATGATGTCGACGGAGGACGCACAAAAGCAGCAGACATCTTTACGGGCAACAGCATTGGCAGAGTAATACGCTATTTCCACAGGTGTAGTACAGGCCAACTGAAGTCTGACAAAGACTGTGCCTTGCAGACTATCTCCTGAAAATATAAAGAATATGAGGCCTGATTATCAAAATGCATTGCTTTTAACAGAGTTTTATCTTACATTATAAATTGTAAACATTTTCAATTTTTAAATACACATGTAGTATTTAAATCAATGAATCATACCATCAGGTGTAATTAAGGAGCCACATGTATACATATATCGCTCCAACACTCTAGTGAGACTTCTTTCTTCCCTCGCAGTTAAGTGCTTGCGACTGTAAATACACCTGGGCTTCTTACACTCCAAACATGTCACCGTTTTACGAACATTCTGTGCAACCAATATCCGGTTTGGACAACCCTAACAGAAATGCATAAATACACAAATAAATTCTCTACCAACTTTTCAACATTCAAGCCAGGAAGTCATTTTAAGTTTTCATAAAATCATTACACGTAGATCAAATAATTTGTCTGATACCTGGTGCTCTTCTGCTACTCTAGCAAGTGGCATATTTATCCTAGAGGGCATGTCCTCTTCTGTGGTATTGGTCCCTATGACATCATGGAATTTCTTGTAATGCTGGGGATCATCAGGATTGATCACTGGATCTGGAAGAAATGGCGGCAGTTCTCCACTGGAATTACGCACAGGCCTACAGCAACCTAGGTCCTCACATTTCCTCACCTATTATTACACAAAAAGTTCAATCGCATTTTAAATTCATTTATTTAATTACTGTGTCAAATGACAAATTCTATAGGATTCTCAGTAACTGTTTTCTTTTTAAACTAAACTTCTTGATTTTAATTTTACATTTTAATATATCTATTAAGAATACCAGTTTTCAGACATATGTATAAACATTTATAGTTCTTTTTATTTTAACTTTTACATGTCATAAAATTTGATAGTTTAGATCAAATTTGAATAGTGAATAATTATTTAATTCAAAACATACTAGGATTTTAATTAGTTATATTTTATATCATAAGTGTAAAAGAAGGGGAAAGTGACAAAGAAAGCCTGGGCATTTACCAGATATTAAAGAAATGAGGAAACAGTTAAGCATTTTATGAATAAGAGACAGATTTACAATATAGTTAGTTTCTAGCACACACAAAATGATATAAACATGCATTATTAATAGCCTGACACCATCTCTACTCTTTGGAATACCTACCTTTTTCACCAAACCTATGTATATTTCAAATAACAATTAAAATTAATGTTGCATATTAAAACATTGTTTGCAAAATATTAGATATCTCAAGTGTTGTTTATATATTTAATAAATGTTTACCTGGAATATGTAGTTCCTCTCCACACAATGTTTCTCTACAAATGATTTGAAACCATTAACTTTCCTCAAATCAGCTTGAGTGTACTTCCCTAGTGTCATATTTGGATCAATAAAATCAAACACTTTTGACTCATATCCTTGAATGTTCTCTTTAGATGCTGGCTCGCATGGCATAAATGGTTTTCCTTTTAATTGAACCCTACTAGTTCTATCATTGAGCTGATTTGTGATACTTTCAAGACTTTGAATCCAAGCCTCTTCTAATCCTCTTTCCCTTTCTGCTTTTTTCCTGATGTCCGTCATTGAATTACATGACCTTAACAGCTGTTCAAAGTGACTACTCATTTCTGATCTGTGAAGGGCGATGTTTTGATACGCCAAGTTCAGAAGGCTCATAATCCGTTCAGCAGGGTTGGCCCAGGAGTGTCCAGGAGCAGTTCGTGCAGCAATAAGTATATCCAAGTCGAGTAACTTGAACAAAATGATGAGAGACAATTTGACAGCTCCATATGTTGTCCGATGGTCTGGACCTCCATCAGTGTATAACATCAATATTGGTTTAGTATTCCCATCCAGAATTTTATATAATTCTGCAGCATGCCGAAATGGAGTGGATGGTTGAAAAACCGAGTCCTTTAGTGTCACATATACCTGTCCTCTGTAAAATGTATCTGTGCGAGACCCACTTTCAGGTATATCTACAACCAAAGCCACTGATGGAGTCAAAGAACCCTTTGAAGCCACATCATGATCTAGAGCACATAAAGCTGTGGATACTGGCACAATGCTTTTCTTTCCTCTCACACCACTAGATATTGCTAAACCAGGTTCTCCATAATCTATCTTAGCCTTATCATCAAGACAAATAAAGCATGTTTCATCTCTGTTCATCACACTATACTCCCTCATGTTCAGAAATATGGCTGCACAATAATGTTCATCAACATGGGATGCTCTCAGTTGTCTGGACTGCACTTTATGCTGCAAGTTTATTCTTCCCTTGTATAACTTAGCAGTTTCTACATAAGAATTTTTTGGCACAAAGGCAAAAAGTACAGTGCTCTCTGAGGGTATTGGTGTTCCATCTGGGCACTTCTTTGCTGTTTGTTCTATCAAATCTCGTACAGAGATATATTTGCTAAAATGTGCAACATCACCATGCCGACGTTCATCTGCCGCAGTTACTGTAGAAACTTCCTCATCCAACTTCTTGAAAAACACATCAAATGTATCATCTGGTCGACCCTTGTTCAAAGTTCTCATGTCTATCACCATATCATAATCTTCAGACAAAATTGCCTGTCTCAGTCTGGCATCTATGCTTGGGTTCTGTGATGCTGTAGCATCTAATGTCAAATCAGAGTACATAGCTCTCAGTATATAATCTGGGATGTGGACAAATCGCTGATAGGTTTTCTTAAATTCTCGTCTCATTTCTTGAGTATGATATTCTGGTAACCTGCCCTCAAGGATTTTATGAATTCTGGTTGCTGATGAAATCATTTCGGTGGTTGACCTGTCATCGGGTGCTCTCCACAAAAAAATAACTTTCCCAAGTCCTGATCCTGGGTCATATTCTAAGACATCAACAGCAAAAGGAAATGTCATTTCAGCTACAAACCTAACTTTCTGCATTTTGTTTGAAAAGGGTTCTTTGATATGTAATTGCTCGTCAAAGTATATTGGTGTATATTCTTCGGATTCTTTGAGAACTTGCTCTAGAATGAAATATTTTTCCACAGGTTTGTCAGTCGAGGGTAAGTTTCTCACAACAGAATGTGTACCTACTTGCCGCACAGGATGAGACAAGGATTGTCGAAATTTCTGCTGAACATTTGATTCATCGAGGTAGGCAGCGTATGTCTGTAAACAAATGGACAGCTTCTGCAATTCGCTAGCTGTGTTTGTCCACTGACTGGCATAGGTTGATGATGACAGTCGAAATAATAGACTGGAGTGCCGCTTAAGTTCATTAGCGCTCAAACTTGGTGGTGCTTTTCTTTTCTTCTTGAAATCATCATAACCATTATACTTTTCAAATCTGAAATTTATATATCTTCAATGTTTTAAACAATTTAACTAAAAATGTGCATTTCTGACATACTTGTTCAAATTCTTTTAAAGTAACAATACAATACATGTATTTTAAAATTGATTCTATTAAACAATATTTGGATGCACGTAAATTATCTTCCGCAATTTATATTATTTGAGCTAATATTTTGAATTTAAAATGTACCTTTCAGGAATTTTGTTTGTACTTTTCCCATTGATTTTCATATGGTGGGCATCGATGTACCACAGGGCATCAATGATGATCATCATTTGTTGTTTTACATCTGCAGCTATCATATGTGCAGGAAACTTTATGTCGTTCATGTCATTTAAGACATCGTTATAAAGACGGTCCTTTGCTATTGGGAAAATAAAATGACATTATTGAAGACCCAATCTTTTTAAAAGATAAAATTTTAAAAAGTAAATTTCACATAGATATAAATTGTTTTAATGTAGGGCATACATTATAATCAACTTACCACTGTACCTAGCTTTATCAGTAGGTATAGGGGGAGGCCTTTTCATTTCGACTGCTGCTTTCATAAGCACATCAAAGGCGCTCCTTGTTCCATGATCTTTCAGGGCATCAGTTTTAGATATATCTTCATATTCTATTTCAATCGTGACATGTTTCAAGTTTTTGTCAAATTCATGCACAAGTTTTATCATGTCGTAAGGACATGGATTAAAAGATTCGGTTCCATTTGCCTTACAAACTTTAACTTTAGCGACTTTTTCGAATTTCTCGTCAATACCACGTGGAATATCGTCCGCCACCGCTTCCGTGACTATCTCGTACACATCGTACCATCTGTCGGTTAGGCGAAACTGACGCACAGCATTTTGAACCAGTGTTTTAGATATTTTCCCTTTCAATTTTACTGTGACTGAAAGAACTGTACTGTCAATAATTTCCAAAACCTTCTTGGAAGCCATCATTAGATTTCTAGAACACGAAAACGTTTTATAATATTATAATACTTGGGGGAAAGATAAAGCGTCCGTGTAACCGAGGCGTAAAAAATATCAATCGGATAAAAACGGCGTAAGTGCAATAAACACGTAAAAAAAATCAATCGGATAAAAACGGAAAACGGATACGTAAAAAAAAAAAAGATTTTTTTTGAACCTATAAAAAAAATCCAGTCGGGTGGATTTTGGTGAGTCGGTCGCGTTACCGCAAAAAAACAATTTTTTAAGGATGGCCTCATGAATATGTATCCCAGTTTCACATTTCAGTATGTGAAACCACTGAGAAGAAAATGAACGGAAACTTGGTGGACCGAAAATGCGCTGTCCATAAAAGAGGATACAGTGAGGTCAAGGTCAAAAGGACCATAAGGTCAGAATATAAAATCACAATTGAATACTCTTTCCAATACATATCAGTGCATGAATTTTGGTTAACATACAGTATCTTGAATATTTTCTTTGAAATTGAAGTAAATGCAAAGTTTGGTGAAGGGATAGTGAAAGAACAGAAAAAAAATCAAGTTTAACATGACAAACACCAAATGCCCAGCCAAATTCATAACAAGGTATAGTGATAAATTGAGTTTTCTACTAGTTTTTGAGCAAGCAAGTCAAAGTTTCCATTCACATGCCCTTAGAATAACTGGATTATGAAAGTTTATATCTATCCCTGAATTAATCTAATTTTATAATTCATTGTTTTATATTAGACACAACAAAAAAACAGGGAACTAAAAATCTGAAACATGGATTCCTATGATTCTAACATTCTTATTTTTTTTAATGTACCTTTCTTGGGTTTTCGTGGAATCTTCTCAGTTTGATTATTCTTTTCATGTTCATCATATCTCCTGACCTGCTCCTGTAATTAACCCAAGCCATAAGACATCAAAGCAAATGTTATTACTGTAAACTTAAATTTCTTAACTCGACAACTTCTTGTAAAATGTTTAAATGTGATACATAATCCAAAAATATTTTGCAACTTTGCTAGCCAAGGGTTTTCGGTCCACTCTGATCCCCAAGAGAGAAAACTCTTGGCTAGCGGTCAAAGATAAACCCACTTGTTTTAGAAGCTAGCTTATCTTGGCTTACCTCCCTTATTGTAACAATTATGGTTTACCCCCCTTAGTTTGACAATCATGACTTACCTCCCTTATTTTGACAAACAGTATGGCCTTCTGTTCGTCTGACAGCTCGGCCAGGAGGTCAGGGTCCACTGTCATTGTTTGTAGGATTTGTCTCAGCATGATGGCAGCTTACTGACCTATCAACCAAAGACCAACTCTTAGTCAAAGTCTTAAATCAGTCTAAAATCATTCCAATTTGTCCCTTTCTCTCTGCATCTTTTAACACTTTACTGATATATATACTGCGGTACTATCAGGTTTTAACATATGCACTCTGCATTCTTTCTTCTCTCAAGAAATTTACAAGTATTACAACTAGTTAAAACATATGGATGCTTTATCAGCACATCTCAGAGGATATACAGCAACACTATCACAAACAAGGAAAGATATTGTCAGTATATACTTGTGAGTAAAAACTTCCTAATTATTTTTCCCATTGAACTTCATATCTTCCTTGTGCTTCAGTGTCCAACTTATCTTAAACACTTGTAACTGTGAAGTGTTGTCTAAGGACATCACAAGCTGCACATGTATAATAACTGGAAAATGATTAAAAATTGAGAAAAATCAATCAAAACTTAACAAATTGTAATTTTTTTTCACAGACACATAATCATGATATAATGTTCAAATCTGAGATACGGTTTTAGTTAAATTAACTTGAGCTGTACAGAGATGATATTACATAAAAAATTTAACAAAGGTTTCAAATTACAGTAAACATGGTAGAACCTTCTACATAGTTTGCTGAATTAGTACATCTAAATTATCAAACCATGCTTGTTATAAATTTTACATGGATACATACTTTTAGCCCTCTATCTCCGGTAATTAGCATACTCAAATGAGCAGGAAACTTCCCGTTTATTGTTTGCAGATTAGATATAATTAGTATTTAATTGATTTCAAATAGGAAGCAAACTCAAATTTAAATTGGTGAAAACTGAAGGTCCCTATACATGTATAACAATTAATTTTTTGCTCTCTTTTAGATTCTCAGAGATTTATAAAAAAAAATTTAAACAATGAGACAAAAATAGAAATAAAAACAAGCAACTGTGTGTCGAGACAGGAAGTCGAGAGTCTACCAGAAATCAGATCAGGATATGTCTTTGATTTCCCCATACTGTGTTCTCCTGTGACTTATGTGTGATGTGTCTATCCTCCTTCTGTCAGTTTCTTATCTTACGAGGCTCCAAACAATCCCATCAAATGATTCACAGTCAATATCTCTCCATGTGTACACCTGGTACCCCAAGAATTCTCACTCTTTACCCACTAATTAGTAATTAGCACGAGGTATCTGGGACCAGGGGAAAAACTCTGTGAATGTGCAGTTTATCGTAATTTCTACAATGTTATAATGGAAGCAGGGAATGTAAAAATGTATGTCTTTGGAATTTCTGGGTTGTTTTTCTTTTCATCTTGAGAGCAGAGGATATGTTTTGATCTGAGGGATTGATAAGAAATGAAATACACACATTTGCACTTTTTCCCGCATTAACTGAATTCTCACCAAAATATATTAGTCAGCTGGGTATAGTAATGAATGAAACATACGGAGTGGAAGAGAAGTAAATGTTAATATTTTATTTAACAGAGATGCCTACATAACTTTGTTCTCATGTTACTGGTAAATCACCCAAAACCAAACAATGGTTACCTATTAATGTTGAACTGAATCATTTCAGAAATGTGTGACATTGTGCAATACTAGACAAGTAGCATGTTTTGTGCAACATATGACGTGTAAAATTTTGTTTGTGACGGCAGACACATGTGGATACAATTCAATGTTTTCCAAATTTCATGTTATAAAAAGAAACAGCTTAGTTTACATATCAACTATGTTCTTTATGGCAAAGACCTAACACATAATGCGATAAACATTACATTTCTCTAGCTTCTTTCACAACATCATCAATTCCTGAATGAAAAGTGGTCAAGTAATTGCTTTGTTGAAATACAATATGTTAACAATTCGAGCAGCATGTAGACCTGGTGGATATCAGCCCGAGTGGCTCAGTGGTACAGCACCTGACTAGAACTGCAGGGGTTCAAGGTTCGATTCCCAGTCCGGCTATATATATTTTATGGATTTCTCTTTTCCTTTAGCAATATCAACACCTGCCACATCTATTATTCAATATTTTTTGAGTTGCTGATCAAAGAAGTTACAGAAACTTTTGCTTGTATAAAAAGATGTAAGGGTTTATGTATAAGTAGCACTCCATTCCTTATATTAGTTATTCCATATTCGCTGTCATTCAACAGCTTCGATAGCTTAGTGAGACAAGTACCTGACCAAGGTGATTGATTGATTGATTGATTGTATATTGCTTAACATCCCTCTCGAGGAATGCTGGACAACTCGCCCCCAAGACAAGTCGCCCCCAAGACAACTCGCCACCTTTTCAGGACAACTCGCCCCCAATTTAGGACAACTCGCCCCCTGTTAAGACAACTCGCCCCCAGGTTAAGATAACTCGCCCCCAGCTTTAAGAAAGCAAATTGGGGGCGATATTTTTTTTATATAAATGTATATATTTTTTATTTAATATATATATTTTCATATTATTTCGATATTTATTTTTATTTTAAATGTTTCTGGTGTTAGTTACGCTAAAAAATTGTACTCCTCTCCTCACGTGAGATGCCTGAAAAAGAAATATGTTTTAGATTAAATTCATCAATATTTGCATTTATGCGGTCATTTATACCTATAACATTGCGCTTAAAAAAGGAGAAGATACGATTAATATAATTTTTTTCTATGAAATTAAAATGTTTATTTTTTATATAATATTAAGTATATTTTTTTATTGAATTATTTGAATGTGATTTTATATTTTAAATTATTTGTTTCCAACTCAAGCTTTCTTGAATTCTTCATCACTTTAAGGTTTTAAGTTGCTTCGGAGCTTGGATACACCATATTTTTTTTTTATCAACTGTATATACGTAATTTTCGAGGCTTGCATGCTCTAATTCTTCATTACTTTAAAGCTGCTTTGGAGCTTGGACAAGCCAATTTTTGGTCAACTAAATATACATAATTTTCTTGGCTTGCTTGTCCTAATTGACTCAGGACAACTCGCCCCCAAGACAACTCGTACAAAAAAGATCCCTCCCTGCTCAATGGCCCTATATTTTACTCATATGTAGACCCCACCACTTGTTGGTGGAGAGCTGCAAATGTTGTCCTATACTCGGCACTCAGGGCCATTGAGCAGGGAGGGATCTTTTTTGTTCCAGCACCTACTGCGACACAGGACCTCGGTTGATATGGTCTCATCCGAAGGAGCGGTCTCCACGTCCCACAGTGGGATTCGACCCCGCAACGTAAGGATTGACTCCTTACTTCGCAACTCTAGAGCAGACCAAGGTGAAGGTACCGGGTTTGATTCTCAACAGTATCACATTCCTTTTTTATAATATGAAAATAAACTAAGTCTTAATAAAAAATCTTAATTTTTTTCTTTAATACATGGACAGGAAGGAGAATATGAATAGCCTTTAACAAATTTTGCTTCAATGTAATTTGCAACTCTCCATTCCTGAAAAATAATTGAGCTCCCAAACAAGAGTGACGTCACAGGTGGATCAGTAGAAAAAAGTAATTAATTTATTTGCAGTAGGCCTATTAGTAATCATGGTAATTATCTTCTGCAATGAGCTACAATGTATATAGATGTCTCTTGAAGTAGAAGTATGATATTTATAACCAGTTTTGTCCAGTAAAATTAATAAATACTTCAACTTCTGCACTTCTAAACAAAATTTACCTCATTTAAATTTCTGACACTTCACAACTGATACCTGAGGTTTTCTTTTCACATTCTAATCATGCTAATTAGGCTAACTACTTGCATTTTACATAGCCCTGCCCTTGCCAATATTTTCACTCGCATGCCAAAAACAAAGTGAGCAAATGAGTGGCCTCCTCACACCCACTAAATGAATTCTCGGTAGACTTGAATAACAAAATATTCCAAATGGTTTGACACAGACAGCTGTGTTCGAGGTCGAGTTAAAATGATCTTGTTGTCGTACTTACGCTTTGAACTAAGCGACCAATGCCCTGCAAATAAGACTAATGCACCATTTTCAAACAAAGTCTTCTGCAGTCTAACGTAACTTCACATATTTATTCTGCTTCCAGTCTCATGCGAACGGCACATTCGTTTTCTACTTCCACTTTAGTCTTTACCAAAACTTCCTGTTGGTGGCGCTGCGCACCCGGAAGAATATTCAATGGCGGGAAATTCAATCTATCAAAAAGGGGGACCAATCCCGTAAACTTTAGACAGAGAAAATTTAGTGTCATTTTATCATCCTCTTGAAGAAATAAAGAGTACAATTCCTTGAATAATTCTCCACAAGAGTAGTTTATTCTGGAGCTGTTTAAAAAGAGCCTAAAAATATCGTTGGCCCCTAAATAAATTAATGCTCTCGCGAAGATTTTCCCCTAATTCCTAACAATTGCTGCTAAATTTGTCTTGTAAACTATTTGACACCATTGTATGCCTTTTTATGCTTCAATAGTTCAATTTGGTTATGGAGATAATCCTCCTTCAATCATACAATATGTAAAAAAAAAAAAAAAACTCAGTCATGCTTTTCAAGAAAATTCAGTTTATAAAAAAAAATTAATAAACAACTAAAAAGAAACTTATAAAAACATTGTAAGATAATTGTTCCTAATTCTGTCTCAAAGCTTGCACTCAGAAACTTCAAGTTTCAACTGTGCTAGCTGCAGATCTGTAGCTCTCCGAAAAAATATATTGATAGACCAGAGAGCTACAGTGCCACCCATTGAAAAAACTGTATATTTATTGCGCACAAAAAAGTGCGCTCGGTTCTCGATTTACTTCTCCATGTTTTTAAACTGTGATCTCAAAACATTACTAACCGTGTGTTCCGAACATATTCTTTCGCTGTTTCCACAACCAAACATTCCTCATAATTGTTGTTAATAGTCCTCCTGACCCTGATATTGTAATAATAGAACATTTCGCTTATTTATACTGCCATTTTGGTTTCAAAGATAATTCGGTCCAATATGCTTCTTTCAGATGTCAACTACGAGAGTACTTGGCAGAGGAGAAAGGAATGTTTAAAATCTTCCATTTTTTGCAATTAAAGTAAGAATTTGGAAGAATTAATCAAGAACCGAGCGCACTTTTTTGTGCGCAATAAATATACAGTTTTTTCAATGGGTGGCACTGTAGCTCTCCGGTCTATCAATATATTTTTTCGGAGAGCTACAGATCTGCAGCTACAACTGTGCATGAAATTCTTCTAGATGCAAAATTGCTTTTCAATAAATTAATACCAAATTTTCCTTTTCCCTGCATGGTGATCTATATCTGCGGTATGGTTTTACAATTGCATTGATGCAAATTAAAAAGCAGCCCCTCAGACATACATGTTTTGGGGTCTATCACTTTTGACTGTTTGATCGCCAGTGGCCAGACAGATCAGCTAATGGAGCAGCTGTCTATGGTTTAATACGTGTTTCAGGGGGCTTCAGGTTCAGATCATGGTCTGGATCATTACAAATTCCTCCTTTCCTATTACACCTTGATCCCAATAATAACTGACAAATAATCAGGCAGAATCTAATATTTAAGAGACAAAAATATAAAAGAACACGTTTATTTGCTAAATCAATTATTTTAATACTGCATTTTTTATCCAACATCTTGGTTTTGCATTTTAAATTGCCATAACTGAAGAGAGTGGTTATAAAATGAACAAGTTGCTATAAGGTTATTGAATGAGGCACTGTGACACCAGTCTGCACCATATCCCAGAGACACATCTTCTTCATAGTGATGTAACACACACATCTTCCCATCTGTTTAAAGAAAGCAGAAAATATTGTCATTGTCTGTTCTTTCCATACAGTTTCTTTAATTATGCCAGGGCTGTTTAGAATGGAGACAATACATATCATCAGGTCTAAGTAGGGTTGGCAGCCAGGGCTGCTTGCACCTGAGGGTGACAAACCTACTCACACCTGAAAATATGTTAACTTATGTCTTCTTCTAAACAGTCTATAATAGTTTTAAATTCCCTGGGAATTTCAGTTTAATAAATTAAAGTAAAAAATATCTGCTTCACCTCTTGTGTTCTATCTACACTGCTCCAATTCCAATTACATACTTTGGAAGCATGTCAACAGACAATTTTGATGTTACCATTAGAATTTATTGTTTTCATATACACTGTATAGACATGACTTATCTCCCACAAAATTTTCATTTTAAATTAAGGGAAACAACATAGTTGTCACCCTGCATGCTAGCTTAAGCTATTTCATTTTCATATAAAGGGAGACAACCCAGTTGTCACCCTGTGTGTGAAGGTGAAGTTCTCGAATTGTTTCCCTGCACTTGATATGCTCTAAATCAATAATATTGACCGTATAATTCCGAAGAATACAGTAATAGTTAAATTTTGTCAAGGCTATTTCATCTAAACAATGGATCTACCTTGGTAACAAGTACCTGTTCTAGTAAAACTACTGTGAATTTTCATGAATTATTTTGCTTTCTGTCATTCTACTTAGTCACCTGATACACTGCGAGCATCCACTACATGGTAGCCATTATACATTGTGGCTGTCAGGATCAAGTGACCATCCTTTGGGTGCCACTTCACCCTCCAGATCCCCCCTCCTAACTGTGTGTCACCCAGGGGCTGCTTCATCTGCCTGCTATCCCACACCAAGAGGTGTTCATCATAGCTAAAATAAATGGAAACATCTACTTTAACAAGGGAACATTTAAAAGCATTGAAATATAAGTATCAAGGCTAAATAAACAACTAGCATTCATTTTCTTTACCTTTAATTCATTAAAAAAAAACAAGAAGTGTGTCCATATCTTTTATATTTGGCGTCATATTATCAAATAATATAAAAAGTTGCACAAATATAAATCTAATTAACATTGAAGCCTGTGAAGCAGCTTATTGCAAAGGTTGATTAGAGTTTCTCAAATGCAGGTTAATCTCCAAGGTTAAAAGGTCAAAAATAGTTTTCCACAGAAAGGACTTGTATTCATCAGCAATTTTGGGCATGTGATTGGTCATGAATGATTAGCAGAGGACAAGAAGACCGAATGATAGGAGATCGGAATTCAGTGGTGTCTGACCTTGTCAAAAAAGACCGACGTAGCATCAATATATAATGGTACCTGTGAAGTATGAAAGCCAAAGAACCAGCCATTCAAAAAATTACTAATATTTGAAACATGGGTCAAACTCAAATGTCAAATGTCAAAGAGTCAAGATCAATGATACCCAGGGAAAGGACTTGTCACAAGAAATATGGTATACAGGGAAATTTTCGTCCTCATTTTATTTTCGCCCCTTTCACCCTCTTCATGATTTGGTGAATTTAAAATGGGGTGAATAAAAAGAACACAGCATAGTTTCCTAAACAGAAAATATAGCTGGGCAAATTAAAAACACGACAAATTTGCTGCATGTGCAAAAGGGCAAAAATAACCATGTATACAGTACACAGGAAAAATAAAAAATACCTAGCATTAACAATAGGTGGGACACCACAGTCACAATTAAATTCGCTGTGTCCAAAGGAAGGTCTTGTCACAAGAAAAACACCTGTGAAATGTGAAAGCCCTGATTCTAACTGTTCAAAAGTTATGACAATTTAAAGGTTTTTTTAAATGTAGACCAAACTCTAAGGTCAGGGTAAAAAATATTTAAAGCCAAGAAAGGTCACAATAAAAGTATATAACGTATAAGTGGAAATTTTAGCGAGACGCAAATTTAGCGATTTGTCTTTTAAAATGGGTATTTGATCTTTAGTGAGAAGTATTTTTAGTGATATTAAAAAAGGTCACTACAGAGGCCATTACAATTAAAACACAGTTAATTTTTAGCGATACATGTATTCAATTTTAGTGATCTCAGCACCCTCGCTAATAATGCCAAAATTAAATCCCCCCTAAAAATTCTGCTTATACAGTATATGAAGTATGAAAGTCCTTCAGCACCAAGTGTACAAAAGTTATGACCAAGTCTCAAATGAATGCAAATTTTTGCCAAAGTAGGTCAAACTCCAAGATCCAAGTCAAGAAGTCAATTACATGTATATTTATAGAAAGGTATGTCACAAGAATACACACGTAAAATCTTTAAGCCATTATATCTCCAAGCAATCAAAAGTTATGGACAATGTTACAATTTTTATAGACAAACAAACAGATTAACAGACAGACAGATGGATGGACAGGACAAAAATTATATACCCCTAAATCTTTGTTTAGGGGGCACTAAAAATTTACATTTCACTCATAGTATATAGGTTTGCCTCACCTGCCTGTGCAGAGAAGATGCTCTCTGACTGGATTAGACTGAATACTGCACACACCCATCTCATGTCTACAAGAAAAACATTCACTCCGTAACATGAAATTTTGGACAATATTATTATTCCATAATATAAAAGTGTTTAGGACATAAAGACAATGCAATTACCTGTGGGTTTACTAATTTTAATGTACAACATTATGCTAGAACAGAATGGGGTTGTTATATATGGTAATATCTTTCTTTTAAATACACAGTAAATACATGCATGTATATAAAGTGAAATTAATGCATGTTTCAACTTCTTGTACCTTTTACTGGAGAAGATGGGTGAGGTAGATTTCTGTCTCAGGTCCCAACCCTTCAGTCGGCAATCATCTCCCCCTACAAGTCAAACAATACAATGATAAAGATACAAGTAATAAAAATGCTACTCTTCATAATGAAAGATCCTTACATCTTGCAAATGCTTAGATTTAGTTAAATTTACAATGTATCACTACATCATTAGTCTTTGTATTTATAAACACCTGAAAATAAAACATTGGTGTCCCAGTAATTAAAGGCCGTAATCCAGGCTTCATAGTCATGGGCTTTCCATGAGGAAAGAAGAGTGAGCTCCCCTGAAATCAGCTGGTGGACCCGAAGGTGGCCATCTGACGAGGAGGTAGTCAGCTGTGGGGGGCCACTAGTCAAAATAAAAAAAGAATATTAACTCTGGTGACATAGTTGTATCTATGTAATAGTATATAATGAGGAATGACATACTATTAAACATTAAAATGACATAACTTTTGCATGAAAATGAAAAAGTCCATGTCTTACTGTAGATATATTCATCATTAGTGGATTTAAATTGACTTGACATTCTACATACTGAGTATAATTTCATTAACAGGTTATACATACATGCTTTTTTTTAGAATACTAACTTGATGTATAAATAGTTTGATCCAGTCATTTAAAAATTTGGTCAAAGGACTAATAAATAAAGTGCCGCGCCACAGCATGATACGCCCGTCAAAAAAATTACAATTTTCTTGAACAGTTTAGGTGCAAGAAAATCACATCAAACTTGCCCGTGATTCTAAGATTTCGATGATTTTTCAATTCCTTAAAATATTTATCCATCCCCTGTGATGTAGGCATCAATTATAATAAATATTACATAACTGATAGATTTCTGTGCTGGTTGTGTTAGACCTTGTCAAATGCCCATCATCAAATTAGTCTTAACAACTTAATCTATACCAAATTAATTTTGAAAAAAAAAGGCTGGCCATCAAATGACATATGTTATAAACTGACCAGCAGTTCTTCTGTCTAATCCCCAAAGGGTACAGATAAGAGACAGCTAGCCTTCCTACATTGAACTCATTAATAAATCTTTAACTGGATGCTTGTCAACTCATTACTACCAAGAGATGAATGGGTCTGCACTATCTACTATAAATTTTGTTTAAAAACATATAAAATACTCAAAGATTTTTTTTTTTTGTTGAGATTTAATTTCCAACAGGTTTTAATATGTAATTCATATGGACATGCTGATTCCACCCCACCCCATAAAATTAGTTTTTAAATTAATAATATTACATAATATCAGATTAGTCTACAATGCAATATCAAATTAGTTTTAATTACTTTTCATCAAATTAAGCTAGTCAACAAGAGCTATAGCCTATTTTTAATCAAACAGGCTTACCCATTTGCCCAATACTCAAGGGACAGATAACACCAATGCTCTGGCAGTTAGCTCCTCGCACTCAAACCCATTAATTTCTCTCTAATTTGACATGCAATTTTCTGTTATCAAAATTCTTTTTGACCAGTGCTTGATAATTACACTCAAGGGAGAGGTAGGATTTCTCTAACATACATTATATTTGTTATAGATTGCTGTCAAGTATATGCTTTAATAAAATAAGTATTTTCTTGATTTAACACTTTTTTAATAAGAACAGTGCAATACTCTTACATTATTTGGGATGTGTAAATAAATAGTAAAAAGACATATTTTTTTTTTTTAATTTCACTTAAATTAAAGGTCACAGTGACCTTGAAATAGGTCGCGACACACCTTCTACCTAAGACGCATAAACTGGCCAAGTTTGATGATTGTAAGTCTTATGGTTTTCTTGTTATGGGCCGGAAAGGATTTTTCCATATTTGGCTATAACTTCTTAATTAAAGGTCAGAGCGACCTACTTTTTGTACGCGACACACCTTCTACCCAAGATGCATCAGATGACAAAGTTTGATATTCCTAGGCCTAGTAGTATTAAAGTTATGAGCCGGAAACGAAAAAGCTAACAGACAGACGGACAGACGGACGGACGGACAGACGGACGGACACGAAGCCTATAACATAATACGTCCCGTCTTAAGACGGGCGTATAAAAATGATTTAAAAAAAACTAAAAAAGTTATCTCAAGACTATTTACAGAATGTGAATTTTATGCAGATGTTGACAAGACTAGAGCTCTATGTCTATATCAAAGATGGGTAATTATTTCTTACTTTACCTTTTAGTAATTTTGTTTGCCCAGTCTAGGGACAGACCTAATACACTTTCTCCAAGGGTCACCCCTGTAAGCTTTGTGATCTCAGCTGTTGTGGATCCACCACCCATTTCACCTCTGTGGTTCATCACATACAGTTCAGCAGCACCTACAGAATTGACCAATCCAAAGACAGGGTTTCCTCCAACCAGGTCTGGGCTCCACTTAATGTCAAGGACACCGGGCATTTCTGAAAAATTCATCAATATCTTTTTTAAAAAACAATTTTGATTCATTCTCATAAAGCTGTTTAAATGATTTCTTTTTTTTTTTTTAAATTGTACAAATGTTTATTGTATAAACTTAGCTGCAATAATGTAGCCCTCTCCGATTTTTTTTTTTTTTTTTTTTGGGAGAGGGCTACAACTCCTTAGGATCTCTATAATGGCGCAGATGCGGCAGTGGATCACTCCCGCACGGATTTCGGCTCAAATTATCAGTAAACGGCTATTTTATTATTAGCTCTTACCTGGAATCCAAATATGTAATTATGCAAAACATAAATCGATCCAAAAATATTCACAACGACCCATATATCGGTTATTTTTCGTGTGTGTCACCAGCTTAACTTGAATTTATCCGCCATGTTTACTGACCTTGATGGATTGTATTTTGGGACAGCCAATGAGAATTTAGGTTCTATAGGAGCGGATCTACTAGGAATTCCCTTATTTTAAGCATACGTATCGCTGTTTGCGCAAAAATAACACTTGAAATGGTTTTATTTATCGATGTTTTTGTAATATATTAAAGCACAATCGTTTATAAACATCAACATTTGCTTTATTTGGTTGTTCCAAATTTCAAGCGAAAGTCTCACTACGTCACGCGTGAACTGTCATGGCTGCTGAATATTGCAGCTGGGAAAGACACAGATTTATTTTACATGGTTTTCGAGTTTAACAGGCTATGTTGTTGACAGTGAATAAAAATTCCGTCTTATAAGAAGTAAGTTTAATGTAAAAATAATTTATTTTGCCTCCAATCACCCGTATCAAAAAAATATATTTGCACCATTACGGAGATGCGATGGAATTGTAGCCCTCTCCAGAAAATATCAGATAAAAAAAATCGGAGAGGGCTACATTATTGCAGCTAGTATAAACTTATTGATAAGTCAAATGCAGTATCTGCTATTGACCCGCTTATATTAGTGACCAGAACAGATTTTTTCTAGAATATGTTACCTGACCAATTTCAGATTAATTTTCTAATTTTTTATACACAATGGCCTTAATTGTCAGCAAATACAATATATCATTAAGTCAAATGCTGACTGACATTTTTCACCTTAATTTGTTAGGCCATTATTTACACACTGAATTGTCGACAGATTATTCTGTTATTCCCTGATCATGACAAGGAACACATACTCGGTGGATGTGAAAAGTCAGCAGGGGATGTTCACTCCTCCATGGCACCTGATCCTACCTCTGATGTTTTGGAGGTTTGTGTTTGCTCTACTCCAAATTTCAAATTGTATAGTTTTAGACTTTTCAGCTTCAATACTGTTCATTATCTCCATAATATTATACATTTCATGTATAATTTCAACAATGTACACATACATTACTGAGTAATTTTGAAAATGAAGTCAACAATACAAACCAATGACAGAAGTCTTTGTTAATGAGCAGGTCTCCTCAGCAGAGTTAAGTTTGTAGACCTGAACGTTTCCATGTCTGGTCTGATTGTTCTTTGTCTTTGTTTCATCAGAATTGTTCTGTTTCTGAAATAAATGCAGATAAATATCTCAAGCGTACTAAGTAACAGGTACATTATTATTAATGACATACAGCAAAACTTGTTTAGTACGAACACAGATATTGCGAATTCATGGATATGGCAAAGTTATCTTGGATCCCCAGCTAAATAAATTTAAGGAATTCCTTATGTGGATAAAACATATTATGGATATAGCGAAGTATTTTCACAGATGGTCCCAATGACTTCGTTATAACTGAGTTTTACTGTATATACTATTACATGCATACTTAAGGTCAAAATCTGAAACCTGTTAATAAGTAGCACTAGAGAAGGATGAAGTAAATCAACTTGAGTATAATACTTTGTATTAGCAACACATTACTAGCTTTTATTAGTTATGATTACCTTTGTTTCTTGACTCTCATCCAGTTGGTAGGTTCCACAAAGTAGAATGTCCTGATTTCCATCACATGGACACCATTCCACAGAGTCCGCATAGAATCCAGTGTCTAGAACCTGATAAATCTGGGACATTCTTCCCTCTATAGAATACCCAAAATTAAAATCATATGATTTTAAATTAAAACAATTATCATCATCTCAAGATTATAATCACTGCCAAACTTGTATTTAATTGTGATGCTCTTTCCCCACTGGCTACAAATAAAGTTTCGGGGTTTAAAGGAATCATCTTGTCCATCTGTTATCTCTTTATTAGGGAGAAACACTCAAAATTCATACTAGTACAGAGGGGGGGGGGGCTTATGACTCAAGAGTGTTGTTTTTTGTCCTTGAATCAAGGTCATTCTGGCAAGTAGAAGGACGCTCGTAAAACAGTATAAAATGCTTAACTGGACCAAATATAACTCTGTAATACAGAATCACTGGTGAAGTTTACACTTGGTATAGGGATTGCTAATGACCAGAGAACTAGCCAAAATGACCTTGATCTGATCTGAAAATGATCTGTCAGTGACCATAAACTTGCCAGAATGACCTTTGGTCAAGGTTATGACAAACCAAAAGGACATAAGCAATCTTTGTACCAAGTTTGAGATTTCAGTATTTCACCATAACAATTAATTTAAGTTATAGCCCAAACAAAAATTTTATCAATTTTCTGATGACCTTCAGTTAAGGTCTTGTCTGTACAGAGTAAGTGCATCCAGTGACTCTATATTATAAAGTTATAGACTAGCAAAATATTGATTTATCTTTTCTGTCAGTGACCTTGAATTTACTGAAATAACCCTGGTTCAAAGTCAAGACACATCCTTGAATCATAAGTAATCTCTGTACTGAGTATTAGCTTCCAGTGATTCTCCATTACAAGACAAAGTTATAGTCAAGACAAGAATTTTAACTTTAGTTATTCCAAACATTTATTTTAAAGTCAATTCATAAAATACTAGCATAGGCACTTGGGTCAAGGATAATGAATATTTTCTATATAATGTATTGTCGAGAAAATTTGAAATATATTTGAACTAATAAGAAACTTTTAGTATACTGTGGGATATGTAACTTTTAAATCTTGCATCAGATCAAATTTCCGTGACATTCTAGTGTATATCAAGCAGGAAGGTTTACAATTAAAAAACAAAATTAATACTGTGCAATGAAAAAATGTTACATGTACAAGTATAGTTCGAATTTCCTCGACAATACATTATACAGGAAATATACATTGTCCTTGACCCAAGCGACTAGGAATACTAGTACCATATTAACAAAAAATATTAGTATATTGTCTATCTAATAAAAACAATAATCTATTTAGCATTTATGGAAAGGGTTCAATCTATTCAATAAGCATTTATAGAAAGGGTAATATCTCAATTTTCTTTTTCAACTTGGAAAATAGAAAATTGAGGGGTTTTTTCTACTTCCAAATAAGTCAATATACTGATCAATGTGTCACTTTTTGATTTGATGTGGCGGTGCCTAAGAAACTACTGGGTTTTCTTTTTTTTTTGGCCTTAATGATGCAAAACAATTGAGAAAAATCTTTCTGTTTTATTCAAAAATTTTCAATGCACAGGTATTTATTTCTTTCACTTTGCAAACTTTAATATAGCAAGTTGATTTAAAATAATTTTCATGATTGACAACTTGACAAGGATCTAGAATCAAATGTACACATGATACAATGAAAAATGTTACAAACTTACAATGCAGTCTGATAAATAAAGGCTACAATAACAATTCACAATCAATAAAGGTATATGAAGATCTAAGAAAACAATCACATGACCCAGCATGAATTGATGTCAGAAAATGAACATAATTTTCTTTTGTACTAAAATAATTTTATAGTAGAAATTAAATGCCAATATCAATCAGCTGCAACAAATTTCAAAATTTTGAAGATCTCAAGAAAAAATGAGAAGATAAAAAAAATGATTTCAACAATGTCTTGACAAAATCCTCTGATTCAATCCTTTCTCCAGAACATAAAATATAAATAACTATATGAGACAAAAAATGTTTCGTTGATGCATGTATGAACACATTTCCTTAGGTCCTGGCACTTCTTTCGCATTCCATCAAACACTCTCGAACAAGAATACGTGCGTGAACAATTCCACGCTTCAGTCTCTCTACGGAGGTCTTACTTCCAGCGTAAGTTGGTCGAATATCTCTTCCCATGTCCTCAATAACAGCAAGCAGCTGTGTGTATTTGCTCTGAGATTGCTGCTGCTGGGCTAGTTGCTGGTTCTGAAGTTGCTGAAGATGTTGCTGCTGCAGCTGCATCAGTTGCTGCTGACTGAGTTGCATGGCTTGTGCAGGGTTGTGCCCCCTTCTCATTTGATTTGGGGAGGGTGTAGCTCTTACGTCTTCAGATCGCGGAGTTCCTGGATTACTCATAATGGCAGGCGAATTCACTCGACTGCGATCCTTTGGGGTTGATGTGCTGTCTTCCATCATGTTAAACTATAAGAATAACAAACAAAAAATGTTTCAATAATTTATTGATATTTACCGGTATGTATACAGATCAGATATAGCACATTTACTATCTACATATAAATGTGGACTGACATATCAGATATCTTATGTCAAAGTTAACAAAACTTTAAAAGATTAAAAAGAATTTCTTCTATGAGATAGTTTCTAGAAGTAATATCAAATGAGAATTTATTTTTACAATCTGTAATATATATTAGGTAATGAATAATTATGAATATGTTCTTAATCTTAGGGTCTAGATTTATGTTCTCCTTGATTGCCAAGAAGTGGGGGAAATCATATAGGAAAATTGATCTAATAATCCTTTTAGTTCTATATGCCTGGTTTTCGATAAAATGATTCTATCTTTTATGTAACAGTAGAGGAGGAAGTATTTGGCTGGACCAGGGAATCAAACTGCGCCCTGCATTACTAGTCAGCTGCTCTGGCAACTGAGCTACCTAGGCCAATATCCCTGGCCTAAACCATACATTACACTCTCTTTAAATTGTCTTCACCCTCAAAGACACAACCTAAGTTCTTTTAAGCCCTTGGTAGGACTTTCCCTGGCAAGGCCAGGGGGTGGTCAGCGACACCAAATCTGTAACAGGAAAGTTGTAAATGACACCTCAACCAGGAATCAAATATGGGATCCCTGCATCACTACTCTGAGGTGCTCTATCGACTAAGTAGTAAATTACCAAGAATGACATGAACATTCAACAATCAAAACCATTACATTTGTTACAGATTTGGTGCCATACGTTAACCATCCCTGGACTTGCTGGTGTAAGTCCTGCCAGGTACTAATAAGAACTTGGGTTTGTGTCTTCGAGGGTGAAGACAATTAATAGGAACTAATGTAATGTTTTGGGATGTGAATATCAATCTGAGTAGCTCAGTCGGTAGAGCTTCAGACTAGTGATGCAAAGGGAATCGGGTTCAATCCTGGTCCAGCCATACATTTTCTCCCTTTTCTGTTACATTTATATTAATAGCGAGCGCAGCGAGGCGGCGCGAAGCGCCGCTCGCGTAGCGAGCTCAATAGACTAACGTGTACGAACGGAGGAAATTCGGGTTGAAATCTGCACATTGTTTCAAGAAATTTTTATCTCACCGCGTGAAAAAATTCCAAACTCCCAATAATCCTTTGCGGTGCACAGCAACATGGTGGCTAAAACATAACAAGAACTTACTTGAAAAAAATTACAAACAACGATTTAATGCAATATCCATGCCACAAAACTATCGTTTGCGTTCTAAGTCTACAGGACTTTTTATTTGACGTCATATTTTCGTCACTTAACGGCTCGGGTATTTCCGATTTTGTCAGAAACTTCCAAAAAGATCAGAATTTCGATCCCGACGCCTGAGAAGTGATTTCTTTTTATTCTTTTCTTTTTTTAATGAACTGAGGATAGGCAGTGCAAGTAGTAACTGTGCAAAAGGTTTTTGATAGTAAATAACTGCGCTCGCCCCAACGGTCGCACCGTAGAACATACCCTCGTGTGCCCATATTTCGACGGTCTTTCAATGTGTTGCAATATTTTATTTCATGTAAACAAGAATCCATTGAAATAAATTGAGCGGTAAATTCATCATTCAAATTGTATTCTTTCCTGTGTAAAGATTTATCCAATTCGTCTTATCTACTTCTATTGGTGATGAGTTCAAAAGTGACATGTAAACAATGGGCGCCGCCATTACCGGGTCCTAATTTCGACGGTTACGTCATCGAGTTATATGCAAGCAATCAGGAAGGCCAAGCAAAACAAATTTTTAGTAAAAATAAATTAGATTAATTTTTTGCAATATAAGGTTACTTAATGGCAATAGTTGTAATTTTAACATTTAATTTAATCATTTTGTCACTACTCAATGCAATGAGGACAGAGGAATTAGTCATACTAGGTAGAGAACCTGTGTGTTGCAACAGTATTTCAGGTGACTAAATATTGACAAGGCACCCCATTCTTCGTTCCATCATACTGGGCCCATTTTGTGAATATACTTATGTCACTGTTGAAAATTTCTTGTGGCTTAAACTTCCAATATGTACACACCAATAGGCGTGAAAAACATGTACTTTGATGTCTTTTTAATAGGACCAGCCAACAAATATAAACAATTATTATAGTTAAGCTAATACAAACTGCATTTTATTTTTTTTTTATTTTTTTTTATTTATTTATATATATTTATTTATATATTTATTTATTTATTTATTTTTACATATAATACCATTATTAAATATTATTTTTAGTACTTTTTAATGTAAGTAGAGAATGAAATAATTTTGTTTTAAAAAGTAGAAATGGTGGAAAATTTTAAAAGAAACAAAACATAATATTCTAAGCATTGAAATATTTTCTGTGTAAAGATTCAGTTTTGTACTTTTAGTATAAAAAGAGAAAAAAGTATTTTAAGAAAAATACATTACATTTCAGGAAATTGCAAATGATTACCAACAAATCATTAATTTTAAGTACATGTATAACAAAACCCTTAGTAACAGTGATTTTAATTCAAAATATGATTAATTCATTGTTTTCTTTTTAAAAATTGTAGTTCTGATAAACACAAAATAAAATTGGCTTGGCCTTGTTTTCCAAAATTTTGTCGCGTGAATTTCATTACTGAATTGTCAGTCTATGCATACCGTATTTTGTCAAGTTATTTGTAGCAATCATAAACCATTAATCAGATTTCATATTTGTATCAAAAAGTGATTTTACGCAAGGCAGACATTTTTTTCGTCTAAAACTATATGAAACAAATGCTTTCCTGTCTGAAATGCATTTTCATCCATGATATACGTAATATGATCGCAAGTCTACAGGGGTACTATGTTTACACAGACCAGCCTGATCTCGCGAGAACGAACCAGATATAAACAAAATAACAAAACCGTCGAAATTCGGACCCTGTCGAATTTAGGACCTTCGACCATATTATTAATACAGTGAAGTCGCCAATTCCGGGTCACGTCAGGGTGTTTCGTTGATATTTTGCAAATCTGTTCAATTTAAATTTTATGCAATATATGTATTGAAAGAACAAATAGTGAGTCATCCAAACACCTTTTCGTTTTCAAAGTAGCTACACGGGAACAATATATACAGGGGTATTTCAGAAAGGCCCTGCTTCCCCAGTTACGAATCATTTTCTCCATTTCCGGGTCATGTGACTTCACGGTCGTGTACTATTCATGGAACGTTTCGGAACAGGATTTTTATGATGTTTAAACATAAAATAAGTCATCCAGCTTGGAAAAAAGTAAAACAACCACAGAAATAGGTTTAAATTATTTTTAAAACAACTGCAACAAAACAAATTGCAGTATGCAGAATTAAAAAAAATGTATTAGGATCAAAAATAATGTACAAGTAAATTCATTTATTAAAAAATGCATTTGAAGGGTTAACTCGATTTTGATTTTTAGAAAAAATATTTTCCATTAGAATACTTTTGATAATCAAGGTAATTACATGGTTATCGATCGGTTTTGTACATAGAATGTTGAAATGTTCATGCCACGAGATTGCGTGACCCGCAATTGGAGAAACTACTACAGTTTGATTTAATAATTATTTTAATTTTATTTGAGCAGCGATCATTATGATTGATTTCTGAGTTAAAACTAAATGCATTTGCCATACTTTCGAGTTCTTATTATTTATCTAGAACTTTTATATCAGCCTTTCTGCAGCGAACAAAAACGAAAGTAGCCAGTCACCGAAGCAGAAACATCCAAGTCTTTAATGCGTGAGTTTCAGAATTTCGATTGTCGGATGCTCTCTTAAAGCTGATATTCAAAATTTTGTAATTAATTACAGACAGAAAGACCAGTTCTTAACAACCAGCGTATTCATTAAGTTTTTTGCGCTTAAATTTTAACACTAGGCATAAAATACACGCTAGTGACCCGGAATTGGAGACGACCCGGAATTGGCGACTCCACTGTAGTCCACTGTACAAATATGAGTAGTCATTTGCTTACAAATTTTCCCTTTTCTTGTCAAAAAAAGTTCATGTAAATAACAATAAATAAGAAAAGTTTTATCAAGCTATTCTGAATAGCTTGACAAAGCTATAGTATATAGTTCATGGAGGGTAACACGAATCACCGGAATGCCCCGTAATCACCGAAATGCCCCTAAAAATCACCGAAATGCCCAACAAAACCACCGAAATGCCCTTACATATGTTTTTATATGATGTTTTTCATAAAAATTAATGCTTATTTTTTTCAGTAAAGCATAACTGACGGTAAAATTAATTATTTTCATGTTTTGTGCTTGAAGCGTATCGTACTTCAAAGGGCGATAACTCGTATTTGGTGATGACCTAGGAAGTGAAGTCTACAATGTTTAAAATCTAAGAAATAATAATGTCTTGTGATATTTCTCGGAGAAAATTAGATGACAAATGATAACTATGATAAAATAAAAAAAATTGACTTTCTTCTTTCTTCCTTTTCTTCCAACTTTTTGCATTGTGAACCAGGTTGTAACATTTATTCGTCTGCAGACGCCTGCTGGGGGAAAATAGGCGTAGCGTTAAAATATATATACCTGCCATTATTCATTGAGTAAATTTATCTTTTATTGTATATATTTACTTTTACAGACCATAAAGTTAACGTTTTACCAAACAAAACGAGAGAGGGGGTACCGGTACACCAAATTTCCGTGATAATTTACGACCGCGATGTAAGAATTTCAAAAGACAAATGCAGTCATAAAAAATGAAAAAAAGGTTTTAAACTTTGTACTTCGTTAAGGCCATGTAAATATTACTATTTCTATTAATGATTTTTTTATTCTGTTACTTGATTAGATACATAGTCAGTCGGGTCAAACATAATTGTACGGAACATTTCTCTTGTAAATTAGCAAACCTTTCCAAAGTAGCAATTGTTTCATAAAACGATGTAGGTGTATTCAACCCATTCAAAACTTAAAAAAAATTATATAGTAAAATTGTCAAATTTTACTATTTCTATTGAATCAAATGTAGTTCATTATCCCAGGATACCTGATGTCAATGTTTGTATAGCGCACGTGCGTAATTTCGATCACTGATTGTGATGTACCTGATTATGTAATATGACATAATACTACACACCTGTCAATAGATCAATTACTTAATTAATCCCAGTGAGATTAGCTGTCCGTGTATACACAGTGAACATAATTTCAGATATCCATTTGTTTCAGATGAATTAAACATAATAAATCAAATTAATTTTGTCTTCATTTTTTAATCATTAATACTAGTAAAAAAAATATGAAACTTAAAAAAAAATATTATTTCATAAACACAAAAACGAAACAAAACTATAATTTTGATAAATTTTGTTATTTTCTTTAAACATTGCAGTTCTTTTCTTTGCTAGTTACCAGAGGATCAAACATTCATACAAATTGAATAGAATTCCAAAAAGACAATCACAGTATTCAAGCATTGATTCTATTTTACTCAGCTGTTACTGTACTGATGAGAAGTGAGAGATCCAATCAAACTTTTATTAATAAGATTTTTAAAAAATGTTGCATTAATAGTCCCATTTTCATATCAGATAACAATGAAATTTTATTAAATTCATACATGGTAAATATTTTTTTAAAACTAAACGTAAAAAAGATCTTTCTATTTGCTTTAAAACTTAATATAAAGATAGGACTTTCCAGTAAAATTACACCAGTGTACTCCGTTTTTAGAAATCAAGAATATATGTAAATAATATTACAAACAAAATTTTAATTGATATGAAAAATATGACTTATTATTTTATATTTAAAACAGAAAAAAGAGAAAAATTAAAAATAAGACTTTTTTGGCACGTGCCTTTAATCAGTGAGAGTTATCTTTCTTAGATACTGTAACATACACAATCTTCTGTTCAAATAAAAATACTTACGTTAAAATTATGACATTTTTATTCGGTATCTAGGCTCTAGAACAGTTAAAGTCATCAATATTTATTAATTTTTTGTTTATATATAACAAAATAAGGGGCATTTCGGTGCCATTTCGGTGATTTCTTGGGGCATTTCGGTGATTACGGGGCATTCCGGTGATTCGTAGTACCGGTTCATGGATGGCAAATCAAGACAAAAGATTGCACTGCACTAGTCAAATATATATGGTATGATATAAAACACTTATACCGACCCGATTTACCAAAGAATTATCCTCAGATTAGAGATAACTTCAGCATACTTCTATTGCACAATAAACGTGATTAAAATATAATGCTGATGTCAATTAGATGCCAGATTAAATAACCTACCACTTCAACCACCAGCCAGCTTTGTTGTTTGGCAAGTCTATTACCCGGACAGGGAATATAAAATCCACTTTTGATATCCTTCTTTTCCCTAAATGTATAATCAAAATATAAATCTATAATCATTCATATACTAATATAGGTATATGTAATTATTCATGTATTTTGTTGGCATATCATATTATTTTTAAATTAATTTATTTTTACTAATTTTTTATATCAGGTCCATATAGATGTTCCATGTATGTAGATGAGTATGAAGCACAACTTTCAGAAAAAGATAAATATAGCATACATTACAAAATTCTTATTTTGCCAAATGTAATATTATAAGGTCAAAAATCAAGTAAGCTACAGGATGTTAATATAAAAAAAAAATTAATTAAAAAAAAATACCTTAGTAAGCAATTAGCCTCATCTTTTCAAGAAATTTCTTAGCAAAACGAAAAATGCTTACAATTTATTTTGATATATTTTGAACTTAAAAAAAACATTTAAATTATTTTTCTTTAAATTTTACGTAAATTCGTCTTATTATCTAATTCACTCCTTTTTAAATGAATAATGTTATTCCTTCGCTCCATCTAAAAAAAATCTGAAAAAGTGTCAGTACACAACAAAGATGGCGACTGATCGTCGAAGTGGAGGAATTGAACGTGTTCTGTCGAAGTGTCAATCTTGTGTGGAAGCTGGAAACTACTATGAAGCACATCAGATGTATAGAACATTGTATTTCAGGCATGTTTATTTAATTTTCGATGTTTAATCTCGAAAGGATTCCTCAAAAGTGATGATTTCTTGGCAATTCATTGTGAAACAGCTTTCTCAGAAATCATAGTCCTTTAACATAATCTCTCGAAGGATCAATCGAAAGTTGATTTTTGCAAAGAATTTTAAATTTGAAGTTTTAACAAAGATAAAAATAGAAAATAATTTATTAAATCAGGAGTTCATTTTTATTTCAACTCTGTAAGTGTAACAATCTTGCCAAATGGCAATGTGCATCTCTAATCAGTTCCTTCCTCAGTACAATCACAGGGGCATCTTATCCACTCTGTTCTCTACTTCACATATAACAAGAATAGATATGGGTTACCCCATATCTAAAGATATTCGACTGTTAGATTTAATATGTTTAACAGTGTTTATAATGACGTTAATAAAAAAAAACTGCACTGTCGAATTATGGAACTGTTGTAAATATCGTGATTCCATAGCATTACGGTCACCCAGTCTCCTAACAAACAGTATACACATAGGCCTACATGTACCTGTAGCCTTGGTCTACACACGTGCAATGGAGCTGTCACACGCATCCAGCGAGCTCGGAGAAACACGTTTTGTTTTGCCGAGAAGTTACGGTGTCAGACAAAACTTTTCTTTTCTTAATTAGATCATATAAATACCAATTCTGATTAATAAAAATTATACAATCCCTGTTGAACTTTATATAGTTTGTTCTAACATATTTGCATCTGCAACAACTTGTGTTTAAAATGGCCGGGTTGGGAAAATCAGGACTGGGTCGGAAAATTCTAAACTGAAAACATGGAAAACCTTTTTTGTTTTGAAAATAACTGAAATATACTAATATATTTGTCGCAGAAATTACTTACATTATTCAAGTTCTATATACAATGTATAATGGTATGCTGAACTTCAACACGAACCCGAATCTCCAACCCATGCAGTTCTCGTTTTGCCACACATACCCTACAGTTTACAAAGTGTACACACGAGCAGGCCAGGGATTGAAAATTCCGTCATTTAATAATACACACACAGAATGATAAATTTTTTCTTTAAGAACAAATTGTATGATAATTAACGGACTATAAACATGTACTTAATACAATTGTTGATATAGTATTATCAATTCATTGGTGAAAAGATATGAATCGAAGAATGACCTAATTATTCTCTGTTATCAAACACGTAAAAAAAAAGGCTGAGGAGGGAGCGAGCGTAGGAATATTGATATTTTTTATTTGCATTTCGGGGGGAAAGTGACTTTCTAATGATATTTTGACGTTATTTTTGATTTCTTTAACGTATGACATACACAACTTTACTCTTATCATGAACAATAATGTTGTATCTACTTATCATGATGGAATTATTTTGGTCGGACCAATATGTGTGAGCTGCCGCTGAATACAGTTATATATCTTGCAAAGATAGTATGCATTGATCGAATATATAGAAAATACACAAGGATTTTTATATGTGAAGTAGAGAACAGAGTGGATAAGATGCCCCTGTGGTACAATGTATTGATACCATAAATAGTTGTGATCAGACTCAATACTTGCTTTCATAATTAAGTAAACTATCTAACAATGGAGATTTAAAAAATATAGTTGTAAGGACCAGATGGATTTTAGAAAATTTATCAAATCACTTTGTAGCTGCAGAAATGTAGCTCTCTGCTTGAGAAAATTCAGACAGATAAAGCAGAGAGCTATGAATCCATGCATTGTAAAAACTTTCGATTCACGCCGCCAATTTTTTGTCACTCACCCATATGGAAGGTTACGGGCATAATAATACACTTTTTTAGCTCACCTGAGCTGAAGGCTCAAGTGAGCTTTTCTGATCAAAATTTGTCCGTCAACTGTCATTGTTGTTGTTGTCGTAAACTTTTCACATTTTCATCTTCTTCTCAAGATCCGCTGGGCCAATTTTAACCAAACTTGCCACAAAGTATCGTTGGGTGAAGGGGATTCAAGTTTGTACAAATGAAGGGCCAAGCCCTTTTCCACGGGGAGATAATGATGAATTAATGAAAAATTAATGGCATCTTTTAAAAATCTTCCACTCCAGAACCATTGGGCCAGGAAAGATGGAACTCATATGTAGTTTAGATTCAAGTTTGTTCAAATCATGACCCCCAGGGGTAGGGCAGGGCCACAATGGCTGATCAAAGTTTTACACAGGAATATATAGGAAAAAAATCTTTAAAAATCTTTTTCTCCAAAACCATTGGGCCAACAAAGATGAAACTAATGTGGAAGCAACCTCAGGTAGTGAAGATTCAAGTTTGTTAAAATCATGACACCCGGGAGTAGGGCGGAGCCACAATAGCCGATTAAAATCATTTTAAAATCATCTTCTCAAGATCAGCAAAGCTATGATTGGTGATATTAATATGGAAAGTTTATAACATCCTGTGGCCATAATGGGCAACCAAATCTTTACATAGAAATATATAGGAAAAAGCTTTGAAACTCTTCTTCTGAAGAATGGCAAAATTATACATGTATGTTTTGTTGATATAGTGACAATTTCAAGTAAAAAAAATTCAAATCCCTTCTACCCAATCTAGTAAACTTTTCATTATACTGAGCTGATTTGTGTTTTTTAACTAGCCCATGTGCTCAGGTGAGCGATGTGGCCCATGGGCCTCATGTTTTACAATGTGACTTTCCAGGCAAACACAGAGTCACACAGCTCAACTTTTAACCAACTCTTAACTTCAGACTGCAAGAGACTGTCAGACACAGTCTAGACTGTGACGTCACATGATGTCATAAGAAAACATTTTTAGCTCACCTCAACGAAGTTGGGGGAGCTTATGTAATACCCTCGGCGTCGGCGTCGGTGTCGGCGTCGGCGTCGGTGTCGGCGTCGGCGTCCCAGGTTAAGGTTAAGTTTTTTGGAGCAGTTTTCTTTTTAAGTACTTTTATGTCCTATATTGATTAGACATGCATGGAAGATGGTTCTACTGTGTTTCATTGTACCATTCAAAGTTTCAGATGCTGCAGTTTCAGCAAAGGAATGACCAGGTTAATGTTTTTGGAGCAGGTTAACATTTTTGGTGCAGTTTTTGGTGTAGATATCATTTCCAAGTTGCTTTAAGCCCTATGTTGACCAAACTTGCATGGATGATTTATCTAAGGATGCATACTACCGGGCTTGCTTCGGATGCTGAATCTGACCTACATTTTCTGGTTGAGTGAACAGGTTAAAGTTTTTGGTGCAGGTTTCATTTCCAAGTAACTATAAGTCCTATGTTGACCAAACTAGCATGGATGATACATCTAAGGATGGATACTACCGGGCTTGCTTCGGATGCTGAATCTGACCTACATTTTCCAGTTGAGTGAACAGGTTAAAGTTTTTGGTGCAGGTTTCATTTGCAAGTAACTTTAAGCCCTATGTTGACCAAACTTGCATGCATGATACATCTAAGGATGAATATTACCGGGCTTGCTTCGGATGCTGCATCTGACCTACATTTTCCAGTTGAATGAACAGGTTAAAGTTTTTGGTGCAGGTTTCATTTGCAAGTAACTTTAAGCCCTATGTTGACCAAACTTGCATGGATGATACATCTAAGGATGACACTACTGGGCTTGCTTCGGATGCTGAATCTGACCTACATTTTCTGGTTGAGTGAACAGGTTAAAGTTTTTGGTGCAGGTTTCATTTCCAAGTAACTATAAGTCCTATGTTGACCAATCTTGCATGGATGATACATCTAAGGATGCATACTACCAGGCTTGCTTCAGATGCTGAATCTGACCTACTTTTTGTGGATGACTGAAAATGTTAGTTTTTAATACATGTTTCATTTCCAATTAACTATGAGCCCTATAATGAGCAAACTTGCATGGACGATACATCTTAGGATGCACACTAATGGACTTGCTTCGGATGCTGAATTTGACATACATTTTTCAGATAATAGACCAGGTAAAAGTTATGGTTGCAGGTCTATTACCAAAAACCTATAAGGCTCATATAACATAGTATAAACCGAACTTGCACAAATGTTGCATCAAGAGATGAAAATCTCAAATTTGCTTCAGATGCTGGATTTTGATTACATTTTCATTAAGAAGAACTAGTTTAAATTTTTTTATGTAGGTCTATTTCAAAGTATCAGATCAAAATTGCTTAAATATTTTCATTTTTGGAATGTACACTTTTTTTTTGGTTAATTGTGTGACTTTGCCTTACTTAAAGACAACATTCGTTGAGGTGAGCTCTGTAATCTCTGATTACCTATGTTTATTCCTGTAAAAAAATTCTACTTATCCCTATCAATTAAGAAATTAATAAATTTAAATAATTATGTTGCACCCAATGATCCAAAATCACTAGAGCTGCAATGAACGTTAAAGAATGATACAACTTAACTATAGACTCATTCAATATGTCATTAGACCTATTTAAGATACAACTTGTTAACAAATTACAGAGTCTTTCATGCCATAAGAACTGAAGATACCAATTGCCAAAGAACTATTTAACAATTTTTTGAACTTGTATAATTTTTTTTTTTTTTGGCTTAAATCATAATCTGTCAATATGAAGCTTATGTGACTTTTTAACTTTACATTTTGAATTGTCACATACGTAAACTTTCATACCTACCGTATGTTTTATTTGGCATTTGTTATTTTAGATATAAAGGACAAAAAAAGTACAAAGAAGCTGCAAGCCTACTATATCACGGGGCTTTAACACTGATGAAACATGACCAGGTATATTTATTTTTCCTAATTTTAATACATCAGGCTTTTTATATTGGGAATATATATATTTTTAAAAAATTTTATAAATCTCTTCTAAAGAACAGCAAGGGAATTATTAGTCACATTTACAGTACATGTATATTATATGGAAGGATCCTTAGGTAGTGCAAATTTTTTTTTTTCAAATCATGATCCCAGGGAGGGTCTGAGCTGCTTCAATAGGTAGTCAGAATTCCATAGAGAAATATATATATAAAGGGAAAAGTCTTCAAAAACAGCAAAGGCATGATTAGTCATACATGCATTGATATGGAAGCATCCTCTGGTAATATGAGTTCAAGTTTGTCCTAATAGTAGCCCTTGGGAATAAAATTAGCCACAATAGGAGATGAAACTACTACACAGTCCTGGAATAAACTTTGAGGAACAAGAACAACAAAGCCACAATGGGTTATTTAAACACAGAAGTATCCTCAAACTACCATTTTCTCTCTTATTCAACCGTCTTTGACCTTGAAGACACAAAAACACAAATTCACTTTGTCAGAAACTCACACTTTACCAGCATACAGAACATGAACAAGACCCCCCCCCCCTTTCCATACTGGCCACAATATGCAGCAAAAAGAAAAAAGAAAATATATGGCTAAACCAGAAATCAAACCTAGGACCCCTGGGGCCTGTTTTACAAAGAACTTACAATTAAGACCAAAAACTTAAGTGGTTGTAAAAATTTGTAAAAGTAACGATGCTGTTCAAAGTTTGCTAGCTTAAAAATATCCTGTAAAATTCTTCTTAAAAATATTAAAACGATTTTTGAATCATTGTAAAAAACAAAGTATGAGCAGAATTAAATGTTGGTCTTAGTCATAAGTTCTTTTATAAACCCCTTCTCTAAACTACAGATGTACAAAGACCAATATCCAGGTCCATATAGCTCAAACTACTGTAGTTTATATTACATAGCTACTATTGTCACAGATTTATCAGTCTTTTTTTAATCATTATTGCGTCTTTCTATTTTCAGACATCCAGTTTTACAGATTTGTCCTTTTTACTGATAGAGCTCCTCAATCAGTCAGAAACTCCTGTATCAGAGGACATGATAGGTATTCACATTTCTCATAAAGCTTTGTTATACCCCACGCAACTAGTTGCGGGAGGTATAATGTTTTTGACCCGTCCGTCAGTCAGTCAGTCAGTCCTCTTTTTTTGTCAGCGCAACTCCTCATAAACCGCTGCACAGAATTTCGTCAAACTTTGCAGATATTTAGGACACAATGTGTAAATGTGCATATTACCAGGAAATTCCGATTCCATTATTTTTTCCAGGAATTTCCAAACTTTTTAACTTAGGCATTTGGCCATACCTTGAATATAGAGATGAACAGTTTGTCAGCGCAACTCCTCATAAACCGCTGCACAGAATTTGTTTTGCAGGTATTTAGGACACAATGTGAAGATGTGCATATTACCAGGAAATTCCGATTCCATTATTTTTTCCGAGAATTTCCGCACTTTTTAACTTAGGCATTTGGCCATACCTTGAATATAGAGATGAACAGTTTGTCAGCACAACTCCTCATAAACTGCTGCACAGAATTTGTTTTGCAGATATTTAGGACACAATGTGTAGATGTGCATATTACCAGGAAATTCCGATTCCTTTATTTTTTCCGGGACAACCTGCACTAAAAACTTAGGTTTTTGGCCATACCTTGAATATAGAGATGAACAGTTGTCAGCGCTACTCCTCATTAACCACTGCACAGAATTTTGTCAACTTTTGCAGGCATTTAGGACACAATATGTAGATGTGCATCAGGAAATTCCAATTCCTTTTATTTTTCCGGGAATTTCCACACTTTCCAACTTAGACTTTTTTGCCATATTTTGAATATAGAGATGAACAGTTTGTCAGCACCACTCCTCTTAAACTGTTGTACATAGTTTTGTCAACCTATGCAGATATTTAGGACATATTCCATTATTTTATCCCAAAGAGTTTTGCCTATTATTCAAGAAAATTTCTCACCCCCCCCCCCCCCCCCCAACCACTTCAAATTAATGTTTGGATTTGTATATTGCCCAGAAATTTGGATTCCAGTATTTTGCGAGAAACTTAATTCCACATTTAAATGTCCTCATGTGCAAGACATTTTGATGTGAAGATTTTTTTTTTTGCAATTATTGCCCTTTTTGATCTATACTATGTATTTAAAGTGCGCTGTGCCTTTCATTATGTGTTTCACCGTCAAGTTTTAGGGGAGCGTGGGGTATGTGAGCTAGCTCACTTTTTCTTTCATTTTGGATGAAGTTAATGTTGAAAAATTTATAATTACTAAACTTTTGTTTTTCAGAAAAAATAGTAACCTTGTTCAGAGGAATGGATCCGCATAGTGAAGAGAGGCAGAATTTTGTGGTGGCCGCTGTGCGATGGACCATGAAGGTCAACTCACAACACAAGCGGGGTCATCCTGATCTCCATCAGAAGCTTGGACTGTCCTTCTGGGATGGTCAGTTTGTACTCATATTTACTTGCAATAATACATCCCAACACTAACATATAACAGTATTACTGGGTATATCTTGAAACATTTAACACTTAACAGAGACTCAGTTAAGTCTGAAGAAAACATCTTTCCTAAGTAAAGTTAGTAATGTGTCTAAATCTCCTCACTATCAACTAACTCAGAATCAGATGTAAAGAAGGTTTCTATTGGCATCACTTTCATTGCAGTAAGATATTTGATCTAAACACCCCCTCCCAAAAAGAAATACATGTATATTTAATACTGTGCATTTTCTTTCTTTGTAGAAAAGAATTATGTTCAAGCAAGGTATCATCTCATACATTCACATGATGGAAAGAATTGTGCCCTTATGTTAATAGAGTGCCATATAAAAGGTGGTTACCCAAGTGAAGTAGACTTGTTCATAGCACAGGCAGTTCTGCAGTAAGTTTTACTTTTCTTTGACAACCTATCATTAACAATACAAAATATATTAAATTTGATAAGGCATGTGTTTCAAAAAAATATTAAATATATAAAGATACGTAACATATGCTCTAAAATTGTTAAACTTTTACAACTGAAATGGTTCTTAAAAAGAATACTAATTACATGTATTTTTCTTTTAAAATTACGGAAAACTTGCAAAGCCCAAAGTCTACTTCTACAATGAACAAATCTTATTTTTGTTTGGGAAATTTAAAACGGAATTTAATTGGAATTTGTGATTTTATATTTTGTAATTTTGATATTTAACATTAAACATTTTTCTCATGTATTTCATATAAAGTTTAAGACAATCCATATTGTTATTGAATGTATTTTACTGTATTTCAGATATTTATGTTTGAAAAACAAAGACACAGCACAGGTTGCCTTTGTTAAATACACAGAAGATCACCCTGAAGTACAGAGTGGTCCCCCTTATGTTCACCCTCTCCTTAACTTTCTATGGTTCTTACTGCTAGCTGTAGAAGGGTAAGTACATGTATTTCTGAATACTACCGTATATACCCTGCTGAGTGCTCCCTACTTTAAGTGACCCTCCTCTTGAACTTTTTTAAATCCACTAACTTAAGGCATAACAAATTTGTATGTTAATAATATCCTCTGAGTTTACCATATGCCCTATAATGTTCTAAAGAGAAACAATCCAATATTAACTTCTTAGAAGGCATCTTTATAACATTGAACCAACATAACAAATTCATTAAAATATTTGTAGGCAGCCAGTGCAATGTTGTATCATCATGTAATATTTCTTGGTTTATTTTGGAATATTTTTTTTGTTACAGGGGAAGAGTTGCTGTGTTCTCTATTTTATGTGAAAAATATCAAGTATCAATAAACAGAGATCCCTCATATAGAGAGGTTTGTAGCTATCACCTTAATATGACCTTGGCTGGTATTGTCTTTATATCCAGACAGAAATAGTAGATTAAATCTGTAGTTCTTATGCAAAAGATACAGAATTATAATCCAGTGGGAAAATGTGGTGACTGTTTCTCACTACTGTTTAATTTTGTTTCAGTATCTAGACCAAATAGGACAGCTATTTTTTGGATTACCACCTCCTCCTAAACAGTCTCAGGGCCTCTTTGGTAAGAAATACAACTTGACAGTTTTCTTTTGGAGAATTTAGGAAGGTGTCAGTTTGCTTCTTTTGCTTTCTGAAAATGAGTTTAACTTTGTGGTACTCACTCATTTAATGTCACTTCTTAGTGAAAGTTCAGTGTCGTTCAAACTTTGCCACTTTGATCTAAGTTGGGACTTATAAAGGATCTTAACATATCCCATAGAAATAAATACCGTAAATCTGGAAATTTTTGCTGTAGATAAATTTTTAGCGAATTTGCGAGTTCACTGCATTTGCAAAAATATTTTTCTTAAAAATAAAATACCAGTAAGAAAATGTAAACAAAGCAGTGGTCATTCACAAAATTTTGAAACATAAAGATTAATCAACACCATTTTGACCCAAATTTGCAGAGTAAAATCGACGTAAAAATTTCCAGATTTACGGTAAGAATATTCTTAAGAGCAATTTTTTTAAAAATTATGGCTCATATAGTTATGCAAAAACGTTTACAGTTGTAAACTATTACACCAAAAGCTTTCCATCTATATTTTGTATTGAGGACTCAGATTCACTTTTTACTTTTATTTTCTAAACAGGAAATATACTACAAAGCATTATGGGAGATGATGCTGATGATGACTCTCTGCAGCAATCGACGTCGGCTGGCCCCGCCCATCAGTCCACTACCAGCCAAAGTACTTCTTTATCCCCAGTGGAGCTGGATTAAAGAAACTCAGACTTTCTACCAGATTCTCGGTTATTTAGAAGCAATGTGTATTACATTTGAATATTTATTTTTAAAAAAAATATTTATTTGAAAAAGAAATATTGGCAATTACCATTGGTCTCTAGATAAAGTAATTTGTATGGATTCAAATTTATACCAAGAAACAAACAACACAGCTTTTGTATATGATGAGTTTAAAAAGAGTTTTTCAATATTTTAAGGTAAAAATTGACTGTATTTAAAATATCAGTTGGATAAAGGAACAATTACATCAATATGTTTAGAGTTATCTTTCTTTGATTATTGTAAATATCATTTGAGGCAGGGTCATCAGAGCATTTCTTGTCCATATTGCCTGGTTATATCAGATATTAAGGACGGATGATTCAATTTTATTTTTCAAAAATGAAAAATATAGCAACTAAAGCTATGTTTTATACATGTAGGAAAAATGAATAAATTTTGCTACATAGATGTTAAAATTATTTTTCATTCAGATTTTCACAATGATAAAAAGGTGATAAAAATTTATAATGACTTACAAGGATGAAAAATAATTGTCACACATAAATGTTTACAATTTTTTCAATAATTATATCCCCAAAGTCTTTTATTTGGTATTTAAATTCAAAATTTAAAAAAATATATATGTTAGGTCACACAAAAAATTGTCCTCCCTGTTGATCATTGTCCTGATACAGTTTGCAAATCACCTTCTGAAAAATTAAATTTTTATCGTCTTTTTTTATCAGTACTGGATTGAAATCATGCACTATTGTTGATTTTATATTGGAAAACTAGAGAAATATCAGAAAAAATTTAAATAAACTGAATTTTAAAATAAAAATATAACCTGTTTTGAAGAGTTATTCTTTAAATATGCATATTAATATAAAAATACATATTATATTCATTTAATTTCTTAATTTTGAAAAGATGATTATGACTAACCTGGCTTCTACTAATAGAGAAAAAAATCAATGATGTGAATTACTCTCATTATCAAATATATCACAGTTTATATGTTGTTTTATATGCAGATAAAGAAAATAAAGATAAACATAACATATAAATGGTTGTTTAGATTAATTATCATAGAAGACAATTTCATTAAACAGTTTGCAGTGCAGTGCATTTTTCCTTAAAAGGGGAAGCTTAATGTAATTTGGAATTTTATTTTTGTATATTATCTATGTAATGAGCTTTTATTGTGTATACTGATCACCCATTGTCCTGTTTCCTTCCATCTGTCTGTAATTTTCATTTTTCAACTTCAGATTTTCACTGGGTAATGATAAAAAAGTTGATAAAAACATTATAATGACTTTTTCAAAAGGAAAGATGAAATGTCATTCAACACACAAAGTTGCAATTTTTTAAATAATGACAAAACAAATATTTGGACTATTTTTTTATTTTTCAAAAAATATATATACACAGAATCAATTTTTCAGTAATTAAAGGTAAAAAAAATTCAAAAGACTGAGGAAGAAACGGCTCAACAGTTACTTTATTCAATAGGAAAATATTTTGTCAAGTAAAAGGAAAGGCACTATTAAAATAAAAAAGAGAGAAATAAACTAAATTTTTAAGAGAGAAAAAATAACCTGTTGTCTCCACACAGGTATAAATAAAGCACACCAAGAGAGTCAGTCAAAACGGCCAGTATTGTTTAGAATTACCGAGGTAATATTGTGTTATTCGGACAGCGAAATATTGCACTAAGAGTAGCTGCAGAACTGTAGCATTAAAATGGCTAAAAGGTGCTTAGACACAGATTTGAAGTTAATATTTTCTCAATTTTTTCTGTATAATATCACGACTTATATATTACAATAGCATTTCTTATCTTAAATATCTTTTTTTTTTATCTCGAAGTCATTGAAACTTTTTTTTGATTTTTGATTTTTGGGTTTTGATTGACACATCTTTGCACTTTCACAAATTATGATTTTTTTCTTCATACTTTAGAAAACTAGCAATTTTGTTATGTATTAATGAAAAATATTAAAACTATAATACAAACCAGAAGTCTCTGATGAGACTGTAGCTCTACTGGTCTATACGTATAACAAAGGAAAAGTAACACTTGAATTTGAAACTTTGCAACAGGCAGCAATAAATAGATTGATGCATCTTAGTGTACTATACTTGTGTGCCAAATAATATAGAAATCAGACCAAAACTGTAGGAGTAACGTTTTAAAGGAATTTCACAGAAATTTCTATTTTTAGTAACCATGGCAACACCATTCATCAAAATCAAAACCCGATGCAAAAAAATAATGTATCTTTGCGTAGTCTACTTGTGTGCCAAATTAGATTGAAATCAGACCAAAACTGTAGGAGGAGTAGCGTGTTAAAGGAATTTCAATGAAATTTCTACTTTTAGTAACAAAGGCATCATGCACCGTTCATCGAAATCTAAAACTGATGCACTATATTATGTATCTTAGTGTAATCGACTTTCGATGTACTAAATTATGTAGTGTAGTCTACTGGTGTGCCAAGTAAGATTGAAATCAGACCAAAACTGTAGGAGGAGTAGCAATTTTGAAAAATTGTTTACAGCCATGCAGCCTGAAAGACGGACGGACACCTTGCTATCACACTCTGACCAGTAGAGCTAAAAATTCAGAGTAGAAATGTTCGAAAGTAAACCGCCCTCAGTAGTATCGCCAGTCCGTGCTCAGTGTTCTGTACAGAGTTTAATAAATTGAATACACCCGTGAAACATAAACTGTTTTAGTAAACAGGGCACCATTGTCTCAAGCCAAGGTCCGGAGTACGCATAGAGAGAGGATCGGACATTTTGGCCGTGGTTTGCGATGACAGGGCACGAGCTCTTTAATTGATAATGTTTACGATTCACCGGGTGTGTTCAACTAATTGTTAAAGTCTCTGTACCCTGGCATGTTGTCGTCCATTTCTTCTCAAGGTATAGTACATGTATACATGTAATAACATTTCATTTCACTCTCTGGTACAGTTCAGCTTATTTTGAAAAAAAACGTTGCACTATCCGCAATGCTGAATGCCGAGATAGGACAAAATTTGTAGAGCTCTCCACCGGCACCTGCATGGTGGCGTCTCCATGTGAATGAAAAAATCCTCGAGAGGGACGTTTAATAACATACAACCAATCAGTTCTTCATATTTTTGTAGCCCCTGTGTTGCACTACTTAGAGCGTCTGTTCTTGAGTCGAGGAATAAGAATGATCGCTGATTCAAATACCACTGTGGGACGTAGAGATCGTCCTTTGCAAGAGACCGTGTTGCAGCATCTTCGCTAGCCAAGGGTTTCTGATACGCTACTCCCCTCATGAGGAGAGTAGCGTATCAGAATGCCTTGGCTAGCGAAGAAAGTGTTGCAGTAGACATTTGCTGGCACGATAAAAAGATCCCTCACTGCCAAAAAATTAACCCTTATCGCCTAGTAAAGGTCTAAATTAACATCTTCGCCGGCAAATAATGGAGTCTCAGTATAGTAGTTAATTTTCGGAGGGATGTTAAACAAATGAAAATGCTTTGTTTTCGTTCTATTTATTTTTGTTTTCATGTCTTTTTAGGTCACTTAGGTGACCTATTACTATCCGTTTCCGTTTGTCGTCGTGCGGTGTGCGTCGAGCGTCGTGTGTTAATATTTGAACATTTTCAGCTTCTTCTCTGCAACCGCTCAACCAATTCCAACCAATTTTGGCATAAAGCATCTATGGCTGAAGGGGAACAAAAATTGTGAATTTAATGGTCCCTGTCCCCCTGGGTCCTGAGAGGTGGGGGTAAAACCACTAAAAATAGTGCAATCTTTAAAAATCTTCTCTACTCCTGGACATCAAGCAGTCAAACTGTAGATATGATTGTAATAAGCATTGGATCCTCACCAAAATTGTGAAATTCATGGTCCCAGGGTCAGGGGTTCTAGTGCTAGGGCAGGGCTATATAGATTATATAGTGAAAATGCATTATTTATTTGAAAATCTTCTTCTCTGCTCTTGGGTATTAAATAAACAAACTAAATGCATAATTATGATGAGCAAGAATGCCTCTTCCAAAATTGTGAATTTTATGGCTCCAGGGTTGGGGGTTCTGGTGTAAGGCGGTGCTCTGTAGTGAAAATGCATCATTTCTATGAAAATCTTCTCTGCTCCTGGGTATTAAATAAACTAACTAAGTACAATGTTATGATAAGCAAGAATGCCTCTTCCAAAATTGTGAATTTATTATATAGTGAAAATACAGTAATTCTTTGAAAGTCTTCTTTTCTGCTCCTGGGTATTAAATAAACAAACTAAATACATAGTTATGATGAGCAAGAATGCTTCTTAGAAAATTGTGAATTTTATGGCCCCAGGTTCGGGGTTTCTGGCTCTATTGATTATCTGGTGAAAATGCATTAAATCTTTGAAAATCTTCTTCTCTGCAGATAAACTACATATATAGCTTTGATGAACAAGGGCCCTTATTCCAGAATTGTGAATTTCAAGGCCCCTGGGTCAGGGGTACCATAGGCGAGGGGGGGGGGGCTCTACTTTTATACTGAAAATGAATTGTTTGAAATCTGCTCCTTGGTACATGTATTAATAAAATATTTTGGATTTGCAAGGGTGCCTTGAGAAATGTTTGGACCTACATGTAGGGTCAGGGATTCATGTGTGGTAGAGTCACTACTGATTATTGCTGAATATTACTGATTACTTAAAATATTTTTCACCTACCCTGTCTATGGGTATTAAGTAACCAAACTAATCAATTGCTTAGTGTATAGTCATGATTAGCAATGGTGCCTCTTTCAAAATTGTGAGTGTCATGGCGTCTAGTTTAAAACATGAACCAAATTCATTCATTGGAAAATTGTTGCATGATGCTCAGGTGACCTATAAGGCCCATGGGCCTCTTGTTTATGTGCTTATATGGTTTGTGTATATGTTTTGTCATTTTTTCGTTTCTTTCTGCAGTAAATTATTACCTTCTTGAATAGGAATAATATAAGGTTAAAAGCTTTCCCCCTGAGGTTTTTTTTATATCATTCCTCATAGTTTGAGTAAATGTGCAGCGGTCGGAATACAAACA